CTTTCTCAGGACTCACTCCAGTAAACAAGTGTTGTTCTGGGGCACCCAGAGCTGGCAATGGATTTCACTTTGGGCTGTTCGGAAGCAAATGCTTCCTGCATCTTGTCTAACCAAGCTGATTACCAGATACAGCGTTGCAAGTTGTGTGGAACATGAGTCAACTCCCCCAAACTGCTGGCTTTGGAGAGCTCTTCTGCACTCTTTTCTCTTCAGGGAACTGTATCCTGTGGTTTCTTCAAAGAAGACTGATGAACAGCAGGCTGTTCTTGAGTGATGAGATCTGTTCTTAGGAAGTCTAGGATTGTGATCCTGCTTTTGTCTTACTGCCTTCTTTCAGGTTCCTGATCTTCACCTGCGCTGCCACTGCATCCAGTAAAAGGATGCTCTGGCGAAACACCCTCAAACTTGATGATGACTACATGATAAGTGTAGTGATGAGTGATAATAGCTTGCTGTTGTGGTCTTCTTGACAATATGAGCTTGGGATTTCACTTTGGGCTGTTCAGAAGCAAATGCTTCCTGCATCTTTTCTAACCAAGCTGATCACCAGCATCAGTAGTTCACCTAATGGAGGAAACAAAAGAATTGTTTGATACCACAAACCTGACTGTTTCATTTTCAATGTTTATTGAGTGGCTGCTGCCTTGTAAGCAAATTTCCACAAGGCCTTGACTCTTAAGCGAACTGTGTTGAGTAAGCACTTATGGAAACTGAGTAACAGAATATATTTGTTATTTGTCTGAACACAGCAGCTCTTGGCTAGACCTGTCCTGTCAACAGTATACTTCTTCCCAAAGATGGTAGCCCTTGAACCAGAGCAAGCAAGTTTAGACAAATGCACTGAGTTCAAGTCACTTTGAAGTCTTAAAAAAATTGAGCAAGTGTTAGTATGTAGTTTACTAAATTCACAAATTTTTCAAAAGTGTACTCAAAGATTCAACAGCAGAACAACTGTGTCTAATACTGTACTGGCTACAGTAGTCTTTGCTTTGTTTCAGAAGCAAAGGTTTTAGGTCAGACAGCACTTAAATAAGGCTTTTGTTGTTCCTTTTCTGCTTCAGCAGCAGAGATGGAATAATATTTTTTCCACTCATTGTACACGCACTTCGTATAACGCATGGTCTGGAAGATCTTATGCAGGTGTAACACTAACATAATGTTAGTTCAAGTTGAGTTCAATAACAGCATTGAGGGGAGGAACACACACTCACTATATAAAGCTTCCCTCTCAACTTTAGGCTTATCAGTTACACCTTGAGGGAAGATGCTCTGTTTGCATTTCTTAATCTCTTTTAAACAGAGAAGAGCAATGGTGTTGAGACAACTGAACAATGTTCTCCTAATAATGCATCAAATAGTCCAAGTACAAGAAGTAGCTATTGCTACTTCTGGTTTAGAACAGATAAACTAAAGCATGCCTTTACTTCTCCTACTACAGGTGCTACAAATTGCAATCATGTAATTTAAACAGTTGTTTCACCTATTTTAAATTGTCAAGCAACTGGTTATTGCCCACCTTCCCCTTTCCCCTCATTTTTTTTTATTTCTGCCGTTGATTTGAGGCAATTATTTCACATTCCAGGGTTGAAGATTTTTGGTATTTATTTTATTCTCTACAGATTTTTTTCTGTAAAAGCTGTAGTAGCACCATTCACTCTTTCTTTGTGTCCATTTGCCACAAGTATTTTTTTGTCAAGGTGTCTGTATGTTCTGTGCTCATTTGACTTGTACTTGCTTTGTGGTCCAGTTCAAAACTTGGTCTCCAATGTTATAATGTTTTGAAGCAGTTTGCAGAAAGCCTGCCTGAGATTTGCTGAAAATGAGTGTTTGTTTTCTGTGAGCTAAATGGTATCAACAACTGAGTTAGAAGTTGAAGGCTAAAGACCTTTTGCCAGCGGAAGCTGATTGTCAGCGCAGAGTACCAAGACCTTTACAAATGACAGCTAGCAGCAGCTTACAATTGTTAACCAGCAATAGAATTAATAATTTAGCTAAAAAGTCCAGCTGAGCCATATCAGATCTTGTTAATCTTCAGGTAGTAGAGGAGTTGTGGTTATAATTAACGCACGTGGTTTCCAACAGGAAATTACTCATGATCTGCTTAACATTGTTTTCCATGAATATATTTGCCCATGTTTTTCGGAATATTGAAACATCTTAGGGTTTTGGTATATGGTTTTAGTGTCCTTTTTTCTGAATATTAAAACCATCTTAGTGTTGTGGTATATAACAGTAGAACTGTGAACAATCATATGTGTCTTTGTTACATGCAGATACATTGTGAATACGTTAGTGTTATGCATAGTTATTGTAGGTCGCTCAAAACTATTTATAAAATTAGTGTGATGAGATATTTTTTATTAATTCTTACTTGTTCTGAAGGTTTGTTTGGGTATGGAAAAAAGTATACTTTCCTCCTTGAGGTTTCATTTTTAGAAAATAGAGGGACATAGTTGTGGATTCTTACTATGGCATTTCTACCCCAAACTGTTTCCATGTAAAATTATTCAAGGCCAAAACTTGCTGAAGATCAAGACTGCCACAGTGGAGCAGTTCAGACTGTGCTGCTGTTTGCAGCATCTTTAATGGTTGTTGTATGAATGAGGGAGATCTTAGCACCATCAATAAACCTATTGCTCATCTTTCCTGTTTGCTCATTGGAAAAAAAACATTCTGTAGGTGTGACAAATGAAGGTAATCTGCCAAATGGCAGAGGTTTTGTTACTATGCAAATGAGCCTAATCTTGTGGGGAGGGAAAAGGCTTAATTTGGGGGTTTTTCAGTTGTATGCATAAACACGAAGAAATACTTGCAAAAATTACAGGGACTGGTCCAGTGAAATATTTACAAGATGAAAAAGTGTTTTTAATGTTTGCAGACTGTAACAAATTTGGAGAGTTTTCAAGGATTTTGGCAGGAAAGATTGAATTTGAAATGTCTTGGCAACTTGAATTAGTATCTTTTAAAACAAAAAGAAAAAAGCTATGCTTATCAAGTTGTCTGTGGGTAAGTGCAAATCATACTGTGTTTAAAAGGCATAATTATTAGCACAAATAAAGAGTATTGGAAGCTCAATTTCGAGGTTTGCAGGGAAATGTTTTCATGCTAGTCTGGGTTAAATAGGTGTGCTATGCCATATTGCTGTGGAGCTGCCGAATAATACCTGGAATGCAGTTTAAGTGTGACCTTGGAGGCATATGAGACATTTCTTCTTCCTCTTCCTAACAGCAAACAACAAGTATTGTTTTCAGCTTTGGTCAGCATCGTTTATGTGTGGTATGGACTGAAAGAGCCCAGAGGATATTTTCATTGGGACTTTTAAACTGAAAGTTAGGGTGCAAGTTTCATAAAAGGTCATTAGGTCCAGAGCAGAAGATTGAGTGGCTGCAGAATGGAAAGGGCTGCACTGTTCTTCATGTTTGACAGCAGAATAAGAATTAACTGTATTAAATGCTAATGAGGAAATGTGTCTAATTAAAGAAAAACTAAATAGTGAGTTAGACTATGGAGTTTCATTGCTGAAATTTGAGCAGTAAAGGTTATATGAAGTTTTTCTTCCTTGCTTCTTAAATAGCTTGTGTACTGTTACCTATTGAAACTTTACTGTTGGGGGAACCTTGAGCAGTCATCTCCATTCTCTTTGTAAGCTTTAACTTTCTGGGGACGGTGAGGGAATTCCCGTTCACTGAATCACTTCTTTTAACTCCAGGATAAGGGTGTTTGTTCCTTATAAGCGAAGTGGTGAGCTGGTTTGTTTCTGCAGGAAGTGTCTTGAGGAACATACCTTCCTCTTAATATAGGTCAAGAGAGGAAAAGTGGTGAAATTTCTAGGAGGCGGCTTTCTTGGAATACTCTGCAGGAATTCTTTGTTGGAGCTTGTGTTCTCGCTGCTGGCTGTTGGTCAGGCTTCAGTGTTTCCAGCACTTAACTGCTGGACCACTATGCTTTTAGAACCTCAGCACTTTTATTTAGAACAAAGTTGCTTGAATGAAGTATTAAGGTTCTTCTGATTCTCAATCTGTTACTGAAAATACAATTTCTCACTGCCTGGGATTTTCAGATATGATAGTTTTATTTTTCAACTAATCTGAACTGTAAGCTATTTGAGTAAAGTTTGTGGTACAAAGGAATGTTAGTAGCTTTTGCTTGAAGTCCTGTGTAAGGTGAGCTGTATGCTGCATAGGTAACATATTTTTTTTTTTTTTTTTTTTTTTTGTAGAATTTATAATCTGAAAAAACAGTAGGTTAAAAAACATGCATTTCAGAGTAATCTCAGTGATGGTGACAGAACAAGCGTGTGAGCATATGGTATCTTTCTTGTATGATAGTTTTTGGTTGGGTTTTTTTTCCCTGGGTAATAAAATGAAGGAGAAAAAGAGTGTGGTAAGAATGAGGTGTGGGCAGGAGAGGATTAAATGAGCTTAGAGAAGTGTGTCTTGGCTAGATCTGTAATATAAAGGAATGGACATTAAGTCTATAAAGTGAGGGTAGAAAAAGTCCAAACAAAAGGTAAAGAAACTGCAGTTTCTTCCATCAGTTGAATCTTCTGCTAAATGATATATTTTTAAAGCTTACTTTTTGTCTTGGAAGGCTTGAATCTTTGTGTGATAAAGACTTCAAGAGGCAATGTTTTGTACTAACAGCTTGTTTTACTGAGAATTGTCAATAATTCTAGCTTCTAGCATTGCTGTGGCACTAACGAACTTGTAATAGAAGCAATAGGGCAAGCCAATAGAAAGCCCAGGGACTTGTTTCTCTCCTAGTATATATTCTACTTAAATTGATGAGAGTAAAGGTGCATAATTCAGTGGAACATTAGGAAAGCACAATTTTAAGTGCTTTGTATTCTGATTTATACTCTGAAATTATACCTGCAATTTCCCTTTGCCTATGAGAAAAAAAATTTAGAGCACTTCTGACTTTTTTTCCCTCTGTGCTTATTACTATGAGGTACAGAAGGGAGTTTATTTTGTTCTCATTGCTTTTTTCCTCTTTTTCAGAAGTAAGAAACTTTTTAGCAAGAAAAAGTTGAAAAGAAAACAGAAGACTAAATTGAAAGTGAAAACACGCAACAAGGTAAGCCTGTAACTAACTTGAGAAAGTCCTGACTTAAAAATGACAGTAACTTCAGTTGAGAGTAATGCAAGAACACCTAAGTGTGACTAACAATGTGTTTAGAGGAGTTAATAATAGAACAGTATTGTCTGTTTATTGTATCCTACATGACTGTGATGCCAATGTTAACCTTATTCAACTGCTTTTGGTACTAATGTTCAACAGGAAATTATATGAACAGTGTTTTTAGTTCTCCAGTTCCTAAACCCTAAGTGTAGCTAAACATATTGGTCTTAGAGGTAAATTTTGAGGTCTGTGTCTAGCAAACAGTTAGAGACTAGTGCTGCAAAGATTTAGCCATATTGGCTAAAGGAGAATGGGAGCATTCTGAGGACTCCAGAATTACCTCTGAAAATTCCTCTGTAATGGAAAATGTAATAAATGATACCTAAGTGTTTCTATTAATGTTTTCTCCCCATGTAACCCCTGCCTTCAATCACTTTAAATGCATGGGAACCATACAGTGAACTTAATAAAAATGTTTACATCTTTATTCTTTAGAGAGCATAAATTTATGCAGAAGCAGTGCTATTTTAAAATACTGCTGTGCTGCATTCTTTCTCTATTAGAGAGCTATTATTTCTCTATTTAAGCTACAGTCTTGGAAGGATTTTCATGAAGGCTTGCTGCAGACTTGAAGGCTTGTAGTCAGTAAAGAGAAAACTAATTTTTGGAATGGTTCTGAAGGACAGAACTACTGAAATATCCAGTGAAAACACTTTGTAGTCAGCTGAATGTCCTTATAATACACATGCACTGTAGAACCACTTGGCCATCTTATCCCTATTTGCCAAACCTCATGTAGTTACTGTATCTCAAGACAGATGGCTTTGGGAGGGTGAAGCAAACCCTCTATCTGTTCATTTGGTATTGACTTTTTGGAGACTTACCAGATTATTCTGCTTATCTCAAGTAGTGCAGCTTCAGACTATGGTATAGAAGGAGCTTATCTTCATTTCTGTTCTCAGCACTGTACAGTAAAATATTTGTGGTCCAAACTGAATTTCTCAGTTCTTTCTTTAGTTGCTATAAGAAGTTTTAGCTCTGTCCTCTCCATGACTTTATCAACCCACTGTCAACAAAGAAAACCAAGTTAGAGATTCAAAGAAATATCACAGAACGTAGTTAGTTTGTGTGTTCTGTCTGGTGATGGAAACTTGTGCTTTTAAAATAAGATAACTCCTCGGCTTTGATCATTGTTATGCTATAAAGGGACCCTTGTCTATCTGGTTGGTGGAGCCCTAGTTTTACTGCCAAGTAGAAGGCTAAATACAGAATGGCTGTTGACAAGCTTAGCAGTCCAATGTAGTTCTTAAATTTAGTTGCATTGGATAAATGGAGTGGCAAGATCCTTTGGCCAACACAATGTGAACATACTAAAGGCTAGTTGTTGTGGGTAGTTACGGATATGGCACTAACTGATCATCTCCTCAACTCATCCCTGTGGAAGGTTGTTCTCAAGATTTTCTTGGGTTTAAGTCAGCTTCTACTTAAATCTTTGAAAGTCATAATGGTTTTTTTTTGTCTTTATTGATGCCGTTATCTAGACAATGTCTGAGGCAGACCAGGGCTGGCCATTAGAACATTGGTCTTCATTCTGAGTGACTTGGGTATAGAAAGGCATTCCAGCTTATTTCAGCATGATAACAAAAAATTGTGTATTTCCTGAAAAATGTAGCAGAGAAGGGAAAGATCAAACCAATTTCATATCTTGAGGTTATGAAACTGACAAAGTGGGGTGGTTTTGTTTATTGGTTTTTCTGTAGTTGTTTTTTTGTGGGAGGGTTTTTTTTGGTTTTGGGGTTTTTTTAATGTAGTTTTCAATGCATCCCAATGCTTACCCTGGCAGAATCAGCACAGTGATTATTTTTGCACTGGAATGTCTGAAAATGGATGTGTCTATTGTCAGGAAAATGTGAGCTTCCATTTGGAAGCTTTAAAATAGAGCAGATTGAAAAGTCTTTCACTACTGGACATTCTGAGCAGTAGAGTTTGTGTGCATCAGTTTGTTTTTTTGAGAAATGGGGTCCTTTAGTCTGAACAGAGATGGAAGCTTTCTCTTAATATACTTAATAGAGGCAGAGAAGGCCTTAAATCAAGAATAAGATGAAGGAACCCAAAAATTTGTTATTTATATCCTGTGCTTACTAAAAATGATTGTGTAATGGAAGAGGAGAGAACTTTAGAAGAGAAGTAATTGTTGAGCAACTGGAAGAAAATTATTTCCACCATTTAAGCATTAAATGTTAGAACATTTTAGGTATAAAACTAATTGGTGTTTAAACAGCTCAGTAGTTTGACCCTTGTTCTGTTTCTAAGCTGGGTCGTGGTATGATCACTGGGCTTTGAACTATCACTAGTTTTTGAGTTTGTGGTTTAATTTCTATTTTTGGTTTAATTTCTATTTTTAAATGGAGGTATAAAAGTTTTTTATGTGGTGCAGTCTATTTTGGCTTTAGAAATTCACTGCTGACATAAGTGACTTTTGCATAGAAAACAAATATCTGATTGTTAGGCATGGATATAGCACTTTGGATTCCAGTCCCTACGTGCCTCCTCCCCACTTTTTTTCCTTTTGGCAAAGAATATCACCAGAAAAGGCCGTGTAACTTTTCCCAACTCTGCGAATATTGCTGCTAACCCCTCCTTCCCTCTTCAGAGACCCTGGATATTTTTCCCCTTTGCTATTAATTCATGCAAGTGCTGCTTAGGACACTTGGATTGAGAGAGACTTACTCAGAAAACTACAGTTCACCATATTCTGTTTTCATAATGCTATTTGAAGAATACTGAAAAATTAGAGTCCAACAAACACAGCTTGTACTGGAAATGATTGGTGTCTACCTGTTCATGCAGAAATTTTAAGCTATGACTTTTTTAGCTTTTTACAAATGGGAGTAATAAAACTTTAAGGGGGAGGTTTATGTAGCAGAAAAATTCGTTGTAAGCTAATGAATAGATGTATAAAACAGATTGACCGGGATGAATATTGTCTCATTAGAAACACATGTAGGTTCTCAAATAATTTGGCATTGTTTTCAGTGGCTTTTGTATTATTTGGTCTTTCAACCTCAAGAGGGCATCCCTTTCTAAGAGATCTTTTGACTGTCTGAAAAATAATTGGGTGAGCTTCTCTTCTCAGTGTTACACATAGATTAGATCAGATGGTTATTATAACCTGACCCATCTGTAACAGCAGATTAACTTTCCTCTCTTAGATTATTGTCTATTTCCATCATATTTAAGAATAAACCATTACCACAGTCATCTGATTCAAGAGGAAGAAAACAAATAGAAAATAAGCTATGTATGGGTTTCATCTTCAGGGAAAACAGTTTCTTTATGTGTGAGACGTGTAAAGGAAACCAGGGGCTTTTGGTTTTTCCCACTTCTTTCCTTGAGTGTACTGGAACATTACAAAAGGCTAACTGAGAAGAGCAATTAGGAGTAGGTTGCCCTTATCTTTTGAACCAAACCTGTGCTGTTTACCCTCTCCTGCATAATTCATTCTTCCAGTTAGCAGGGACTGTATGTTTACAAGGACAAGCCAGGCATCAGGGTGTGAGCATCTGCACTTTGATCTCTCCCTTATAAGAGTATTACCTTTCAGAAAATAAAAAGTAACACACAAGAAAGAAAATCTTCACATATTAGAACTGTCTTCGCCAATGGTGGGTGTTTAAGTTTTGCAATGTATGTTTCACCACATATCTTCATTTGATAAAGGTGCATATTTAATTTTTGGTGACAGCAAATCAAACAGCAAAGGTGAAGATTCAGAACATTCCACTGTGTTACAGCTCATATGAAAACTGCTGAATCAAACAGCATAATTCTCTTTTCCAGTCTGTAAGCTCTTTTCTTTTTGACAGTGGTGGCAATTTAATTTTCCAAGAAGCCACGTGCTTTGGGAGGAAAGCTAGTATAGAAGCTATCATCTCATCTTCTGCGTAGGCACTTTGGAAGCTGAGTTTGTAGTCAAATTTAATGAGCATTTTGGATTGCAATATTCCAGCAGCCATTAAGAATTGGACATTCAGAGGCAGAGAAAGTGATTGCTACTCTTCACCTTATTCACAAGTGTCATGTGAATCTCAGTACCCTTAACATCATGAAAACAAGCTGTAAGGCATTGTTTCTTTCTGAAATAATTTATCCTATAGCTCAAGAGCAGTCTGTTTGGATTATTAATAATTCTAGATCGGTGCAAAATTAATAAATTTCTTTAGTGAGTTCTTAGAAGTTGATTAACATTTTGGTTTAATGTTCTGCTGTTTTTCTTGGCAATGTAGATGTATTTTATGCCAACATGAAATGCAGTATCATTAAGTTAAAGTAGACTTTATTAGTTTGATAAAAGAACTACTAAGTGAGGTTCTGTAGGTACATGTGTTGGTTAGATTTTCTTACTGATCTATTATACCTCAGAATCTGTGAGTCTGCAGCAAAATTGTACAGGTGTATCATGAGTCTCATAATATTGGGGAAGTTTTTCTGACTGTGTAGAAGGTATTGATTAGCTGCAGAAAAGTAAACTTTCAAGTGATGATAGAATGAACTTAAATACCAGTTTTCTGACTTGCTCAGTGTATCTGACCTTAGTGAAGTTAGGAATCTGGAAAGGAAGAGCACTTGTTTCATATGGAAGGAAATCCTGATGTCTGTTTTGAACGGTTGAAGAAAAGAAAAAACAACCAAAAAAGCTGCTCACTGAATGAACATTTGCATTAGAGGGGCAGAAAGTTTTACTGGTTTTTTTTGTTATTGTTGTTGTCAGCTCTGTTCTTGCCTTATGTGAAGGAAATCTGAGAAGGTGATGTTTGTACAACCTGGTTATATATGTCAACTTTTGAACAGATGTTTCTTTTGAAGACCTAGCAGCTATAAATATTACAGATAGTTAAAGCCCTTAGACTTCAGAAATCCATCACAAATCACATCAGTGTTTTTTACCTTATGACGAAGTTTCTAGAGGATGTTGTGCCGTACTGAAGTCTCAGTAGGCATTTAGTGTATGCAAGTATTGTTCATCCACTGTTGTAGAAAAGCAAAACACTGAACACAGAATAGTTAAAGTGCTTACTGGTTAATAGTTGTAAAGTATTGAAAATAAGAAGTTTATTTCTGAAGATTAGTCAGCCTGTTATTAATAAGCAAGAAAACATACATTGATTTTTATCTAGACTGTAATGTCTAAAATTACCTGTGCTTGTTTAACCGTTTGGCCAGTCTGTTTCAAATGAGACTATATGAGCTACAGAACTTAGGCTGTTCTGGATCAAAGACTTAGCTGAGCTGACAAGAAAGAATTGGAATGGAAACTTTCACAGAAGTTACAATTACCATATGTGATATTAACTAGGTGAATGAACTTTCAGATAATATCTGGAGCCTCTGAAATAGCTCCTTGTCCTGTAACTGTCAGTGAAAACTTCAGTAAACGAAGTTTACTGAGGAATTTAATCTGTGCCATTCAATGGAGCTAGCTTTAAAGCTGAAAGTTTGTACTATGTGTTTGCCTTAACAGGAGCTGCAAAAACTTTTGGGGTAATGTGTATGGATATTGATGAACAGAAGAGTTACATCTTATAACAATTCAGTTTTCTGGTGTCAAACATCAAAGTATGTAGGAGCTCATTATCAAGGGGGTCAATCCAAATTTATTTTGATTCAGTTTGATACTGGAATAACATATGAGGTTGTGCCTTGGGTTCTTGCACTGATTAATGTTGTGGGATTTCTAGCAAGACCTTTACTATTTCAAAGATACTAATATTGAACAAGGACTAAACTTTGCTGTCTTTAAGTTCTTAATGGCAGAAGTTGTGTTGAGCTAAAGAAAAAAACCTGCCAAACTTGAGTATGTGTGTAGGGAACTTTTTCCAGCTTTTTCTTTTCCCTACTTCATTATCTTTATATTTTTGTGCTTACTGCTACCACTGATGCAGGTAAGAAAAATTAACACTCAATGTGTTTGATAAAATAGGTTGCATACTAAAGCATTGTTTCTTAATGTTCTAGCTTACAGTAACTTTAGCAATAATGGAAAGCAAGGATAGGCAAACAGATACCAGTACAGTCAGAATGATATTACAGTCAAAAACAGGGAATATATGTGAACGATGAAATATTTTCAATTTTGAATTTTTTGTTTATGTTTTGTAATGTATGGTGTTAAAAGGTCTATCTTAGAGTCTTGTGTTATTTCTAGTATTAATAAAAATGTATGTGCAGATAGAAGTCTTTTTGATGTAGAAAATTGTGGCAACCATACTGTAGAAAAACAAATCACCTTATTAAAATATAACCCAATTCACTGGTTCTCAAATTCCTTTTACCTCTCCTCTGCTAGTTTAATGTTCTCCTTCCCATCACTGCTCTCAATGATCTGCTTCAAATCACTGTAGTATAATTTACTGTGTAATTTCATGCCAGATGAATGTGGCAATGCACAGTATTAATACCCTATCAATAAAAAAAAAAAAAAAAAAAAAAAAAAAGACAAAAAGCCTCGACTCTCACTGTGCCCTTCCTCTGCCTATCCCTCAAGAATACGAGAAAGAAACCAAAAATGACCTTGTGAAGTTAGTCATGACCCTGAGTCTGTCTGGCCCAGTAATCCCCCCTCATTTTGCCTTGCATGGTCAAGCGAATTTGTCCTGCATTGTTAACCCGGCCCTTCTCTCCTAACATGGTCTTTGTGCCCTCTGTCTACAGCAAGCTCTTACAGAGAATTGCTTCCTCCCATATGCCTGGAATCCAGTTTTCAAAGCCTGTGCTGATACCAGCCTGGTCTTTGCTTGTACACAACCAAATGGAAAGTGTAACCCTGCTTAGGAATTAATTGTTGTGGAGTTTTGTTTTTAAAAGTCAGTCATACCTCCTTTCCCATTTTACTGTTTCAGACTGGGAAAGTACAGGGCAGATTTTTAAAAAATGTTTTCTCTTGTTATTTTTCCAAGTTTAGTGACAGCCTCATGAAGGCTTCTTTGTGTCTTGGCCAAGGCTGATAATAATACATCAGTAGTACGCACCGAGGTGGGCCATGGTAGCGGTAGTTACTCAGAACAATTTCCCAGCTCATACTTTGTGGCTCAGGGCTTCTGAAGACAGAATGGTGTCCTGTTAAGTCGTAGGCCTTGATTTCTTTATGTAGTAATTAGTCCATTAGATAATTATTCTTGAAACTATTAACTGCAGCATCCTCACAGAAGTTTTTAAACTTGTCATCAGTTTTCATCTTACGACAAAACAAGTGAGTTTTTTTAATTTCTAGTATATGTTTAACAAACATGTTAAATTTTCAGTGTTTACCAGCAGGTTAAAACTAACAACTAGAATAACAAGGCATGCATTTAAAAATTCAGTTATAATTAAAACCTCCAAAACAGATTGCTGTTGAGGAGATAAAGCTTGATTCTTCTATTCTTACCACTGTGACACAGGTTTGGACCATTCTGTAGCCTGAGCTGCTGTCATTTTTAGTCCCACTGTTCTCATCAATGTTCTCATCAAGTTATGAGAGGTAGAGACTAAAGCTAGACAGAATCTCTTGAAATGTCTTCCTCTTCTTTCTTTCTTCCCTGCCTGAAATAGAGCTGGTACTTCAGCAGGAAAGTTGTCTCCAGTTTGGAAATAATTTGGTCTGTCAAAATTGAGACTGTTGAGATTATTTATATTTAGCAAAGCTTGTAACTTTACTAAACTAATAAACAAAAATTAAAACTGATCTTGTTTTTCAGACTGAAAGCCTAGAGAGTACAATAACCATACCAGATATCAGATTACATAGCAATCCTTCAGCTTTTAATGTTTACTGCAATGTCCGCCATTGTGTGTTGGAGTGGCAGAAGAAGGAAGCGTCTGTGTCTTTGGCCTCAAAGAACAGTGTCCAGAGTGGGGATTCAGACAGTGATGAAGAAGAGGAGCCCAAAGAGCCACCTATTAAACTTCCAAAGGCAAGTAACTGATACCACTTAAGGTATGCCATGTATGTCATCTGAGGTAGGTATGTTCTTTTTGGGGATTAAAGAGCAGCAGTATAAGCCAGCTGCTTAGAACGCTGCTGTAGTTTTATTTGTAGTCCATCTAGTCCAGAATCATTTGATGAATTAGGATGATCTGTGTACCTGCCCAAATAAAAGTCAATTAAATGTCAGGTAAACACTCAAGTTGCACTCCTTTTAAAGTGTTGGTACTTGAACACCTACAGCCTCAAAATCTACACAGAAATTATGCAAATAAGGCAGCTCTTACGTCTCTGAGAGGCTACCAGCTCATAATGGTAAAGGGTGCTTTTTTTTTGCTTTATCCTTCAAAAAGAATAAGTGTTTCTAAAAATGGAAATAATTTGGTGGAATGGTTCCTCAGATGTTTTCCTGGGTATGCATGTAATTGCAGTAACTGTGAATTATTCTTTCCCTTTTTTGGCTTTACTGTCCTTATAGTGGTACTGACAGCTCTAGATTCTAATGAATGTTGAGATTTTGATGCTGTGGTTGAACAGTTAGAGTGGGTTTTTTACTATTGACTGCTTCTATGCTTATAGTAGGATTAATGGTGGAAAGTCAGAAATAAAGGACTTACTGATTTTTTTCTTATTTTTTTTCAACTTGTTGGTTCACTTGTTTTTTACTGTGTATTACAAAGCTATGTGTTTAGTTTCATTCATTGCTACCTTATCAGTGCTATGGAATGTACTTTGTTTTGTTGTTCTTCTGAATCTAAAAAGCATATTCAGATTACCTTCCCTTGCATATATTTGGCCTAAAACTAATAAAAATGCTGAATTAAAAAAGGTGGTTGCAGCACTGGTTATGTAGAATATTTGAACGGCTTAAAAAATTAGGATTTTATAGATGATTGCATTTAGGTGTTCTCTGAGGGGCAGGGTTGGCACTCCAGAAAGTAGTGGTGAATTGCAGAGAAGCATAACCAAGTCAGCCAACTGAAATGTCAGACTGATGATGGCAAAATACGTGGTTGCTGGAAATAAAGTCAGCATTGTTTATGAACTGCATCTGAGTACTTGTGGATTGTATCAAATGAATCGGCAAGTGCTTGTAGATGCTTAATTTTAAAGGCAGTGTAGCTACTAGCACTTATGGGGAATGGAATGATGTTTTAAAAAGATGTTGAAATTAAAAGAGGTTCCAAGAAGGGCGAGATTTATCAGTGATACGGACAGAAGACTTGCATGTGGAAACCAAAGCATTGGTATTGTGTTGGACAGTTAATTACAAAGATGGTGGCTTAGAAAAAATGATAGAGAAACTGTAGGTAACAAACTTCTCTCAAAATAGAAAGCTGTTGAGATTTTTGTTGCATTCAGTACAGCAAATACAAAATTGGTGAAAATCAGTAGGTTTTCACACTGTTAATTTTTAATAAAGAATCTACAAAATAGCAAATTTGAGAATTTTTGGTTCAAAAATATATTTAGATGCCTGTACAACCTCAGCATTTTTTGTAACTATCTAGGTAATACAGGGTTGTTTAGGTCACTTGGAGGTAACAATTGGACTTGCATTCATGCTTTTGAAAAAAGCATCTGCTTGGAACTGTCTCACATGTAGTAAAGCTTCTGTGGGCTGACTGTGTAAATGTCTTGGTATTCTGGATACAGGTGTCTGTCTCATGACAATGAACAATATTTTGTAGGGCTTAGTTTGTTAACTGTAAAGAAGAAAGTTATTATAAAGTTTCTAAGGTTTACAATATTTACAAGACAAATTTCTCATAGTAATTGTTAGTTTATTGAAAAGAATACTGATATATTTTGAGTTTGACAGTGAGGTGAAATATGAAAAAATAGTGTGGCTGGGGTTTGTGCTTTTAGAGATTCTCCAGAGTGTAGTCCTTGGTATGTTGGTGGTTTTTTGTTTAATTGAGAGTTAAGTTGAAAACATTCTACGTTTTTGTACCTTAAGGTGAATTCAAGTGTTCTATTGAAGTATTTTTCTTTCAGATCTTAAATTTGAGGAAGTCAAATTTGTTAGAGCCTTTAAATAGAATGTATTTTGGAATCAGAAGTTATCCTCTGCAATTTCTATAATAAGATTGAGAATAGTTGTTTTTAACATTGAGACAGACTTTGCTGCTTTTCAGATACTAGTACAACAAAAAATTTGTGTTTTGGTTGTGTTCAGATACTTTAGTAACTTGCTTTGATAGCTTTATATTTTTAGTTTTCAGGAAATACTTGCTTTTGTCTGATATACTTATTTGCTACCTTATTTATTTGTTTTCTTAGCTAATGATGAGGAATTCTGTCTACCTGAAATGAAGTAGGTTCAGTTCTGTTGATAAGATTTGTAATTTGCAGAGTAAAGAAGAGGTATTTCCCACACCCTTCACCATCACCCCCTCCCCTCCCCATCAAGTTTTAAACTTAAGGCTGAGTAATGAATGATCCACAAAAGCCCTGTACTAAAAGGGACAAATACTGGATTAAAGTGATTAAGGGGGAATTAACTGACTTAAATACTCTTTGTTCCTGCACTAGCATACATTTTGTTAATAACCTTAAGCAAAAATTTAAATATTTAAGTTGTAACAAAAAAAAAAGACAATTACTTTTTTTAGAGACTGAATTTGCTCATTTTAAAATTCATTAGGAGAATGTTACCTTTGTAAATGTTCCTTCTTTTGTGTATGTATATAATATAAATTAATTCAGAGTAGTGTGTAGTTTTAATTACAGAAATGTGAGCATTGGGGATAATGCTCACAGTGAGAGGAAAGATAAAGGAAATAAAACAAGAGCACAAATAAGACTTCAAGATGAAATAGGAGGGGTTTTAGGAATTAGTTAGGAGTCACAATGTCAGCATCCAGGCTAGAATTTTGGGTACCTTTTGTTAAGCAGTCTTAAACTTTTGATCTGAAGTCTCAAAGGTGTTGCAAAGGGAATGGGAGAATGGTTGCACAGAGAGCATCAGTAAGAGCAGTCAGGCTGTGACACAGAAGCCGAGGCAGAGCAGTGCTTGTTTTGGCTCAAAAACTCTACAGAGAGCAGTGAGAACAAGCTTAAGATATCTTAAAAAGAGCTATTTGCTTATTCTGTCCTTCAGAGGACAACTGGGAGGAGAGAGGTGGAGATGCACACGCACACACACACATATGTGTGTGTGTATATATATATATGTAAGACATACATCCCTGAGATAATACGGTGAATGGACCTATTTTATGAAGACTACCCAGTCTCTTATATTTAAAAGATATCAGATATTTGAAAACCAACCCAAAACTATGCAGAATTGATAACATCCCAGCAGAACTCTCTCTTATTTATTCCTGCTGTAGTGGAAGTTTACCAAACATTTTCCACTGTGTTATGTTCTCTGCTTTCTATAGCTGGCTCTGTCAGCTCCTAGATGAGGTTTTCTGTCTGAAGATTATGAAGAATGAACTTAGTTTCTCTCAAAGACACTATAACTGAACAGGAAGGGCATTTCTAAAAATGTACTTAAAATGTATTTTATTTTTTAACCTTTAGGATGATATGGTGAGGTTTAGATCCTGGAAAAAACATCATGCCATTATTATGTTGACAGTTTTTTTCACTGTAGATTCCATGTATGTGTTATCCCCCTACTCCATTGCAGATGTGAAATGTAAGGTGTAATTAGTAGGAAAATTGCTGCTGTGCTTTGAGGACTTGACTTGGTTGTGTTTTTATCCTTCCTCCAAGAATAATATTGATGGTAAAATAATTTCTGAAGGACAGGAATCAAGTTAAAGGTCAGCAAAGACAGGTAGAAGGCATACAGTAGAATTTAGAGCTGACTGCCAGAATATATATGTTTTAAGCATGGGTGGCAGGTGCATTAATCATGTTATTCATTTTAACATTTCTCTCTTTTTCCTTAGATTTTACTCAGGGGTGAGTCTCTGTTAACCACTCTATGGTGGCTCTACTCTTGAGCAAAACACATAGTGAAGTTTTTAAAATACAGCTGCTTATTTGTAATCTGCTAACCCTCCTCTCTTTTCTTTCATCTTCATCATTATTAAATACAGTGTTTGAGAAGGAGGTGCAAGGGAGCAGTCAGTGAAGAAAAGCATGACTGTAATCTCAGAATAGTCAGGAATTCTGAAAAGGAAAATTAGACATGGCTGTAACCGGGCTTTAAACATGTTCTGTTATTTGGCTTAATGCATGTCTTTTACAAGTACATGTGGAGTTCTAGTGCCTAGCAATTAATCCTTGTTTTTGTCACAATATAAATTTATTTTGTCACAATATAAAAAATAATCTCAGAGCCTTTGGAGGGGAAAGTTCTAGAGCTGCCAGTATCAGCTGTCAAATGTATTGTTATTCAGGATGTGAAGCCAGGTTGCAAGACTGTTCTAGTTTGCTGGCTCACATTAATGAGCAAGGAAAAAGAAGACTGTCAAAATTTTAAGCTTCCTTATTCTTTTGAGAAACTTAGTCTGCTTAGATATGCACTTTTATGTAGTGGCTAACTTATGTGTAATATTTGCTGGTATAGTTGTATAGGTGGATTCTTGATTTTGATTCTGGTTTAACACTGTATTTTATATTGCAACTTTTTGAGTAATTGTCTTGTTCAGTGAACACTAGGATATACTTTTTTGATGAAGATCTAAAAATATTATACTGACATCTGTTCTGAAAAATCTGTACTTTTTTAGATCATTGAAGTTGGATTGTGTGAAGTCTTTGAATTGATAAAAGAGACGAGATTTTCCCATCCATCCTTGTGTCTCAGGAGCTTACAAGCCCTACTTAATGTGCTCCAAGGTCAGCAACCAGAAGGCCTGCAATCAGAGCCTCCTGAAGTCCTAGGTAATCTCATCTCTTACTGTATTTTTATTAACATACATCTGTTACTGTGTTGGACAGAAGAAAATGGTTCTTGGCAAGTATTTGTGAGATAGTAACATGCTTGTTCTCAACTGACTGACTATTCTGGCGTGTTAACTCCTTATGGTGCATGTACGCAGTACTTCCTCACTGAAACACAGTAATAAACATCACAGACTAACAAATTTGGTTTCACTTTCTTGCTGAAACATAAAATACTTGGTCTTATTGGAAATAATAGAGTTTTAGGGTGAATTTCTCTTGTAATCTGCTGTTGTGGTCTATAGCTTAGATGTTTAATTTTGTATTTTTTGTGGAAGTGCTAAGCAGAGTGTCACAATTCTTGTTTTTATTTTCTCTGGCCATCCCAAAGCTGCCCGGAAAATTAATTTTCTTTTTAATGATATTGAAAATAGAAGTTAAACTTCTGATGCCTTTGAGAGCATGGTTGACTATATCCTTTAAGTTAAAATCCCATTATCTTTTGTTGGTTTACAGAACTGCAGAGAAGTCTAGGCTGTAGCTTGAGTTGTTTAAAGACAATTTTAAAAAAGTCTTTAGACTTCATGTATTTTTTCATGTTTTACGACAACAGTAATGCATTTCCAAAGATTATAATTTGCTACAGAAAACTTATTTTGTATTGATGCATAGAGTATTAAAAAGCTACAAAGAGGAGTTTTTAATTACTGCCATAGTGATTAATTGTATCAGCTCTCAAAAATTAGATCGATTTCTGTTCACACCTGGATTGTTAGAGAAGTTCAGCCACCAAACAGTGTTTGGAAAGAGGCATATGATTAAAATAATTTTCAAGCCTTGATTTGAAATGCTTGTTTCTATGAAGTGGGCTGTGCTTCAACATGGCAAATGGTCATAAAGAATAGACAAGTGATCTACATATCATCTCAGTGGTGGGGTAGACTGAATAGTGTCTACTATAGTAACACTTTCTGGCCCATTTCCAGTTAATATGTTCCACTGTGACAGAAGGACTTGTAGTTTCTCTTCTTCAGCCATGGTGATTATCCAGACTTGATGTTTTCTGACTGAAAAGAAGAAAAGTTAAGGATAATTCATTTAAGATGCTTTTCTGTCTGAAATTAGCTCTGGACATAACAGCTGAGGAAAGATATAATGTATTTTCCTATTTTAATTTCCCATTGATAGTTAAATTGTTTTGTATAATTTTGTGACTGATCTGTGCAATGGCTGTGTTTTATCTACAGAATCCCTGTTCCAGCTGCTTTTGGAAATAACTGTCCGTAGCACGGGAATGAATGACAGTACAGGACAGTCCCTGACAGCACTTTCCTGCGCTTGCCTCTTCAGTTTGGTAGCTGCCTGGGGAGAGACAGGAAGGACATTGCAAGCAATCTCTGCAATCCTCACCAATAATGGCAGCCATGCTTGTCAGACTATTCAGGTCTTGCACTGAAACTTCTCTGTATCTGGGAATTTATGTAAATGGGTACTTCTCATGAGTTCTGAGAAGATGTGTTGTTTAATTGTTACTTTTTCCCCCCCCGACTATTTTTGAGATGAGTTGATATTTCTTTGTTGCTCTTGAATTGGAGTTAGAACAGAAAATACAACTTTTTGTAAAACTGTCATCTTTTTCACTCACTATTTCTTTTACTGTTTAGGTGCCAACCATTTTAAACTCTCTTCAGCGAAGTGTACAGGCAGTTCTGGTGGGCAAAATCCAAATCCAGGACTGGTTCAGTAATGGGATAAAGAAGGCAGCCTTGATGCACAAATGGCCGTTGAAAGAAATATCTGTAGATGAAGATGACCAGTGCCTACTTCAGAGTGATGGTTTTTTCCTCTATCTCTTATGTAAAGATGGACTTTACAAAATTGGCTCTGGATATAGCGGGACAGTGAGGGTAATGTGGCTGCTTCTTGTCTGATGAGTGATACTTAGTATTTTAATTTAACTTCTGTGATGTCCTGTTTCCATGGATAATCTTACATAGCTCACTGATAATCAGTTCTGTTACAGTTTGTGTAAATTTTTCTGATGATTTCTATGACAACTTGACAACATTTTCTTAGAATTTTCACTTTGCAGTGTGGTTGAACGTACTGCTTAGATGGTAAATGATTATGTGTTAGGTTTTCATTCTGGTATTTGTTAAATGATTGAAGTTTTTTGCTTTTCAGGGCCATATATACAATTCTACATCTCGCATCAAAAACAGAAAAGAAAAAAAGTCTTGGTTAGGTTATGCTCAGGTAAGTGAATACTTAAAATATAAAATGTGCAGCCCTCCTCATCCCTCATAAGTAGTTTAAGTAGACCCTGGCTTAGAGTAAGCTTACATGGATATTTTATCGTTCCTTTGGCTTTCTTTATAAAACCCAAAGTTTTTGGTACTGGCTTCTAAATTATGGAGGATGATGATCTCATTGTCCTGGTGTGATTTTTAGTATACTCCTTGCCACACTTTTGAAGTGAAATTGTTCATTACAAATATGTGTTCTTTCATTGCAGTTACTGTGTTTGTGTAAACACAAACACATGAAATCTGGTTTTATTTAATGTAAAAGCAGATCACCAAAAGATACACTGTCACAAAACAAATGTGTGTGGCTGTGTTAATTCTGGAGTCTGTTTTATCAGTTCGGAAAGGAACAGGATTCATGTGGTTTCATTATATAGTGTTACACATTTGGACATTGAGTACATGACTATAAATGTCTGTGATGCTTTTTGAGTGCTTGTACAGGTGTGTGCACTCACACAGTGACTGTAACCAAAGGCACTGCAGTTTGGACAAGTGTCATTCTGTGGCTATATTTATAGAAAGGTGTGTAACTTGCATTTATTGGTAGTTATGTGTTTATAAGAGATAAAAGGTGTCCTTAGTGTCATTTCCCTTCAGGTGCATGGTTAACTTTAATTCAGGTGATTTTTCTTATTTGATCATTTTACTTTTAGATTGAAGCTTTTCTATCTACTTCAATGCTCTTTTCTTATTTTATGTGGGCTTGTTTTCCTCATATTGCCAAGATTTATTTAATCAGTAGTTTCAATTAAGAAACTGTCTTAGTGTGGGAGTCAAAGTAGTTAATTAATATTTTTTTTTTATTCTAGGTTTTAATGCATGTATTAATATGCATTAATGATTGCTCTTCTATATAGGACATTATCTATCACCTTCCTGGTATTCCTGTGACTAGTCTGTTGACTTGAAAAGTGGATACAGAAACATTGTTTCTGTTTTTACTGTGGCTGTGGCTTTTGAGTCTAATTGTGTGCAGATACAAATAACAGAATTAATGTGTGGGGCTTCAAAACTTGTATACAAGCTTCAACATGCTAATCTATGACATGTAGAAAGTGGAGGAAGGGAGTCAAATTTCCATTTTTTAATGTGGAATTTAGTTATTATTTGGGTTAGCAGGAAAAAAATGTTGATTATTGTTTGATGTAAAAGGCTTCCACTATTTTAAAGCAATATCTAAAATAATCATTGGATTTTTTCCCTTTTAACATCTGTTAATGTATTTAAGAGCATTTTCATACCTTCATGTTTTTTTTTTTTTGTTCTTGCCAGGGCTATTTATTATACAGAGATGTGAATAATCACAGTATGACAGCCATAAGAATAAACCCTGAAACTTTGGAACAAGACGGTACAGTTGCTTTGCCAGGTGAGAACCTCCAGATTAGAGAAATTTGGTATAGTTTGCTGTTTACATTTATGTATTTTCAGGCAAGCGGAAGAAAAACTGAGAGATTTTGAGGTCACAGATTGCTTATGACTTCGCTTCACTTCAGACCAGCTTCAGTATTTCACTTAAAGGCCTTGCATCTTACTCCAGTTGTTGGAAGAATATTGCAACATTTTAGAATATGTGAACATCTTAATTTAAAGACTACAAGAGCTTAAATTCCTTCCTAAAAATTTTCTTTTCTTTCTCATTTGAAGTTTGAATGTTTGGCTCGTGTATGACTTTGTTTCCAGGATTTCTTACATGTAGGCAATTATAAACTATGAACAAAACAATTTTGTTTTTTAATAGGGTAAAAATATATCCAAAAAGCAAAGGCTGCTAATGAACACTGGTGGACCATGCTTCTGATGTTTATATTGGTGGTGCATTTTGGTTTCTTTGTTTGGGGAATTTTTTTTCGGTTTTGGGGGATTTTGTGTGGGGTTTGTTTTGTGGGGGATTGTTTGTTTTCATTTTGTTGTCCTTTTGCAGAGGAGCCTCATAACTTCAGTCTGTTTAGAAAATAAGGATGTTCCTGGAACATGCTTTAATGGCCTTCTAGTGAAATGCATCTGTTCTTAGCTGCACAGATAAATATAAGAAGGACGCAAGAATATTTTTTAATCAAACAATGACAGGCTTATTTTGTAAATCAGAAGAAAGATTTTGTTTCATCCTGACATAAATAAGAAACCACTGACTGAAACCTCAGAAAAGTTCTCTAGGATTTTTGTCTTTAAAATGCAAATAGCAATTTTATAAACAAGTTTTGAATGTTGAATCTAGTCCATGCAACCTTCTGCACATCCTAAAAGTATGGATGTCTTTTTAAGCTGCTCTTGCTCTTTGTGGGGGCTGTATGAGGTATTTCACTGAGAGCACGTTCAAGGACCTGAAAAACTGCCTTTCAGAGTGGCTTTTCAGCTTTGTTCACCTCGGGGCAGCTTCTTACACAGTAGGGTTCATTATGTCCTTAATTATGTTAACATTTGTAAACAAATCAGTGTTCTTCATGCAAGTCTTGAGAGAGATTAGAGCACATTTGAAGTCTACCCTTGGAGCTGTTAGCTTGTTTTTCCAAATCTCAGTGACAAGTGTAGTTCTGCAAGACTGCCTTGTATTTATACTGTAAAAAGGCACAAATTAAATGCGTGTGCCTTCTCAACAATTTGCAAAAGCAAATGCGAATGGGAATACCCATTCAGAAATTTCTCAAACTGTCCTCTCAGTTGCATTTTGTGTGGTTTGTGATGGTGTTAAAGTAGATGTTAGGTGTTCTTTATAATTCCAGTCCTTTGTATTTCAGTCCTTGAACTTTGCTGTTTTGCTTTGTGCACTTCTACACATTTATCTCAGTTGTATTATTGTGAAAAGATATGACCTTGTTCTTTTGCCTGGGACAAATTCCAGGGGGTCCACTTCTGGTTATTTTCCTTTCCCATTAGAAAAAAATGAAATGAAGGTAGGGGGAGGGTGTCTGACCTGAGGAAAACAGAGTAGGTGCTTAACTCTGAGTAGTAGTGGCTGCCCCACTGCAATCTTATGGTGACTTGCAAGTTGTTCTAGTTCTAAAAAGCCATGCTGGATAGAACTAGAGGCCAGTGACCTTGCTAGCAGCTGAACACAGCAAATATTTGCTCCTGTTTGGGATGGTATTCAGACATGGCTCTATCTGGAATTAATCTCTTTCAAATGCCTGGACTGGTGATAGTGCATTAAAAAAAGGTATTAGAATTTATTCATACAAGGGATGCCATAGGAGGTTAGGAGATTTGATTAGAAGTTGATCCTAGGTAGAAGTCACATGACCTTAGAAAAACCAGAGAACTATGGAACGTTATTTTCTCCTTCCTCAGTCAGGAGTATCCATCAGCTTCTTGAAGCCATAAACTTCTGTTTTTAAAGGGCAGTCTTTCCACTCTGAAAGATGATCTTTCAAATCCAGCCTTGTTTCTGGAACTACCAGGCTATGTGTCAACATTCTTGTGTCTAAGGCCTTTGCCAAGATTTATACTGTACCTGAGTTGAGTATCTGTTTTCTCAGTCCATGTATCATAAAAGAATGTATGAATTCCATGAGAATTTACTAGGTGACTAGACCTGAATTTACAGAGGTTTTCATCTTTGCCATTTCTTTCTACAGTGATGCTTACTGCATACCTTAAAACAGTTTCTGTTTTCAGCTGGAGAAATTGAAGTGACATGGTATATGGTTTTATTGTTCTTTGAAATTGCAAATTAGTATCTTAGGCTTGGGACTATTCCCTTAGTGTGGAAAGTACTGCTAACTGAGGGTAGCCTAGATGACCTCAATTCCTGCATTATTAGCAGGTGCAGAATGTGCAGTATGAATGTGGAAGGTGATGCTTCAGAGAGACTTCCTTTGAAGCCTCTAAGGAGGCTGTGATTAACAGATGTCTGTAGTTACATGGTTTTAGTACATAAACCCTTTCTCTTGTAGCAGTCTTCAGACAGAATGCTTAGTTATCCTCGCCGCCATAGTAATATACAAAGTCAGATTGAATAAGATTTAGGATTGATCATACAAACTTCCTTCTTAGATGAGACACTATACTAGTTTTTCTAAGTGCTCCATTTGCCTTCCATTTCTTAGTCTTCCCAATGATTTGATTTTTAATGCTGGGCCTGTTTGTTAGTTAAGCAAGTGCTAATTTTTAGGAAGTGTTCTGGAGACCATGTATTTTTTTTGTAAAAAAAAAAAAATAAGCCCACCCCTGTTCTAGATTTCCTCTTTGAACAGATCTACCAAACATAGCAACAACCCCCCAGAAATGTTTACCAGGAGACTCACCTTTCTTGAAGTGGCTCAAGCAATAGACCAAATAGTGCAATACGGACCCACTGGTGGCTGGAATGTGCTGTTTCCTTGCCTGTTCTGCTTGTGTGAACGTGTAATTTTCAGTTATTCAAGGAAACTTCATGCTTACCAGCTTCCTGGTAACCTTTGGAGAAATGTCATTTAGTTTTGAAACTTCTCATCCAGTTAGTGGTACTTCTTTTATCACTAAGGCGTCTTTGCAGCATAGAGAATTAGTAGTGGACTGCCTTTGGTTGTTAAATCCGAGATTATTTTTGAGAGAGCAGTATTTCAAATTTCAGTGTTTCTGCTGCCATTTTCCATCATGCTTCCTGCTTACCTTCTGTGATTCATACCTGGTTGTGCTCTAATGGGAAGGAAGGTTGTCTGCTTTTGGTATTTTGCTTCCAGATGTGACAGTTACAGAAGGCTTTCTAATGCATATTCTGTTCCTGGTAAGACACTGGATTGGACTGGGCAGTGTATCAGCAAAAAGTAAACAGTGGGTTTCTGTGGGGTGTTTTCAGCTGTATTATTTTAGTGCTTTAGCTAGGTAGCAAAAAACCAGCCAACTTGCTGGTTATGCTAGAAAGACATTATGTATGCTCCATTTAGCATTAAATTTATTTGATAAAATGTTAATGCTGTATCTTTGTTCAGATTATGAAGCAAATATTTGGAGTATAGAGTGGCTGTCATATAGTATTTCTGGAAGAGGTCTTTTTCCTGTGTGTAATCAATGAGACAAACACAAACCATATGATATCTTTGCCAGTAGTTCCATCAACAGTGCAGGAAGGGAAGAAGAAATGGTGTACAGACATAGGTTTAAACTTGCACAGAAAGTGGTATTTTTCTTTTTTTTCTCCTAATTTGGGTAGGATTCTTTCTCTCCCATTTTCTTGGAATTATCTGAGTTATTTTCAATGAATGAGTGATGTATTCAAGTATATACTATATAGTTTTCAAAACCCCCCTAGATTTTTTCAGTTAATAGTTTGGTGAAATTTATAAATTGTGAAAAAATGAGATAAATAATGAAAACTGTGGTTCATTTATTTCTGTAGATTTTATATGCTGGACTGAGGAAACATTTCTTGAAGATAATGGTCCTTATATAAAAAAAAGTCTTTGGGAAAGGAGAAAGATTTAGTAGTCTTGGAAAATTAGAATTTATTTGTGTTGTAGTAGCTTGGAATATGCTTCACAGGTGACTACCAGTGAAAGGTGAATGGGTTTTTTTGCAGTTAAATATTGGGGTGTAACCAGTCACATTTCATACAATGGAAAGTGCTGTAATAACTCTTACAGGAACTGAAGAGAATTACATGCTTTTGATGAGACAGGACATCTTAATGTAAAATAACACATTATCAGAATGGTATGATCTCACTTGAGACAAAGTAGAACTCTCATGATCTGATTGGAGTTAGAGTGAATTAGACAGAAGCAGAGATTAGTGTGTGTATGTATGCTAATATAAATTGATGCAGTACACTTCATTTTTCTCTCACAGATTGTCATACTGAAGGGCAGAATATCCTTTTCACAGATGGAGAATATATTAATCAAATAGCAGCATCTAGAGATGTAAGTTTTACAAATGATGGGTAAACTATTTTTCTCTCAACTAGGTTTTATCTTACAATATTTATAGCCTCCTTTTTGCTTCATGTTTGGCTTCTTCTTCACTAACACAATTAAGGAAGAAATCTATGTAACTAGAAAAAATGAGAAACTTCCTTATTTGTGCATTAAAATGTAGTATTTTGGTATTCACAGAATTTTGATTTGTGATTGATTTTTTATTTTTCAGATAAGTTTTAATAAAAACTCCATTGCTCTTTCAGGAAAAAAAAAATCTTATATGTTGAATAATATGTTCTACAGGTTCTTTGTAGAATAAGCTTCGTAGCGCTTAAGGATAATTTTTTTTCTTTATTAATTTCCTGTAATTGCTTTGGAACTTATTGGAGTATTTCAGACAGTTTTATTAGACGAGATAGGAAATATACTACATTGCAGTTGATTTTTGTGTGAAAATTGCCTGATGGTCAAAGCTGTAGAAATTCAAAGTGCTCCTACTAGGGACAAAACTGTAGTGGTGGTTGTATTTTTTTATTTTTTTTCCAGCAGACAGTTACTATGTTTTTAGTTCTGGTGTGGTTTTTCGACGTGGTAAATATGTAAAATAGGGATGGGGTGAAACTGGGTTGTCGACAGATGCTAAACACCAACTGCAGAAAAACCAAGATTAATCCATTTCCCTCCTAACAGTCAAATTGGTGGGGGTTTTTTAACATGGCGAGATTAAGATACTCTGCACTTGTAAACAGAAAACTCTTCTAGTTACTCTTTACAGCTGTCACTCTGCATGCAGAATTTTGGGTTCTGAACAAGAAGTTCAGGGCTTAAACATAGATGTAAATAATTGTAAGAATAAGATTTCTACAGCACTTCACTATTTTTGTAGTGTTCGTAGCATTTTCATAGAACTCAATATATGTTTAAGGAGTCAGATACTTCAGCTTGTCCTGATGGCCACTTTCTCTTTTCTCCTCTGTAGTAAATGTTATAATAAATGTTACTTTATCAGTGTCCTCTGACATTTACTCTGAAATAGTACCGTGTCTATGTACTTAGGACTTGAGAAGTAAATTAATTAATTTCTTGTACAGTATGAAGTGGATTTTTGTATTTATTGCAGGATGGCTTTGTAGTGCGAATATTTGCCACAAGTACTGAGCCAGTATTGCAACAAGAGCTGCAGCTTAAGCTTGCAAGAAAATGCTTACATGCCTGTGGCATCTCATTGTTTGATCTGGAGAAAGATTTGCACATTATCAGTAAGTTCTGTTCTTTGAAGGTTAATAACAAGGCTGGTAATTCAAACAGTAGATCTGAAACACTGCGTTTTCCTTTGGCTCTACTATGTGCAGGAAGGTACAGCTCCATAATAAACACATGGAGAGGGGTTTGAAACCATTCAAGCATTAGTTGACTCAGAGTCAAATCCATACACCTGTTTGGAACCACCTTTCTGTCTCTAGTGCTGTTCATTGTTTTCCAGTATTTTCCTTCAGTTGTATAATAAATATATAATTGTTTGAAGCTTGGACTTTATAAAACATAGATAAACTGTGGAACTCCTTGCTGTGGGTCAAAGTTAACAAGTTACAAGGACCACTGACTGGATTAAAGGGAGAGAGAATTACATTGAAAACACATTCTTCACCTCAAATCAGAATTTGAAGTGAAGAATTGGTAGTATCTATGAAGGTATTTTGAAAAAAAATAATTTGGCCTTTGCTTTGGGATGTTTTTGCTCTGTTGAGCTTACTTTTGGCTCTATCAGAACAAAAAAACCAGCATATTTGGCTCCATGGACCAGCAGAGGTGGATAGGTGACTGGTCTGTGAAGCTGCCTGGTTAAACTGTTCAGTTAACACACTCTTACTTGCACAGGTACAGGGTTTGATGAGGAATCAGCTGTCCTTGGTGCTGGGAGAGAGTTTGCACTGATGAAAACTGCTAGTGGAAAGGTACTGAAAATGTTCTGTAGTGAATAGCAAATTGCACCAATAGATTTCTTTGTTTTTTAATTTAATCATTCTTTTCCATAATTTCTTTTTGCCTTTTCAGTATGTTAGAATGTATGTCTATGACTGTATTCAAATATATTTTTCAGAGCCTGCTTTAAAACATAAAAGACAAATAGTTATTGAAAAGCAGATACCCAACAGATAGTTGGAACCCCTTAGAAATCCATTACTTGAATTTATAGGAATTTCTACAGTCAGTCTCACAATGAAGGGCTTTATTTAAATTTGAGAAACAAAACTGTCTTCTGTCTACAAATGATGTGTTAGCACCTTTGCAAATTTTGCCACCTCATAACTTTCCAGTCTGACCATAGTAATTTATTTAAATCCCATCCTGATTTTTTTCTGATCTTTTAGAGAATTATTGATTCCCCTATGCAAATTTTTCAATTGATTTCTTTAAACCTGTTCTTAATGATTTGATATGTTGTTCTGCTCAGTGGAGACTTTTTGAGGCATTTGCATAATCATGGAAATTTAGAAATAATGCTGTCACTGACTCTTCCCATTATTTACTGTGGTTCTATTTCAGTGTGAAAGACTAATGCTATTTATCTTGTAAGAAACATAGTTGTTAATTACATGTTCAGAATTGCATTGCTTTGTTGGAATGAAGCTCTTGCTCTGCTGGTGTCAGAACAGTGAGATTGTTGAAAATGTTAGAGTAAATACTTTTAAAGAAAATTTAATGTTATGTACCAGAATTTGATCAAATAGAACTCTTCAGCACTGAGCTAGGCAGATTAACTTTATCATTCAACTAACAAAAGTGCCTGTTCAGTATAAAATTCACACATTTCCTGGGTTTGGTCTATAAAGTTGTCTGTTAAGGTAGGAAATACAGTATGTAAGGCAATGTAAAATGGCTTCAGGTGCCCCATAGGTTGACATACCAATTTTATAGAGCTGTTGAGTTGCATGGTTCTAAAGAAAACTTTTTAGTTCATGTCAGTATTTTTGTTTGTTCACGTGAAATATCTTACTCTGTTATTTATGTAGTCAGTGGCCACTGTGCATTTACTAAACATGTTTTACAAATGTGTTGAAGCATATTAAAATATGTAGTAATTTTTTATTTTAAATTGATTTTATTGTTATAATACCATCTTGTTTTTATACAGACCGGACATTTTTGTGAGGTGTTTTAAATGCTTCCTCTGAGTAGTTTCTTTGGTTCTTTCTTGTGTGTTCAACTCATCTAGCCAAACAATTATATATGAAAGCTCACTCAGTGGCTCAGTAGAAAGCACAATTCAAAACAAACTAAACTAAGAATCTAACCAGAATGTTTCCCCCACTAAGTCAAAATTGATGGGTTTGGGACAGAGATACTGAAATGGCGTAAATAAAGTCAGGAAGAGTGCAGTGTGCTTTGAAATGAAAGGAATTAAAAACAATGCAACTTTGAGAGTTATGTAAGCTTGAAGTGCTGTGGCATAACTAAAACTGATAAACCTTTTTCTCCTAGATTTATTATACTGGCAAATATCAGAGCCTTGGAATCAAACAAGGTGGCCCTTCAGCTGGCAAATGGGTTGAACTCCCAATCACAAAATCTCCAAAGATTATTCAGTTTTCTGTTGGGCATGATGGCTCACATGCCTTACTTGTTGCTGAGGATGGAAGCATATTCTTCACAGGTTCTGCTAGTAAAGGAGAGGATGGTGAATCAAGTATGTATCATTGCTTGCTTGACCAGTGGTTGGTAAAAGCCTCTTAAAGAGTTTTTAATTTGAGAATAAGAGTTTCAGCATTTTCCAGGAACATGTAAGCATGCCATTTGTGCAGGAGATTATGCTGGCCACAAATCCTGACAACCAGTGCCAAAACCTCTCCCAGCTACAGAATCCAATCTGTGCTTTACCACAGTTTGGGTTGTGTGGTGGAAGTACTATTTTAGATTTGTCCCAAGAAAAGACAGTAGTAAATTTGGTCAAGAGGCCATGCTGTCTGCCTGGGACTTGGAAAAACTGTGGAGCCAACCTTTTGCCTCTTTGCTCTTGTTTTATTGAGCTTTGGAAATGGATGTTTTGCTGGCTGGTGGAGAGGCACATTGATGAGAGCTTGTATAAGCAGATCTTCTGTGGTCGATCAAGCAGAATTCTTCAGACATTAGACAGATTAATTTGGTGTTCAGACTAACAAATGCCTCATCAATATAAAATTAACACATTTCCTAGTCTTGATTTCTGTAGTTGTATGTGTAGGTTGAAATAGACTTTGTAAGACAACTGAAGATACCTTTAAGTGCCCTGAATCTGTGATCTGCTGTAATAAAGAATTAAATACTTCACTTTAGGAAACAGATGGGAGATGATGATGTGGTAGATTAATAAGAATAATTAAAGTGATTTGAAATACTTGAAAATTCATTTCTAAAAGATACTGATCAAATAATGTCTTGGCTTGCCATTGAATTTTTTTGAGAGGAGCCAGTATAATCCAATTGAAATTAGACCAGGAGATTGTACCTATGGTTAGTTGTTTGGTTTTTTTCATTAGTGGTTTGAAAACTAATGATTATGCCTGTGATGGTTTGAGGATTTTTGGTAGATTTACTTGTAATTTATTTATTTATTTAAAGCTAAAAGCAGAAGGCAATCAAAACCATATAAGCCTAAAAAAATTATTAAAATGGAAGGAAAGATTGTCATATCTACAGCGTGCAATAATGGAAGCAGTTCTGTAATTTCCAAAGATGGAGAACTCTACATGTTTGGAAAAGATGCCATTTACTCTGATAGTACAAGTAAGTTAATATTGGTCTTTTGAATTCTTTTTCAACTGAAATAATTGAAATTAGTATGGAAGTTTTTAGCCCATGAAAATGTTGTTTGTGTGTTTCTTACCCTCCTAATGTATTTCTGACATTCTGTTGATTCAGACAAATATGACAGAAGGATAAAAAAAGGTAGTTTCCAAAAGTTCTGTAAAATAATTTAGCATGAGTGGTGACAAATGTCCAAAGTAATTCTTCCACTAAGGAGATGAAAAAAAAAATTCACTTGTGTTAATCTGGCACCAGAAGGCCACACAGGAAGGAGTCACAGAAATAAGGTGTGCTTTGGTACGAACAAAGGCTGCTGGAAGCTAGGTCTTGGTGCTTCTCAGCTCATAAGGTAGCAGGGGATCCTGTACACCACAGTTTAAGTAAAATATTAATGAAATAAACTCCAATGGCTGTATGACTCCTTTAGAATTCTTTTTCAAAACAAGTGATTCACAGCAGTTTTATGTTTGCTTTTGGATTTTCATTTTTTGCAGGACAAGTGGCCTAGGCCTAGTTCTTTCACTTTTTATTCTAACACTTGTTTTTTATACCTGTTTTTTTCCTATGCTGTAAACTTTAAAATTGTCAGTAACCACTAACAATTCTGTTACGTCTTTGAGTTTCCTTCTTGGCTAGAAAGTGGAATTTTTCACTTAAGTGTTTTATGCCTTGCAGGTTTAGTAACAGATTTGAAAGGTCATTTTGTGACTCAAGTAGCCATGGGCAAAGCTCACACCTGTGTGTTAATGAAGAATGGCCAAGTTTGGACATTTGGAGTAAATAATAAAGGACAGTGTGGACGAGACACAGGCTCTATGAACCAGGGAGGAAAAGGTGTGGGACCGTGTTTTGTTTTTATTTTTTTTTTTTTCTTTTCATTTGCATGCTGGCAAATATCAGAAGTGAAAACAAAGCTAAACATTTTGTTATAAAATGTAATTCCAACACTAAAGTTTGAATACGTGCAACATGATTTAAAAAATCAAGCATGCCCATGCACAGAGATTTCCAAGAAGTCTCTGTGCTGGCTGAGCAGGCAAATCAGGCATTTCCTTTTAAAACCTGATCTGTGAATGTTCTTCAGAGCTTCAGCAGTTCATAGACGCGTAGAATAGTTGGAGGTGGAAGCGATCTTTAAAGGTCATTTAGTGCAACCCCCTGGCAATGAGCAGGGACATCTTCAGCTAGATCAGATTGCTCAGAGCCTTGTCCAACCTGTCCTTACCTCTCTGAGTAACCAGAACCCTGTCTGTTGGCCTCAGAAAGCACGTATTTCTTATTTCAATATCTTAATTAGGTTTTGGAGTTGAGAACATGGCAACAGCAATGGATGAGGATCTGGAAGAGGAACTGGATGAAAAAGATGAGAAGTCCATGATGTGTCCTCCAGGCATGCATAAATGGAAGCTGGAGCAGTGTATGGTGTGCACTGTATGTGGAGATTGCACAGGCTATGGAGCCAGCTGTGTTAGTAGCGGTCGTCCTGATAGAGTACCTGGAGGGTAAGCACACGTGTGGGAATGTGCAGAGAGTTGGATGGCTAAAGCACTGAATGTGAACTGAGTTGAAGTTTCCATCTAAAGTAATTTTATAGCTAAATATATAGTAGTATGTGCTTTTAAAATCAGAAATGGCTTAAAATTTCTGTAACTAGCTTGTGGCTGAAGGTGATTTAGTTTTACAAACTTTTTTCTCACTTTAGCATGTAGTTCTTCACTAGAAGCTGTTGGATGTGAGCACCAATATAATTCCTGTCTCTTGGCAGAGCTGCTGGCTCAGAATAACTTTTCTTCGTCCCCTGGTAGAAGTTTATCTTGCTGTTCAAGTTGCCATTATCTGTTCCTTCTTAGTTGAGCTGCAGAGGGGTCACTGCGTCACCATTACTGTTTCTTCAGCATTTTGTGTGCTCACTATTTCCTTGTTCATGTTTTCGTGTGGTGTACATTAAATTGAAGAAAGAAAAGTAATTCTGAGAATTCAATTCAGTGGATGGTCAGTGTGTGGTCCTTGCACCATGCAACAGCAGCTAGGATTTAAACTAGCTGTCCTTCCTGCTTATCTCTGGAAAACTTGCATGTCCACAGATAGAACAAAGTAATAATCTGTGTTTTAATTACAAAGGCATCAGTAATGCACAAAAATAAAAGATAGTGATAAAGCAACTTTGTTTGCTGCAGAATCTGTGGCTGTGGCTCAGGTGAGTCAGGCTGTGCTGTGTGTGGCTGCTGCAAGGCATGTGCTAGAGAGCTGGATGGCCAGGAGGCAAGACAAAGAGGAATCCTTGATGCTGTAAAAGAGATGATACCTTTAGATCTCTTGCTGGGTAAGTACTATGAAATTACCAAAAAGGCTTTTAATTCTCAGTTTTACTGTACCTCTTTTTTTCCTATTGTTGTCCAGTACATTTGTTTACACACTTTGTTACAGGACAGTTTTAGTGTAATGTTGTTAAAATGGTGCTTAACTGTCAGATTTATTTATCGGTGATATAGCAAAGTGGGATCATTCTGTTAAGTGAACTGTTCTAAGTTTGCCCTTACTATAGTCACCTGTGCCACTTTATGACCTGTGCAGTTACGATGCTAATGTTGATACTACAAGTTCTTCTTGTCCTTTTTGATATCCTGAAAAATTTTCTATAATGTTTTTATCAGGATTTAAGCATTCTTAAACTAAAACATGGCTAATTGGTGTAAAATGTTTTAAAAATATAAACAATCGTAGACTTGGTTTAATAATACTTTTTGAAACTTTTTAGGGGAGGATGGAGATAACCATGACAACACATAACTACATACATGTGTATGCCTAAGTACTACTTAGTGATGTTGGAATAGTCAGATTCGTGAAAACCAGGAAATTAGGAGATAAAGCTTAGAACTCTTCCGAATTTACTCAAATCCTTTTTATTTATTGTTAGGGCCATGTAAAGAGCAGCTAGTAAGTAGGTTTTCAGTTTTCATTTACCTTACTTCTTTTAAGGTTTATTGCCACCACAACAATTTTAAAGATAATTCTATGTATTTTATTTTCTTAATCTATTTAGCTGTCCCTGTTCCTGGAGTTAATATTGAGGAACACCTTCAGCTACGACAAGAAGAAAAGCGGCAGCGTGTAATTAGGAGACATAGGTTGGAAGAAGGAAGAGGTGAGTGACTTACTGAGAAGGGCCTTGAATAGCTTAAGAAACTTTTAAGTCTGTTTTCTAAGAATGAAAATGGTCTTCCTCCAGTGAGCCTGTACTGTGATCAAACCTAAATCAGGTAGTTTGTTATGTAGCATGCTTTTAGAAAATGGTGTAAAATCGATGTGTTTAACAAAGTTTGTACATAAGTATCAGAATTTTAATGATGAAAGGAGCATTTTATATCACTTTCACATATGAGTTTTTATTTTTTTGCCATTTTCTAGTTGAATGTTTTTAAAATGTAGATCCTAATACATATTTATATGAAGAAAGAACTACAAGCCTGTCTCATGTTATTTACCTATTATATGAATTATCTAATTACTATAGTCATTCCTTTTCTGTTGTATGATAGGCAGAATTGTCTTTTATAAAATGAACTTTTCTGTATTTGCATAACATGAGAATATTGACACAGACTGAATTAAAAAAACAAAACACCACTTCAACATGTGAAAATTTTCTTCTGCTTTATTTACCTCATTGTTGATTTTCCACACAAAGAATAATCTGCCTCAAGAACTTTTCAGTACTGTTCATGTTCTAAGATACTTCAGTGTCTTGTCAAATTAAATATGAGAAGATTAGACTGATGTAAACTGTAAGATTTTTGTAAAGCATGATGACATGGTTGCTAAGATAATGCGTTGAGAAGAGGAGTAACTTACTGGGATATATGCTCTTTCAAGTTCCTGTAGTTTTAGTAAATACCACTTTGATTCTTCTCTTATGAATTAGATACTGGGGTTTTTTTTAATACAAAATGTGCCTTGTAATCCAAATTATTTCCTAGACTGTGCCAATGATTGTTGTGATGTGAATTGTGTCTTTATTTCACTTGCATTAAGAAATTGCTGGTTTAAGCCACAAATAAGAAGCAACCAGAAAGAGAAGCCTTGTAGTTGTCTATGCATATAGAAAATGATGGAATATTTATTTTTCTTTGCATCTTTGTGGCTAATTTTAGCTGTGAGGTGAAGAGAGGAAGCCTTTGTTTAGGTCATGTCAGAGCTGCTGCATGCTGCTGGCAAATGTTGGGTGCAGCTAACAAATTTTTATTGAATCCTAATTAAATGCCCAGGCATTATTGAAAGGTGCTGCTGTTCAGCCCATCAGTGATGACAGAGCTGGGAGGTAAACTTCAGTTAAAAGAAAAAAGAAGAGTGGCAGAGAAAAATTTACATTTGCTTCTATTTCTGTGGTTAGAAGCAGAACCAGAGCAGCTTATCCCTTCTGTATGCCATCTGTTTCAAAAGCAAAAAAAGATCATTTGAACAGTAGCAGGAATGCACTCTAATGGTTGGTTTCATAGGTGTATGGGTGAAAGGAGGTTGTAGTCAAGTGGGGCCCAGGCAGTCAGTGACAGTACAGGAGGACACAGTCTTAGGCTGCACTAGGGTAGGTTTAGGCTGGACATTTGGAAGAATTTTTTCACAGAAAGGGTGACTGGGAATTGGAATGGGCTGTCCAGGGAGGTGGTGGAGTCACTATCCCTGGAAGTGTTTGAAGGAAAGGCTGAATGTGGTACTTAGTACCATGCTGTAGTTGACATGGGAGTGTTTGGTCATAGGTTGGGCTCCATCTCCAAGGTCTTTTCCAGCCTAGTTGATCCTATGATTCTGTATAGGGACTGTAGCTAAAAATATACTGTTATCCAGCTTGTTGCACACATTTGTGTTACATTTTGTATCTAAAGAATACCGGTGTGGCTGTGGGAGGTAGTGGGTATGCCAGTCTGGAAGGGTTGGAGATTAGTCTCCTGTTTTGGTTCAGAATGACTTCTTGTGATAAAGCTGGAAATGGTGTTTCACAAATACTTAGAGATCTTGTTTTATATAATCAGGTATGAATATTTGATTTGATAATCAATCTTTATTTGCATAATCAGATTAAAGAGCTTTTTTGCTTCTCCATCCAAATGCTGAAGTTTTTCGTTAATGAGTTGGTGCAAAGAGTAGCACCATTCTTGACAACTCTTATGATGCTACTCTTTTCATAAGAGGGAACAAGAACGTTTAAATAATCTACTAGATTTTTTTGTGCAGTGTTTTGCTTTGCAGTCTGATAAAACATAGTTATAATAATGTTAAAAGAACAGGCAGGTTACTTGTTGCTCAGTTTTCCCAAGAGTTTTACTATTTGTGCATATGGAGCTGAACAAATCCATGCTAATGAAATAGCTATTTGGAGATCCAGAGAGAATGTTCAACCTTTCAAATTTCTGAAAACGGTGCTTAGTCAGTTAAAGGCTGGACCAGCTCTTTAGGGCCTTTCCTTAAGGTACACAGTGTTTATTTTATCAGGATTCTGATTTCTGGATTATTTAGTGTGTTAATGTGTGTCTTTTGTTCTTTCATAAGAAAAAAAGCACGCATAGTTTATGATGGTGAAGAATAGGATTCATCACTGAATGTAGCTGCAAACTTTTAAGTTCCTGTTGGTGACCTTTATTCAATACAATTATTTTCAGTAAATCTTGAATGTCTTGTAAAGAAGAGAAAAGCTTTAAAAATACAGGAATATTTCATTCCTAAAACAGTCATGCAAAGAAAAAAATCACAAAGCTGCCTGTCACCCAAATGCGTTGAAATAGGTCTTAAGTTTAGGAGAGAGCTGTAAGAGCCCAAGTGCTGGGATTACACTGATTTTTAAGCTGTCTAATTGTTTGTTGTGCTTCTTTCAAAGCTCCAGATTTAGTCCTGTTATAGTGACTTGTGATATGAAAACATGTTCTTGGGGTCCACTTAAATTAAGAGTCTTCAGGTGTGACAATTGTTTAATTTCTTCACAAGATCACTTGTGGTCTCTTGTGTTGAAGAAGATAAGAATGCCCTTCTTTATTTGCATTTATCTGAGAATGCTGACTCTGAATTTGAATGTTCTGGGTAGAAGTAGTTGTTAATAGCTGCAATATCAATGACCTGGTTCAATGTTAGTGTCACAAGCAATTAACTCACTCCTCACACATGATCCAGGTAGCCTGCCACTGTTGTAAGGGACCTGTATACATGCTGCTCAGCAACAGCACACTTCAGGAATTTTAAGTGCTTATGCTGAAGATTTCTTTGTTTCTTACTTTGAAACGAGTTACGAACTATAGTTTATGATGGAATTGTAACCAGCTAATAATTTTTATGTTTTGAATCAGTTATTTCTGTTGCTGTATTCAAGAAAGAAATTCTACTTTAGTGGCAAAAAATAGATACTTTAAATTAATAGTGGGTAAAAAGTGTTTGTTTGGGATAATCAATTATTTAAAAATTTTGTATGTTCCTTAATATTTATTATAGTTCTTTGCTCTTTTGTGCACACAAGTGACTGTGACAAGCAGTGAAGAGGGCTCAATCAATTCTACATTTTTGAGTTGGGTGTATGACCTTCTGAGAAATAAAGCCAGCTGTATTCATCACGGCGTCTGTGCTAAATCATAATATCTCAACATAATTATTGATGGAATTATCTCAGCTCTTCACTATCTCTGGTGAGAAGTGAAGGAGCTGATTTTCCATATGGTGAAGTGGTTTTTGTTTTTCAAGCTGTTTTGGGGCTTGATGAGAATAATGAGATGAATATGGAAACAGTTGCACTTCATTATTTTCTGTGGCAGTGAGAAAGTTTTGTATGTCAGAATGCTCAGAACACGGTTAATTATTTTTTCTTTCCTGTGAAACTATTTTTTTCATCATGGGGGCATTAAATTGCCTTAATGGATTACAGAAATCTGTGAGCCACATGAGCAATTATTGTAATGAACCTAAGACTAGCATTTTTTGAGAGAGCTATTCTTGAAAGCTGTTCATGAGACTTTTTACTTTTTCAGATTGGTGTTTGCAGTAATAGAAGTTGGAATAGTCAAAGTTTAAATTTATCACTTGAGATAATTCTGGGATATTTTTTCAGAGGGCGATGAGAATGTTAAAATAACTTTTTAAACTATATTTAATAAGCTAAAAAACACAGACATGGTTCTCAATACAGCGATAATAAGTGGTCTCATGCTTCACTGGTATTTCACTACTACTCTTTCTCAGCCTATGCTGTAAAAACCTCTAGATGATCATTACTGATATGCAGATTTGGTGTGTAATTAAGCAAAGTTTAGCTTTTGATGCCTCTACAGAAAAGGAAAATTAATTTCATCAGTCTTATCCTACTTGCAACAACAAAGAACCCACAGAAAATTGATTAATTTTAGTCCAAGCTGCTCTGTTTTAAGACAATATAATCTGAGGCTGCCTAGATTTGGGCATTTTTCATTTTCCTGAAGTGTAACTGATTCAGTTACTTCAGTGATTAGTTTTACCATGGTAGGCTAAGTATCACACAAATCTGTTTAACACCTGCACAAGTCACCCTGAGCTTGGAATCCCTTTGTCTGTTCATTGCTCAACATATACCAAAATACACAGTAGAACTATCTGTACAAGTGCAATATTAAGCGCAATATTACTTAGTAAATAATTGTGCTGCTTCTTTTTATGGTTTTAATTAAATGTTTAATTTGATGCTTTCAGGATTACTTTTGTTTCAGTGTTCTTTAAGCAAACCAAAACCAATTGTTACCTTTTCACTTGAAACTCACACATGACTTTTTAAGCGTGCTTTCAAGGAAAGCTGTAGGCTTTTGCCCCTAATGACCATCAGGTATGGTTCTATGAAGTTACATTGTTACACTTTTGTCTGTGATTCCTTTCTGAAAGCTAACTGTTGTTATTAAAACTGATGTTTAGAGTAAAAATATTTATATTATAGTTTCAGATCTGATTTGTAGTAGACACCATGGCACAGTTCTGGTTAATATTTGCTGTTTTAAATTACTTCATGTATTTATAAGCAGAAATGAATATTTTATATGTTTTTAACAATACATACGAAGTCAAGTATTCAGAAGGGGGAAAAGGTCAAAATTAAGATTATCATAAACCATACTTCCATTTCATTCTCTTATTACTCCCACATTTCCCTGCATGCTTGTGTTGGCTGGTGTGCATCTCTTTTTCCCCTTTAAAAAGCCTTAATTTTTCTTCCACACCTGATTTGTACAATTTAAATGTTGCTTTAAGACTACAGGAAGAGACATGTATCTTGTCTTTGTTTTCAATGTTTTGAACAAAAGAAGCAAACTGCAGTTAACCTTAGTGCCTGCGCATGACATTCTCCATGAGTGTTTTCACCTTAATGATAAATTGCTAGTCATAGTTGGAAAAATGCAGTTTATTTTTTTTACATGCACCATAATTATTAGCCCTGCCTCATGAGAATATTAAATTTTATTTCCTTTAAGGCTTTATAGGTGGGACATTATCTCACTATAATGTTTTATGCTTCTAGTGGAACTGAAGTGAAGCATTTGTCTCTAATTCCATTTTCTGAAATTTTTTTCTCAAAATTTGCAACCTGTTGACCTATTAGGGTGGCTAATATCCTATATTAGGGTTTTATCTTCCTATTTTATTGCTAAAAAAACCAACAAAAATACGCTCCCCCAGAAATTGCTTGCTCTCTTTCAAGGAGCCAAAAATAGGTTTTTATAACAGAGTGTGTGATCCAACCTAGCACTTAGCTCTGCAACCTGAATTTATACTGCTTTTCTGTATGTGTGTGTCATCATGTACTATTTTTTCAGGTAGCCTGCTGTGTTCAGTGCACTGGTGCAGAAGTCAGCATTTGCAATAATTGATTTCAGTCTCCTGCAATCACAGCCTGCCAAATAGCATTTGTTTAGGGTGAGGTACTAGAAGAAATCGAATATGTGTTATATAAAATGAAACATTAAACTCCTTCATAGTTGTGTCCAAGAGCTTAGATGACCAAAAATGCCAAAGCACATTAAGTGCGCATAGGATGAAATAATGGTGTGCATTTTTCTGAAGTCCAGTGCATTACTTAATAAAGGCATTCTATTTGGAGAAAATTAATTTATTTCTGTGGTTAAATATATTTTTTAATGCTTTGAATTTCCTGCAAAACAATGTCCATTTTGAAAAGTCTGGACCAAGAAAGGAAAGCTAGTCTTGACATTTCAGCTAGGGCTGTTCAGCATCTCAGCTCAGCTATGGAAAAACAGTCTGTGAAGGGAGAGAGCGAATGTCATTTTGCATCACACAGTGACTGATTTAAAATAGCTCTGTAGTCTACCAGTGACTCCTCTTTGCTTATCTCTGTCACTTGATCTTCTAAAGTAGAGACTAGTAACAGATTGTTATTCCCCATGCAGATCTATCTTAGAGGCTTCTGAAGCAGTTTTCCAAATAATACTCTGCAGGCATTTTTTAACAAATTAAATTTAATGCATGACTGGATTGTTCCACCAAAATATTCTTAGCACTTAAATTTTGCTCCCTTCGTACAGGCGACCTCAGGTGTGAGCAGAAAGCAATTAATGGTCTCCATGAATTGTTGTATGTTTTGTTGCCTGTGTTACTTGGAGGGAGAGGGAGGTGTTTTGCATCCTGCCAGCAGATGACCAAGGCGACAGACATCACAATACAATCAAAATGTAGATTTTTATTTCATGTTTGTACTTTCCTATTTTATTATGATCATTTTACAGGTTTAACATGCACAAAAAGCCAAAGACAGCAAACATGTTACATGGATTTGGGTAGAAATTACTATGAAGTGGCAATCTGTTGCATTTAAGTTTATTTTGGATTCAAGTTCTTTACACAAGGGTAAATCTAGAGTATATAGGAATATCCAGAAGCGAAGATAAATCCTGCATTTGTCAGAAGGTTTGATTGTTACGGAATTGTCGTGTTGACTAGGAGAGTGTGATTCAGATTAGTAGCTTGGAAACTAATGGCAGGTGTCTGCTAGGGGCATGCTGGAGTTGGCAGCCTCTTATGCTTACTAAACATCCTGTGTCTTACAAATCTTCTGTAGTTCTTTTGCTCACCCTACTGTACTTCACTTCCTTCTGTCCTCCTGAAATTCTCTTTTGTTATCTTTGCTCTTAGCACTAAAATGCGAAAGGCTGCCTTCAGGGCTGTATCTTGTTCCCCGCACTGTTTGTTGTGCAAGCATGTTTTGGAGCTTCAGAATGTTTGCCTAAGTTATCTAGAGATCAGTCAGCCACCCGCAAATGTTTTAGATCTACACTCTTCAAGCCACACTCTTTGCAGTCCTTGGATCTCTTTTTGCAACTTGGCTGATCTGACTTTTAACTTGTGTCGTGTTGTCCTGTCCATTCTCTATTTTTTCAGATTTTAATTTCATTAGCAACTTTCCAGTAAGTCCCACTACTTTTGCCTTATTTTCTCATGTTCTTCATTCACCTTTCCTCTGTATCATTTGTCCTTCAGACATTTTTAGCTTTCATAATCTGCTTGTCATTCATCTCTTGCCCTTTTTACCTTTTTCTGGTGTGCCTCAGGATACTCCTCGCTATATTGCCTCACTTGGTAAGAAGCAAAATGTGGTGTAATTTTTTGTGTAAGTCAAAACTCTGGAAAGTAGTATATTAAACACAGCAAGTGGTTTGGCAGAAAGTAATGCTTACCAAAAATGTATCTATTAAATGGAAATTTGAATTCAGAGGAGACTGAAAAGGGGGAGCACAACAGCAAGACAATTGAAGGAAGAATCTGCAAGATGAAGGTAAAACAAAAGCAAATTATGATCCTTGATTAGGAGAAGGAGCTCTGAATTAGTAAGAGGATCTGTTCTGGAACGGAGTCCAAATGAATACAATAGAACAAAAATAAAAATTCTGTGCTGTGTGCAGAAGCAAACATGACTGAGGAGGTTTTGGGCCATTATATTCCCTAACACATGTTAACCTCTAAGCTAGACAGTAGAGTGTTTTTAAAGCATTCTGCATTTTGTTTTTTTAAGTGAATGCTAAAATTTGGGAGCTTCTCTGTGTGAAGAAAGTTTCTTCATCTGAAAGTTCTAAAGCTATATAGATTTGGCCTAACTTTTGCTTAGATGTCTATCCATGCTGTTTAGTATTAGTGAAGGAGGTGGTGGTATAAAGTTGACAGCAGAAAACTTGAGGCAATGGGCATTTATTAAAAGTTAACCTACACTGTCTTCTTAATAAAGTTCAGCTGAGGAATGAGAGTATCAATGAATTTGCAGAAAAAGGAGGAATATTTGCATTCTAAGTTTTGCATAAGCGATTTATAACACCACAGCCTGATTTTGGGGTGCTTTTGTTTACTGTTCATGGTGGGGCTGGATTTGGGAACCTGTGAAACTGAGTGTCACTTGGCAGAATTGGTTGCTTCTGATACATGGTTTTCATTGAATATGAGACTTCTGAAAGGACAAGAAGTGTCCAAAAAATTCATGGTGACATGCTCAACCTACAAAACTGGAGAAATACAGATTTAAGAAAGAAATTCCTTGTCCGTTACCTGCTTATACTGAGCCTCAATTAAGCATAGTACCTCACTGCCTAAATCTAGATTTTTAAAAAGGAAAAGCAATCTGGAAAAAAATTTAAATCATTGCTTTCTTTAAATCAAATCTTCTCTTGAAGACCTTTAAATAGATTGAAAAATATTTTCAAAATAAATGGATTTCAGAATTACTAAGTAGATAAGAGTCATATGATGTGAAAAACTTTCTTTCTGAAACATGGAACTTTTTCTTTAAAAGTTGTAACTCTGCATCTTAAATATAGTAATTGCAAACAAGTTTATGGGCGGGGGGGTTAAATTAGCATTTATATTATGATCTTGTTCCAAATCAGTATTTTGAATGTTATGTTGTAGGATTTAAGGCATGATAATTATTCTTTTTATCTTTCAAAGGCAATAATGGGTATTTGCTATCAGATTTTATTCTAGTGTGAGTATGTTATATTTCCATTGCTTGCAGTACGGTTGCATACTTAGAAATTCAGGTAAAAATATCACTATGGGTTGTTTATTGGTTTCTCACATAAGTTATCGAGAAATGGCAACTTTCTTATATTTTAAGGTCTTTTGAATTTAAGAAAACAACTTTATAATTATTATTCTTTTTGGTTTTTTCATTGCTTTTAATTTGTATTTTGTTTAACACACTGTTTCCATTTTGTGAGCTTTCCTATGCATGTGCAAAATGTTTCTCCTCAGGCCCCCTTGTAATTCCTGGTCCTATTTTTATGAACCATCGAGAACAGGCTCTAGCCAGAATCAGACTCTCTCCAGCACCGCTAAAGCATAAACGGGACAAGCACAAAGGTATTTGGTCTTCCTTATTGACTAGGGTGGAAATGAGCCCAGCCTCCCAGTCACTTCTTCCGGATGCTGCATCTGTCTTTTCAAAGAACTGCACAAAATGAGTTCTGCCTTTTCTTCCTGTTAGTATCTTGTTACCTGAGGAGAAAGAAAACGCATTTAAATGTTGACCTTTCTTTAGAAGTGTAAATGGTCATTTGTCCACATCATCTTTGTTTTTCTTTCCCCTTTTTATTTGTGAAATATGCTTTGTCTTTCTGTGTGTCTTTTCTCATTTCTAATGCTGTCTCATTCTTAAGGTTCTTTATTTTTATTTTTTCTTTAACTGTAGGAAACGTAACATGGTAGAGTGACTCAAGATTGTTGCACTGCATTTGTGGTTTTTGTCCTTTGTGTTTTGTATTTGGGGTGTTTACTTAAACATGTCAGTCCCAGGCTTGATAATTCTGGCCAATATCTTCTCATAGGTATGTTGCCTTTCATCAAGCCCTTTTTAGGAGTGAAATATTTGAAATAATGTAAACATTACTTTTTGCTAACTTTGAATGGGAAGAATACAAATCAATATACACACTTTTCTCTGCAATATTCTTGAGTTAAATGGTTTTATAGAGTACAGCTATGGAGGTGTCTTGGTATTTCAGACATTTTTGTATGTCTGGCAAGCCAGTTCCTTTTATCTTCAATTTCAAAGTGTGCCATTTGTTCAGATATAAATGACTTACGTGTTTTTTAGAAAGTAGTAGTATATTACTAACTGAACTGACTGAAGTTGAGCTGTCTCAAATCTGATTGTAGTTTGTATCTATCTGTGTATTGATGTGTCTGTACATGCATTATTTATATACAGAAGATAAATATGTAAAATGGAGGTTAGAGACCTGGTCAAAGTAGGAAGCTCCTAAAAATGGTGAACCCAGAACATTTCAGCTCTTTTCTAAAGAATACCTAAATATTAAAAAGAGTTAGTATGGCATTTCAGTTGAATTAGTGGAAGTTACTGATTGTATTTGGCATGTGTGCAAACAAACTGTATATCAGTTTGAAGCCTTATGGGATAAAGTTTCTGTGTATGTGGGTGATGGGCTTACTGAGTTATGAACATACTGGATTGTGAAATCATTTTAAGTTTACTTTATGGAAATGAAAGCAAAATCTGTTACTTAGATCTGCATAACATTTAGTCTTTGGAAGCATGTTGTCTGAGCTTTAAGTCTGGATGGACTTAGTAGAATAACCTATCATAATCTCACTGGAGAGGTTGCCTGCTGAAGGAGCACATACTGAATTTAAGTTTTGTTATGTGAGTGACAATTTGCTGATGGCCATTATTCTTGAGCTACATACTACTACTAGTTGTAGTGCAAGCCCTTGACTCCACAGGCAAGTCCATAAAGTAGTATGCTTGTTCTGCCTCCGTCAGTGTTTTTCTGGCATGTGTTAGTTGTTGGAACTCGTTTCAGATCAAGTATCTCCTTACAAGAGGTGTATTCATTAGTGTCAGTTTGAGGCTTATGTTGCCTCTTGGAGTTGTAAGAACAATATAAAAGGTCTGTGTTGTGCTGGAAGACTTTGGTCAGATATGCCCTATAGAACTGAACATTTCTTTTTCTTTAAGGAAGACTATGTGGAAGGAAATACTCAGTTTATTTCAGTTCTTTGTGTCTTATGGTAAACAGATAAGGAGGTTTTCAAGTAAACTTTTAGATCCTTCTCTGCCTCAGAAGACTGACTTTCAAAAAACAGCTGTAAATTTGACTAGGAACTAGAAATATCCCTTAACTTCTCAAAGAGATTCCAAGGGGAAAAGGAAAACTGGTGAAGTGGGTTGTTATCCAAGTAACAGGCAAGGTGAGAATTGTGAAAAAAATAACCTTTTTTTTTTGTCTTAGAAGGCATGCCTCTCTTCTTTGAGGAAGAATGTAAAAGCAATAATAGAACAGAGATAAAAGGACATTATCACATTGAAATCAGCAAATTATTTTCTTTTTGAACATGATGCTTTCCAGACTGTCCTCCTTCTTTCAGATGTTTCTGCTATAGTAGTCTTCTTCACACCAACCAGACCTTAGAGATCTTTGGGCAAGGAGTGTTTAGTTCAGCTAGTAGTATTGATAAGGCCAGTACTAAACTTGGTGGTTGCCACTTCTCTGCTTGCAGCTGCAGAATGTCTCTTGATAATGATATTTAAACTTGAATATGGACAGCTTCCTCAGGACTTCTTCAGACAATTATTGTCTGATATAAAAAGTGTATTTGATATGTACTTGTACATATTGTCAAACCATGGAGTCATGGAATGGTTTTGGAAGGGATCGTAAAGATCATCCAGTCCCAACCTCCTTGACATGGACTGGGACACCTTCCATTAGATCAGGTTGCTCAAAGCCCCATCCAGCCTGGCCCAGAACACTTCTGAGGGTGGGTCATCCTCTGTTTCTCTGGGCAACGTGTTGCAGTGCTTCATCACACTCAGAATAAATAATTTTTTCATAATAATCTACATGTGTGTCACTTGTGGGATTTGTCTGATTGGTTGTCCAGTTGAAAACTCCTTCAGTTTCATTGAAACAGCAGGTTTTTAGAAATCTTGCCATTGTCATTTACTCTTTTCACATTTATAAGGCCTGCATATCAAGAACTTTGTTACTGCAAAAAACTGCATAATTAAGCATACTCTTCCTGATCTGTGTCTTCTGTGTCTTTCACAATTATTAATAGAAGGGATTACGTATTACATTTTTGGTATTCATGGAGTGGTTTGGCACTAAAAATAAAAATGAACTTGTGCTTCATCCTTATTCTTTAATGAAGTCCAGTCTACATCTCCAATCCCTGTGGATTCCCATAACTGAGCATCTTAGTAAAAAGTGATGCCTAGAGAGGATACCTAGAACAGAGGCTAGACAGTGTTAAAGGAATAAAGTAGGTATTTATTGAAAAGGCCTTCAGAGTATACCTTGGGCAGTACAGAGACCCAGCTGTGCCTCCACTCAAGATGAACTCTTAGTCACAAGTTTTCACACTTTTACAAGTTCTTGTCCATTTCCACATTGGGGTTAATTGTCCAATTTCAGGTTCTGAAGTCCCATCCTCCCAGTTTGCTCTCCTCAGTTCCCTGCTGTTTATACTTTTTGGGCCTGAAGCTGCAATGTTGTCCTTGGTTCTCAGGCTGGAAAAGGATCGTTTTGTCTAACTGAACTGCGAAGAGAACTTGCTAATGTTTTATTTGAAGTTCAGAGTTATATACTAATGCAGTACAGAATCTGGAAATTATGAAAACTAAAACTTAAGGCATCAAAAGGATTAATGAAAGTCTGTAAAGTTTTCTCAAGTGCAGAAATTAACTAAGTAGAAATAAAAACCAAAGTAAGCTTCTTGAGTCAGCTAAGATTCAGCAGATTGAATGCCATCTTTTTCCTGTATTTGGAAATAGTGGTAAACATTCTAAGGAATATGAAACAAATACCCTCAAAACGACTAAGACTAGATGAAGCTGAACCTGCATGGATGGAACAAGATATAGGTCAACCATTTTGCAAACACTAAGACAAAATTACCAGATGTTCAAAAAAACTTACTTGGAAATTTACTTTTTAACTTTTCGGCTGTCTAAGATACCATGTGATGGGCAGAGTAGTTTGAAGCACTCATTGGAGTGAGACAGCTGACAATGAAAAACCTACATCTAAGACTGAGTTTTTGACTAGAATGTGAGTTTGTTATCACTTCATTGGATGTGTTATACACTTGTGACTCTGCATATCGTACTTCACCTGTAAGCTCAAGTAAGCTCTGTAGCAACCTCTAAAGAATCCAACAGACTTACTTTTTGTGGATGGATGATTTTCGCAGCCAGAGTATATTTATTTTCTCCCTGCACTGTAGCTATAAAATTGGTTACAGATATTTCAGCTGCAGCCTGGGGTAGACAGCCAAGAAGCTGCAGGCACAGGCTGATTAGTTAAAGTGATGTTGCATATAAAGTTTGTAAATTATGGCACTTACAACACCCTGTGAGAGTTGGACATCACAGAGATTAACCAGTAACTTGACCAATATGCTTTATTTGGGTGATTGCTGCTGAATAGAACCAAGATTTGTTGGCATGTGATGTGGTCTGAAGAGACAGTTAATGTAAGAATTTTTAATATAGTCATATTCCATTAACACTTTTTATCTGTGGGGTATTTAACATCTTTAGAAGTGCTTTTTCTCTTCTCCAAAGATGGATGGTAAATGAGAAATGGAATATCACCATCCTTGCTGTTGGAGAACACTAACAAAATGCTTTTCCTCTGGTCTGGGCCAAGCAAGGGTCCACTATATCTTTCTGTAACGATGCTGGGTTTGGGTTTTTTTGCCAGAAGAGGTCTCATTTAAAGGTTGTTACTTCACTTGCTGTTGAGTCCGAATGAGGTTTTCCTTTGTTCCTGGAAAGCAGTGGGTTTTGTGGCAGCAAAATGCGCCAAGAAAACTTTCTAAGCGCATTTAGTGGTGGAGGAAAATTGTCTTCAGGAATTAAGAACTTTCTGAGTGGTAGTGGGAATTGGTTGGTTGTATTTGTAGTTCTGTCTTTCCTTCCGTAACTTTGAGATACCAGAGATGAAAACCCATCAGATGTTGTTCATGGAGCACACCCCTCTGTGTTGACAGCAGAAAGAACTTTTCCTTGGGATTTTCTTCTCTCTCAGAGAGATGGAGTCAAAGGTGCTGTTCAGTGGTACCCCAGTTGGATAACACTGGAGGTACTAACTTGCTCTACTTAAAGGTTCCAGTGCATCCAACAAGAAGAGTCTCTGCTTCAGTAGGCTTTTTATTCTTTTCTTTCAGGAACAGTTATTTTGATATTACTTTTAATGAAATGAAAAAAAATGCACAATTGTTTGAAGGAAAACAAATGTGTATCTCCCTAGTTACAGTTATTCCTTGACACATGCAAATAAGCTTTCAGCATCCACTTTTGACTCACATTTTTTTAAAAAACTTTGACTGTTTGAAAGTAATGGAAGGAAAGAGGATGACCCAATTTATTTGCAGCCTTATCTCTTAAGTGTAAGTTCTCTTAGCAAGTGCTGCTGGAAAAATACGATACGTATTGGCCATGTAATGGAGTAACAGATAAACACTGTAGTCCAGAAATACTGCTCTAAAAGTAAGCAATGATATAATGATATTCTATTTGGCTTTGTGTTTTTTGGTCAAAAGACCTTTTTTTTTTTTCCTAAACAAAACTAGCTGTTTTAGTTGTAGGGTTTTATTGCACCACAGATAAATTATCAAGTGTTGAAAATCCAAACAATTCAAAACTCTTGAGACAGTTACTAACTATGCAAAGAAGGCTGACAGGAATTCCATTTTCAGTCAAAAAATTTCACACTTGAACAAAATAAGATATGTATGAAAGATAGTTGCTTCTATTCCTGCATTCTTAGAACCTTTGAGAAGTTAGCTTTGGAAATTGAAAGCGCCAACTTTGTAAAACTTTATTCTTTAAAATAAATTTATTTCTCACATACATAATTGCAAAATTTGTTTCATGTGAAGGTACTTGTCTCTGCATCTTGCACACTAATATTTAGTGTTTCCTCAAGGGAAGTACTGTGTTATGCTTTCATTTACAACTTCGGAGAAAATGAGGCTGTATCTAGAGTCAAGTTTTATGTAATGGTAGTATCACATTTATCAGCTGAGATAACAGGAATCCCCAACTTTTTATTAGTGGTTTTTTAGGCCCTTTAGAGCAGAATGTTTTTCTTACAGTGAGGCAGAAATGCACATGTGCCTCTTTAAGTTTCTGCAGATCACTTGATGTGCTGCTGTTACGTGACCAGAAGACACCAGCTGCTACCATTTGCTAATGTGACTACATAGGTGACGTGGTTGCTGTAAGCCCAGTGTGTTTCATTGGAAGTGCGTGCAGGACACATTCTTACTGGACATGTGTGTTTCTGACAGATGATTATTCAAGTGCATTTACACAGTGAGAGAGCTCGTATTTTTTATTACTTAGCAGCGTCTGAGGGAGGAGTGGATACAGGGGCCACAGATAGACTTCCAAAATAATCCGCTGTTTTTCTGCTCCTGTCTGTAAAGCTTGTATGAAATGGGGAAGCAGTAAGCAGACTGATTGCTGAATAAATAATTTTGGTGGCAATATCACCTGCCAGAACCACTCCTGGTTACTTTGGCACATAAGAGTTCATTGCAAAAGTAGGCATAAAAAGTTCAAAGGTACTGTATTTGAGTAGTAGTAAAAGTTGACTAAAATACTGTGAGCTGCTTAGGACAGAATTGAAGAAATTTAAGAGGAAAACTGTAATTTTGAGAGGGTTGTTGTTCAACAATGATTCTGTCTTCTTATGTTTGCTTTTGTTACCAATAAAAAAAAAAGCTGCACACAGACCTTCAGAGACTTCTTCTAATTGGTGTGTAGTCTGGTAGTACACAACCTCAAAAATGCCATGGCAATTGTGAGAGACAGGTTTTTTTTAACCACGTCTCCATTTCACACGTATCCAGTGTGTAGTGCATGTTTCAAAGGGATAATTTACCTATGCTTTTAAACCTAGTTCTTCAAAACCGTTAGTAACTTTACACACCTTTACAGATATGAACTACATGCAGATTAATGTAGTTTCTATACTCAAGTAATCACTAGAAAATAGCTTTATTCTTTCAACAGTAAGATTTCTAAAAACTGGCATGTAATGAAAGTGTGAAATGACATTACTGTATCAGCAGTTCCTCTGTAATGACAAGAAAAATTTGAGCAATATGTGTAAAAACAGAATTATATTAAAAAAATTTTGTAAGTCTGTAATTACTATGCTTCACAGAGGGAATAATGAAGTCTTGAAGTTCAGACTTCCACTGATGATTATTCAGGAAAACGTGTTTAAATTCTAAGTAGATATCTAAATTTCACAATACCTTGAATTCTTTAAGAAGCAACTGTTTCCCTGTATCAGTTTTGTTAATAGAGCAGTACTTAGACTTACCACAGAGAGAATGTGCAGTCTTCTATGTGCAGTTATTTCTCGCTTCATGTATTTCTGTAATTTCTCTATGCTAGATAGAGAGTGACTGTAGTTTAACAGGTGATGGAAACGTTCTGATTTCTGGAGCAGATGGTAGCTTGCAAGAAATTTAGGAATAACACGTTGCACTTCAGTGCTTCTGACCAGTGTGAAGGCAGTTTGAATTTAGGAGTCAATAATGAACTTCATACTTACTAAACTCATACATGCTTACTAAAAGAAATGACAGAAATGTTGTCTAAAAATGCATGGAAGCAGACAGGAAACAGACATTCTCTTGGTGAGCTGTCTGCATTGTTAGAAATGAGCTGTGTAAGTAATTGTCACCTATTTAAAACAGGGACTCTGTGGCTGAATTGGAGTCAAGTAAACTCCTTAAAGAGTAGTAACTGGAAAAGGTAGACTAGGCTACGCCTGTTAAGTTTAACTACAGTGGTGCCTACTTACTAATGCTACCTTACTGTAGAATGAAAGTGATGGCTTTTAAGCAAAGCTTCTGAAGTTTGCATTTTCTGTTTTGCTAGTTCTTTTTGTCTGCTCATTGGGAAGTTTCTGCTTTAGAGGATCTTTTCCAATGTGTACCTTTATAGAACATTGTTTAAAAATAGAGCTTCTGTCATCTTTCACATCTGCTTTGATGCCACATTTTGAGCTCTTTTGCTACTTTGCGAGTTCTCTCTTCTACCTTACAAGTGGTGGAGTGGGGAGTTATTTACTATTCTTGTTCTATTCATTCTTCTAATATAACTTTATTAGAATGCATAGTATATAATTTTAAGTCTTGTTTATAGATGGAAGTGGAGAAAGAGGTGAGAAGGATGCCAGCAAAATCACAACATATCCACCAGGGGCTGTCCGCTTTGACTGTGAGCTGCGAGCTGTGCAAGTCAGTTGTGGATTTCACCATTCAGGTAAAAACAAATAAATCAATGTTAATTATAATAATAGGGGTTTTTTTAAGGTTGTCATATGTGTCTTCACTGATTTGTGTTCAATTTTTAAAATGGATGTATGCAGGAATGCTGAAAGTTGAAAACTGGCAGGGTCATTTTGTCACATCTCAAAGAATCACACCATGTGCCTAAGAGTATTGTCCAAACACTTCCTGAACTCTGTCAGGCTTCTGTGACCGCTTCCCTGTGGAGCTTATTGCAGTGTCCAGCTACTCTCTGGGTGAAGAACCTTGTTCCAATATCCAGCCTAAACCTTCCCTGATATATTTTATGACATTTTATTACAGGCTAAAGTAAGATCACCACCCAAATCCTCACATTACCTCCCTTATTCCAGCAGTGAAAGGCATCTCACTGTCCTTCAGTAGTGAAAAGGGCTATAAGTATCACACACTGAGTTATATCAGAACTTGTAAGCAATTTTGGAGTCAATTTAAAACATCTGCTCTACTCCTGCAGACCTCTACATTCCTGCTCGTTGTTATGGGTTGTGGAATCTGGTCTGGGTCTCTTGGGAATCATAAACTGCTACTCAGAAGGGTAACTAGGACTGGTGCAGTGCCATGTCATGTGTGCATGTCAGATAAATATTTTGTTGTTTTTCAGTGGTTTTGATGGAAAATGGTGATGTTTACACATTTGGATATGGGCAGCATGGTCAGCTTGGACATGGTGATGTTAATTCCAGGTAAGCTGGTAATCAAAGGATGTGATTGTGTATTACTGTACTGCTGCATAAGAAATGGCTACATTTCTGGCTCTCTATAGCTAGCAAGTGTGAAAATTCAAATATAGACCAAATAAAGTTGAAGAGTTCTTGTACTGCATTTACTCCCTATAACCCCCTGAATATTGATGCAATAACAGCAGTCTTGTACTGCATAAGTAATTTATTTAACACATGAAATCTTCTGTGCATAGTTATTAGCATTGCTTTGATAATAGTTTGAAAGACTTCTCTCTCTTTAATTCTCCCTGCATCTGAGAATTACATTGATGAATTACATTGGATTACATCTCTGCATATGAGAATTACATTGATGCCTCATTAAGATTTCATTATTTCTGTAAAATACTACATATGCAATAATATGAAATAGTATGATATTGTAAATCTAGATTAACGTGTTCCTGTTAAATCAGTGATAAGAGTTCACAGAATATTCACAGAATCACAGAATGTTCTGCGTTGGCAGGGACCCACAAAGATTGTGTCCAGCCCTTAAGTGAATGGCCTGTGTGAGGATCAAACCCACAACCTCGGTGTTACTAGCACTGTGCTCTGACCAACTGAGCTGATCTCAATTCAGTTATGATGAAGTCTCATTTTTTCCTCATCAGTTATCTCCCAAATGAAGTCCCTAAGCTTTGGTCTCAGCTGCATTTTGTAGTCACTTGTTTTGGGTGTTGATAGAAGAGTGATGTGTGCTTTCTTTGTGGTCAATGGAAGTAGAGAAACCACAGAGCATGGAGAGGTATTACATGCTTTAGTTGTGGTGTGCTTAGTAGCTCTGTAAACCTGATCTCCATAGACTACAGTGAGAGCACAGATAATTAAATATAGATGTCTTTAATGTGAAGCTCAATCTCACCCTTAGTATCTCATGCTTAGAGTCACATCTTTTCATTAAAGTAAATAAAAAACCATTGTCCTGCCATAAAAGGAAATGTGATTTAGGTCTTTGGACATGTACATATGCCATATAATGCACACAATGGAGGTTTCTGTGGTAGGAATCTTTGAAACTTTGTGTATGTAATGCTCAGTATCCTTATGTAGAAGGCATAAAGAGCAGAGCATCCATGACGTGTCTTCAGTTCTCTTGTTTCTCTTGTAGCAGTCAGGTGAAAGTTACTGAACATCTATCCTCCTAATCTCTTTGGAGACTTCAAAACCCTTTCTTTTGTCAAGTTCCTGAAGAAATCTTCGTCATCTTAAAACTTGCATTGGATTCATTGTGCCAAAGGGAGAGAGGGAAGAAAGTATACTGGAAATACTGCCTTGTATTGGCTGCTGTGCCTGGTAGTAGTCTCTGAACTGTTACCCCCACTCAATTTGCATTAGACTGGTGAATGCAGTCTGGGTTTCTGTCTATGATAGTCACATTGCAGACAAGTACTCTTGTTTTTCCATCCTGGAAATTCTTGGGTATTTGTTCCAAGGAACAATGGCTTAAACTAGCAATTCAGGTTGCTGTTAGAAAAAGGCCAGTTTCTGTCTTCAAGACTGAAGAGGTACACATAGCAGTGTCATTTGTACTGGTAACTTAATGTCACCTATTTCTAACTTTGATGAAATCACTTGGCTTTTCAGAAGGGTTCAGAGATATCTGCAGATATCTGCTGTATTTGTCAGTATTTCAGGTAGTAAACCCTACATCTGCTGCTTATTTAGATAGAAACTGGATGAAGACCAGTAGTAGTTCCAAGTGAGATCCTAAAGGAGAATATGAAAATTCTTATGCTGAAGGATAGTGCTTGACCAGAAGTAGAAGCTGAGGAGGTGCCAGTGACGTGGCACAGACCTTTGTATCATTCTACATCAGACTAGAAAGTATCTGAAAAAAGCCTTGAAGAAATTTGGAGTATGTCCTATGCATGAGAACTGGCTGTAGTACTATATTGCTATTTAGCACCATCATTCAAATTATAATTTCTTCATTGATGTACTTCTTTTTCCAGCTTTAAGTAGAGATCTCTCCTCTGTCCTCACAGTAAGGGATTCAGAGAAGGAAACAGGGAATCCTTATGCAGAGTTCCACCTCAGTTGGGACGCAGTGGTGCTCAGATGGCCAGCTCCTGCCAGGTCAGTGGTATGTCAGTCATGCAGTGTGTCACATTGCCTGTATTGACCTCAGGAAGAGCATCATCTTCTGAATTCAGGAACTGATACTCTACTGTATTTCTGGGACAGAGAGAGGAGAAAAAAAGACAAGTAATATTTAGGCATCCTTTCAGAGGCTTTTGACTTGAAGTGTAAAGATTTAGTTGTGAGACTATATTTTTAAAAGTCTTGAAAGTGTTCAAGTATTTTAAATTCTGAACACCTGTTCGGACATGCCTTGCTCCTTAATTAAGGGGATTCTAGACTCTTCTAAGAGAATATTGTAAGCATCACAAATTCTTCCTCTACTTCAGCAGGAATGAGGCAGATTACATGCCCTATCAGTAAGCTGGAACCATTAAATTAGCCTGTGTAGGCTTTTTGTTGTAACATCCACAGTGACAGATGTTGATAAGCTGCATGAAAGATTTGTCAGTCTGTGCTTATATTCTCCTCAAATTAGATGCTGGTGAATACAAACTCAGTGGAAGCCAGAAATGCTTTGCAGTATCTAGTCTTGGTGAAAAATAGTATGTATTGTGCTCAGGTAAGCAAAAGCGTATTTGTTGCTGATGCTTCCCTCAAGAAGCTGGAAGTTAAAACTCCAGGATCTTTCTGTTACTGTTCAAAATCTGTCTGCATTTTTTTGTACAAACTTTACTTCAGCACTCCAGTGGCAAGTACACGATCTGACAGTCAAGCTTCAGAAATGGAATGACTGAAGTGATATGGTCTTGATAGGATTTTGCTTCCAAAGGTTCAACATAGCATAATCCAAAACTGATCAGACCTTCCATAGATGATTACCTATGTTCCACTTGAAGAATAGAGACTATTTTCTATTAGTTACTCCAGGGGGGAAAAAAGCATTCCATTACCTGTTTGTTAGGATCATGTTTCTAGGTGCATTTTCTGATTATTTTACTCCAGTGGTGGAGTGCAGGTCATATTTACATCTTTTCACCAAATTTCCTCTAAAATGGAGTCACTTCTAAAATATAAAGATCTCCATTTTCTCTGTAAAAAAGTTGTCCAACTCTGCTTGCAATGGACAGAGGTTGCTACTGGTTTCCTCTTGCCCACTACACAGCAACATTTCCCAGTGAACCGTGTTTGCAGCACCACGGTCAGCTGCCCCAAGTGACATGTTTTGGGAACTGGCAGGCAGCTGTTGGCTGTGTGAGTACCACGGACAGCGATTGTTCGAACAGGTCATGCATGATGAATTTTCAGAGACTACAACTGCTCTGAGAAATACTTACCCTTTGGGATGGAAAAGGGTTTCCATGTGGACAGCCAGAATGAATCTGGACCTTCTTCAGGATCCTGTGTTAGCTGATGCATGTACATCTGCTCAATTATTCAGCAGTTGTTACTTTTTCCCAGGGGATCTCAGGTTAATTTCTCTATAGCTGAGGCTGGTCTTCTGTGATTGACCAAACGTTCTGTGACTTTGACACCAGTATGTCTTTCCACTCCATCCCAGAAGAATAGTCCTTGTTTTCTTTGATTCAGATGGAGAAACTTTTATTGTTAAAACTTTGCCCAGCGTCTCTCAGACTCTCCAATGTCTGTTCTGAGCTTTCCTGTGTTGAGTTTCAGGGGGATAGGGAAATACTCAATACTATCACAGGTTTTAAATTATATGTGCACTGGTCAAACTATCTACTATATTTTTTTAAATCCCTCTTCCTTTTATGAAGTGAAAACTAGTTATCTGCAGTTCATGTTTATTTTATGATGTAGTTAAGTATCTTGCATTTTTTTTTCTGTTAATTTCTAAATGAACTGATAGACTGTAGTTGGCCATTCCAAAAGTTGGGTGATAATAATGAAAAAGCTATTTAAGATGGTAATGTATTTCATCTCTCTGCATTAGTGGCTTATTAGATCTTTGTTCTGCTGTTGCCAAGAGGCTATCAAACACAGCATTCATATAACATTGCTGATAGATTCAGTTGGAAGAACAGAAAGAGAAATAGTTATGGTGATAATAGCTTAGCTTTTAAGTATTAAAAGATGAAATATTCACTGGGATTTTTTGGTTGGTGGTTTTTTGGTTTTTTTTCTTTTGTAATAAAAATATGATTGATAATTCCATGCCTGCAGCTACCATAGTTTCAAGAGAGAGGAAGAAAAAACTTATGATAAAAATACTTCCTTTTTAATAGGGGTGGTTTTGGATTAGTTACTAGTTATGTTTTATTTATGTTTTGATGCCTTTTTGAGTTTCCTTAAAGTTAATGAGAGACAAATGTAAAGGTTTTTTTTTAAATTTCATCATTGGTGCTGCTAAACTATGCTCTATGTCTGTGTGTAATCATAGCAATGTCCGAATCTATGTGCCTGTAGCTCAAGATAAGTGCCTAAATATGAGTGTCATGTTGTATATCCTCTACTTAATTTTATTCTGCCCTTCAGTCCCTCCATCCTCACTAGTCGCCCACTGAAAGCTACATTTACCACTAAAGAATACTTCTTCTATATACCTGTGTTTATCCTTTAGGTTATCAACTTATCTTCATTCTGCATTCCTCTGTTCCACATTTTTTGTATGTTCACATCTTCCCATCTACCCTTTTTCTGCTGAACATGATGCTTCACCTTCCTCATACTTTCTTGACTTCTATTTTACTTGCAATTCAGCCAAAATTAGAACTTTGAGATGGACCATCTTTTAGCACATCAGCTGCTAAAATAATCAGTAGGTAACTATGGGCTGGCCCTTTTTTTATTCCAGTATAAAACAACCTGTTCTTATTTTAGATTACCCTACTTTTGAAAGGCTGTGTTTAAAAGTAAGTTCACATAGTGCTGTCATCCTCTGTAGAACTCAGAGCCCAATTTCCAAACATAAAATTATCTGAGAATAACTTGTTCTTCAAATTCACAGTCTTTAACTCCACAGGAGTTATTAAGGAAATATTAAGTCTAGGTAGACATTCATTATGGGATTCAAAGTCTTGTATGTTTCTGTTCTCCTTGTTAGTATTGAAATAAAAATTTTAGTGTCTCATACTTTTTATCTTTTGTGCTGTTTGTATTCCAAGTCATCAGTCCAAGTTTTCTTTCTTTACATCTTGAAAACCCTGTCATTTTTTTTCCTCTTCATTTTTACTGAAATGGAAAGTTTATTTTCTTATGTCTGTCCATATTTGGGAGACAAATGGATTAGACCTTTTCATATCTTTTTGGAAAAGAGTTTGGAGAAGTCTGTTCTTTATTGAGTCTGAGTTTGATGGGAGAGGAGCTGATGCAGAGGAGTAGACCTTTATTTCTTTTATAATTCTTTTATAATTCCCTAGCCAGTGATCTTGAGAGTGCTGTAGCAATATTGTTTCTGGTAACTGTACTGGAGTAAGCCTTCAATCACTTTTTTAAGTGCTTAAGTAGAGTTCTCTGAACATATTTTACTGCTACATTTCATTGCAATATATTTTGTATTCATACAAAAATACACACATTTATATGTTACTGTATCTACACATCTGTAATTCTAGAATTATATATTAAATTAATAATTCTTATTCTATGCTAATTTCTGAGTTTAACTGAAGAGAGAGTCCTTGATCTGTTTCTCTGTAACAGAAGAGCATAAACTTAACTCTCTGGTGCAGTCTGTGTTGGTTTAATATGTAAGACGTTTCTCGGCTCTTAACTTTCTATAGTATGTGAATGTAGTGGATATATTTCACAGCAATTGTAATACTTGTAATACTAATGTATGTTTTAAATGCTGCGTGACCATGTATTGACATAGAGTTAATTTATTTTTATCTAGGGGATGTCCCACTTTGGTGCAAGCATTACCAGGTCCTAGTACACAAGTTACTGCTGGGAGCAACCACACAGCTATTCTCTTAATGGATGGCCAGGTTTTCACATTTGGAAGTTTCTCAGTAAGGAAATGTTACTTGCTTATGGGAATAAGCTAGTAGTTCATGTCTTGTTCAGAGACCTTTCAAGACTGCTTATACTTGCTCCAATAGAACTGTGCATGACTTCTGCATGTCTTCAACACCTGTTACATTTTTAAATGTGGCCTTTAATATTTTCTGATTAGAAAAGCAAAATGCCAGGAATTCTTGGGGTTTTTTTATATTGAATGAAGGTGGTGATTTAAAACATTTTTTATTTTATAAGGTGCACCAGGTTTCTCAAACTCTTACTGTTTCAAGCTTGGTTCCAAGTAAATGTTGCCTATTCTATTACCTGTCTCCATTTGATAGAAAAAAGTGTCCTGGGTTCTTCCATAGAAACAGCAATGAGTTGCAGAACTTCTGCTTACACTTGAGGGGAGGAGTTATTGCTCAGTACAACACAGCACAATTCCAGTGGTCTTCTTTCATATCCACATGGTGTATATTTCCCCATGTAGAATCCATTCTTATATTCACTAAACAAATACTTAAGCATTGTTTTCTTCCCTCTGTGCCTCCCTGTGTTTGCAAAGATGCCCCTTGTAGCGTATAAGTACTGAGCTATTTTTACATTCTTTAAAAACTATGTACTGCCAGACACAACAGAAGAGAAATTTCAACTTTTGCAATCTTTTTACTGCATGTTACTTGAAAATGTCTTCACCAAGTTGATTTACTTATGTTGTTATGAAGAAAGATGAGTAATGTGCTGAACAGAAGACATTTGCTGTATATACATTTTTCTTTTCTGTAATAATTTTAACTTTATTGGCATACAGTGCATTTTCTGTGCCTGTGGGAGGTAGATGGAGCATGAGCAGGTTTCTGGCAGCAGTTCTTTCTGCACACTTAGGTGCAGTATATGAACTGTTGGTCCATCTCGGTAACTAGTTGTACATAGAAGTAAAGCCCTAGATCTCCAGATAAGTATTCATGAGCATGTGCAGAAGTGCTTGCTGAGGCACTGTTTTTAGTTGAAGTTTGACGTGCTAATCAATTTCTAAGTACTTTTAAGAGGTATTTGCTGTATAAAACTTAGTCCATATAAGTTCAGAATTTAATGGAACCTGGATGGGCTATCTGAATATATATCTGAATATAAATTTTTTTTCTTATGAAACTATTCCTTGTTTAGCACTGACATTAATCAGATGTTGAATGTTGTAGGAAAACAATGCTTTTACATTTGATTCTGAAGATGGAGAGGAGGGTTATCCATCATAGTTCGAGGTGTATTTAACAAAAACTTTACTCAAAAATCTGTCTGAAAAAGGAGGAGTATATCTGTCAGTAACTTGTTCCTTGTATAAATGTGTAATGCTTCACTTGGAGCACATTGCATTTTGAAGGTAGTTTTGTGGTAAATTCTCTTCCAGCTTACCAGTTTGGTGTGATAGAACTACTGAAGTAATTTATCCATCTTTGAGACTAACTGTTACTGTCACTTACTGATTCTTACATTCTTCCTACAGAAAGGTCAGCTTGGCAGACCAATTCTGGATATGCCCTACTGGAATGCAAAACCAGCACCTATGCCTAACATAGGCTCCAAATATGGGCGCAAAGCTACGTGGATTGGAGCGAGTGGAGACCAGACTTTTCTCCGGATCGACGAAGCTCTCATTAATTCTCATGTACTTGCTACATCAGAGATATTTGCAAGCAGGCATATAATAGGCAAGAACTCTTCTATATTAATTTAAATGCTTACAGAAATACTGGACAAGAAAGTGAGTTCAGTTGTGTAAACAATAGAGGAGCAACAAGTCAAAAACATTAATGGAGGGACTGAAATTTTTGCTTTTTAGTTTTACTGCATATGATGATCTTTCTTTAGAAAGGTGGTTTTTATTAAAAATAATAATGTGAAAGTCTAACCTTCACTGGCATTTAAATCTTACCACCATTTATATTTTTGTTGTAGCAGTTATCTGTACTTCCCTACTGTATAACGTGGCATTTTCTAAGCATGAAGCATTAATGAGTGGTGTCTTCATGTTTGCTCTTTTCGCTCCCTGATCTAGGTTTGGTACCAGCTTCAATATCAGAGCCTCCTCCTTTTAAATGTCTTCTGATAAACAAAGTAGATGGCAGTTGCAAAACATTCAATGATTCTGAGCAGGAAGACCTTCAAGGTTCTGGTGTGTGTCTGGATCCTGTCTATGATGTTATTTGGAGGCAAGTGTGGATTATAGCTATTAAAATAGTAATATATAAAATCCTTTTTAAAATATTGTGCAGGGCTGGAGATTTGATTATACTTATTTTCCCTGTAAATGAAAAACAATTTTTAGTCTTCCATAAATATTTTTTCACATTTTTGGATGGTTTGTTCAAGTAAGCCCAAAACAAACATGTTCTCTTGCCTGCATTTTTAAAATTTCTTTCCTTTTTTGCATCATTCTCATTCCAGTCTCATAATATTTTGGGGTTTCAAATCTGTTTTTTTGCTTTACTCTCTTAAATCCCTTTCCTCCATCTACCCAACGCTTGACTGAATAACTTCCTTGCCATATTCAGCTGCCATATGTGTGTGTCTTAAATTATTATTCTTCTGTCAGGCATTAGTGGTTAAGACAACTGGAGAAGGGGTAGAGCAGTGGTATTCTTTCCAGTTCTCACATTTTGGGAGGTCAAAATAAAGGTGTTTATTTAGATGGCATAGATGTTCAGACTAATTTTATTTATTTCAGTCTTTGGAGCAGTCTTTGAACAAATGTAGATAATAAGCCTTTGTTCCAACATAGAATCATAACATCAATTTCTTCTATAACAATTTAAAAGCTATGTTAGCTAGGATTTGGAGAGAAATCTCAACTTCCATCCGAGTTCAAGAGCTTAATGATATTTAAATTGTTTGAACACAAAACAAGTTAGAGTGATGCAAGGAACCAGCTAGCCAGCATTCATGTGGAAAAGATGGTATCTCATAGGATCATGTCTTTAAAAGTTACTTGTATCCTACTTTGGATGTCTTCATCCAGAATTGAGATTCAAGAACTTAACAGCCAATTAACATTGAAGCATGTGTTTGCCAGGCACATTTCTGTATAATGTCGGAAGTACCTTGGGTGGTTGTAGTTCTGCATTTTGCACATCTGCAGGATTGTTTGAATCTCACTGGTTCCGTTCTTACCTAAATTATGCTGAGATTAGAAATAAGAGTAGCACCCACATCCCTTAGAGTTCTATATTTTCAGCATGTTTAAATCCACTGAAAGACTCATTTTGTGAAATAAAGCAGTTATTGATGGCCATGGAAATGCAGCAAGTTTCAGGAGAGGCAAGGTCAAGGTGCTCAACTTGAAGACAATAAAATAGTTATTTGGCTTGAGGAAGTACAAAGTCACATGTTAGATATTATGGGTAAACATGAATTTAGATATTTTACTGTCTTGTAGTACTTTGGGGACTGTAGAACTAAAACCAGAGATTAAATACTTAACTGGAGAGTGGATTTTCTGAGACTGCACAGATTTATTTCTCTGTTGTATCCCATTCTTGTTCAATACAAAATACTAAAACAGTCTGAAGAAGAGACATGTTAATAAATATGCCTATTAGTAGTTAAATACTTGGTATATTATTATTTCTGGACATTTTGATTCATGCCTATTTAAGTGATGGATTCAGTTTCCTGTACAGAGACAACATTCTGATGATGTGCAGCTTAAATATTTCTTCAAAGCTTTGTGACTTAATCTCTTAGTGAAATTCAGGTGGATGTGAAAGGTCACGTGTATAACTTTTGGTAAAATCCTGAGTACGTATGGTGCCCTTTAATATTTTTGGTTAAAACTATTTATTTGTCCATTAGATTTTTGAAGGTGTAGCAAGTGAAAATTCCTTTTGTGTTTCATCAGAGCATTTCCATAGACTTATGTCTTCTTGCTGTTTTTTCCTTTTACATAGTGGTTTCAAAGATCTCATTTTCTTTTTTCGATGTGTTAATCTATATTATCGAAAGTCTTTGTATTCCCTTGTTTATGCTGCCCTTTTTTATAATCCCTTAAAAACTCATGAGGTGATGTTACCCATTTAAAAAAGCCCAAACAAAATACGTTGGATTCCTCAAGATTTTTTTTCTCTTATTTGAAGGTAAGCCTTTTCCTTTCGCTTGGCATCTTTAAAATTTTTGAGCACATCTGCCATTCTGTTTAGTACTTTGCTAGTTACTTCACACTTCTTAATAGATAATACTGTTTTAACATTTGTTAATTTTGAGAAATGTCTCAATATTTTCTGAATTGCTAAACCCATAATATGACTTTTTGACTTAAGGTATAATAATGCTTTTGTATCTCTTCATTTGCTGGAGTGTTAAGCTAGTAAAATTTTCATGTATTTGCGATAGTGATGCTCAGTTTCAAGAGTTTATACCAGCAGATCTACATTTTACATTAAATATCTTAAAAATGTAATTGTTGGTAAGGTTTTATATTTTTTCAGTAGATGACAGGTTTTGTTCATTCTGTTTTGTCTTGCTGTAGGTTTCGCCCAAATGCCAGGGAACTGTGGAGTTACAACGCAGTAGTTGCTGATTCCAGGCTTCCTTCAGCTCCAGACATGCAATCCCGGTGTAGTATTTTGAGTCCAGAACTTGCTCTTCCAACAGGTTCCAAAGCTCTAACCACCAGATCTCATGCAGCTTTGCATATTCTAGGTATACATTTATAGTTCATGAATCAGAACCTTAGATGAAGTAAAGTAACATAACTTAATGTGTAAACAAATTGTAATCTAAAGACTTCCTGACTTTTTCAGTTAAAATTTCACTTTGTAGTCTTTCACCATTCCTCTTAACTTTTATAATTTGGCTGATCTAGTTATCTTCTGCCATCTTAATGATATTAGAGAATTTTAGAGCTCTGGTGAAACTTGTTAGATGCCTAGATAATAAAGTAAAAGACCATTCTAGATGATCTTTTTGGAAAGTCCGCAGAATAAAGTTAGTACTCTTAACATGGAATCTCAAAAAAAGAACTCAAGCCTGGAAAAAAGTTGCCTTCAATAACTTATTTTTATTTTAAAGTAAATGCAGTGTATAAAATCGTTGCAGTTTTGTATAATGAGTCACTAAGAGAGCTATTACTTCCTTTTGTAATTTCTTTCTAATCTAAAAATGCAAAACTTAAGTACACTGTGTTTATGTATAAACTGGCCATGTGCAACATACCCAGTTATTTTAACTCGCTTGACCACTGATTATGATAAGTCATCTGTTCCTTGACCTGTTCACTTCATTGTGTGCTAGAGATGTGGTAACTTTCAACTTGAACAAGCACTTTTTTGTGTCTGTGTCAAAGTAAGGCATGTTAGGTACTTACGTGTATGAAACAAAACATCTTTTGTGAAGACTTGGAAATCTGCTTGTAATTCAGTTCCTACTTCAACTCTTTTTGGATAGCATTTTGTGGAGACAGGAAAAATAATATTACTGGCAATTTATTTGCCATTGGAAAAGTTTCAGAATAGGTTTAATCACACTTGTTCATTATTCTAGATAGTAAATGAAGTTTATGTTCATTAGCAAGCCTTGAGATTCTGCAGCAGTGACCCTTAACCTAATCAAAAGTATAAAGCTACTTGGTAGTATATGTGTGGTGTTGGGACAAAACTCTTAGATTGCTTTGATTTTCTTAACTAGTATTCATTTCTATTTCAATGATTGTAATCAACAGTAAGAGAATTTGGGTTCTTTTTGGTTTTGCTTTCTTTTAGGTTGCCTTGATACTTTGGCTGCTATGCAGGACTTAAAAATGGGTGTTGCAAATACAGAAGAAGAGACTCAAGCAGTAATGAAAGTTTATTCTAAAGAAGACTATAGTGTTGTTAACAGATTTGAAAGTATGTACACACTAAAATTTCATAGCACATGCTTATCAGCTTGCAGAACAACAGACTAAGATTAAATTTTTGTTGGGTTTTGTTTCTGCAGGTCATGGAGGAGGCTGGGGTTATTCAGCCCACTCAGTAGAAGCTATCCGTTTCTGTGCTGATACAGATATATTGCTAGGTGGTCTTGGTCTTTTTGGTGGTAGAGGTGAATACACTGCTAAAATAAAGGTAGGAGTTTTTGTTTTGTTTAAGCAATATTATATCTCAAAATCTCAACTTTCAGTAATGCTATCTAAAACCATGATTACTGATTACTTTTATTTCTTGATGAATGAGTGAGTGGTTTACTCTATGTGGAAAGCATTATACAGGCACAGTGGATGAAGTAAAGAGCTATGAATTACCATTCTTACTTTTCATGAAATTGGCCCATTCTTACGTTCATTAAATGCTGTGCCATCCTAGGGATATCTTGGGCAGGTATTTTAGTGGTCTGAATGGTTCTGTGATCTACACAAAGCTCCAAGGTCCACCAGCAGAAAATTGGTGTTGTGGGCTTCAGGTTAAAATCACATCCTATGTGATGCATGAGGAGCTGTTCTCAAAAGCAGGAAAAGAATCCTTATCAGGAGCCATTGCTTTCCACTTTCCCTGCCACTTCTTTGTCAAACTGCTGTCTGGATAGCTTCTGTGCTGGGATTCTTCAGCTGAGAGCAAATGGCACCAAATACAGTTAACTCTGTGCCAAACGTAGGCATGATTATGGGAGGAGCATGTGTGCTGATTGTTTTAAAATAAATAAACGTGGCTTTGGATAAATAAACCTCACAGAAACACACACTGGTGTAAGAGCTCTGGTTTTGGGTGAGTGTTCTCTGCTCCTACACTTGATAAGGATTTTGGTGAAAGATGTTGTAGCTGAGATTTCTATTAGTTGTTTGTATATTCAGAACCTGTTATTGTTGTTACTTATCATTTAGTGGATTATTGAATTTTCTCCCCCTATTTTCAGATGAATAGGTTTTGAGGTTTGTTCTAGGGAAATGGATGACACACTTAGCAGTAACATTTGCCTTAGCCAACAGGAAATCCAAAATAAGTAGTTGCACTTTATTCTAGTTTAACATAATGATTGAGACTTGCAAATAACTAAGTGCAGCCAAAAAACTTAACGTTAATCACGCCTTTTAAATACCAGAGGTAATAACGTTATGTTAGTGCTCTAGCATTATATTTTCATTTTGTTTAGGATTAGCTTGTAGCCAAGATAAGATCTGCCAGTCCTGCCAGAAATAAGCTGTGTATTAAATAGGTGTTTGCAAGAGAAGTCAGAGACATGTATTGTGGTCCTTTTTCAAAACCATCTAACTGTAGAAATTATTTATAAGTAAGAAAACAAACTTCTCCTAGGTATCATGTTTTGTCCCAAGTCACCAACTGTTCATAGCTCTATCGACTATCTGCTGAACTGTCAAGCTGTCCCCTTACAGAGAAGCTGAGTATATCTTACGTTTATATAGTGCATTTCAGTCGGTGATGGAAAACCTGCAACTTCTGCCCAACTTTGCCTTTTTTAGATGCTCTGCTTTTGTCTTGTTCCCTAGATTTGGGGACTTTCTCCACTTAAAAATGTATCTGGACATAAGGCTGGGAGGTCAGTGTCAATTGCTATTTCTTAACACTTAATGCCTGACTTCCAAATGTGGTTTTGCCTGTCAGTGATACTAAGTAGTAGTTATTTTTGGGAAGGAAGAGGATTTCCAGGATGCCAGACAAGAAAAAGTGGTGTTATGGGGTTTCTAACACCTAAGACATAATTTTACCTTTTTTCTTACTTCACCAGTTATTTGAATTGGGTCCAGATGGGGGAGACCATGAGACAGATGGAGACCTCCTTGCTGAGACAGATGTCTTAGCATATGACTGTGCTGCCAGGTAAGATGTTTAGCTTGCCTACTTATACCTGCTTCTTGATCTTTATTTTTACCTCCCTGTACACATTTTAGTATCACTTTAAATATCAGAGATAGTCTACATCATGAGAATTTTGTAGCAAGTGATGTAAAACACTTGATGTGTGAAGGGAAATAGTAAAACACAAAATACGTCCCCAAACCAATAAGGTATTTAAATTAAAAGAAGAAAAATAATCAAATTCTTGCTCTCGTATAAATCCAAGTCAAATACCATCTTCCTGTGTTGAGACCATAAGACAAAGTATTGTAGCAGCTCTTTTGTGCATATAGTTTGGTTTATCCATGTTGTAGCTGCTTTTTCGTTCTCTGTAATGAAGTAATTTAAATTTCAAATGATATATGATTAATTCTTTCAGATTTAAATCTTACATATCAATCCCCTAAATATATATCCTATTAATTTCTTTAATGCTTATTGTAATTACTAAGAAGTTATGTATAAGTTCTTGTCATTTGCAAACATTTTCTGAAATCAGTATTCTGTAGTACTTTATAATTAATACTTTGCTTGCAATATTGTATATTAGATGTAATTGGGTTTATTTAAGTTAATTTAACTTAATGTCTTCTTACTCTGTTTGGCATTGATACAATTGTTCATAATTCAAGATCACACACAACTCAGGCATTTTTAGGTCCTTCTGAATTATTTTTTAATTACTACAATATTTTTAGATTAAAAAGTTTTGGGTTTTGAATGTAAATAGATACAACTTAATACCATTGCTTCTCAATTTCTTTTAATAATTAGGGTGTAATTTGCTAGAAGCGAACATAAAATTAATTAACAGCTAACATTTTCCAAAATTTACTTCTCCCAGAGAGAAATACGCAATGATGTTTGATGAGCCAGTTCTCCTGCAAGCTGGCTGGTGGTATGTAGCCTGGGCGAGAGTGTCAGGACCTAGCAGTGATTGTGGATCTCATGGACAGGCCTCTATTACTACAGATGATGGGTATATTTTTTTCTATATTTTTATTGAAAAAGAGAGCTCTAATAAGACTTGAATAATTACTAGGTTATTTGTCTTTCAGTGTTGTATTTCAGTTTAAAAGTTCCAAGAAATCAAATAATGGTACAGACGTGAATGCAGGGCAGATTCCGCAATTACTATACAGGTAATACTTTAACCTCTGGAACAATTTCCTGACATGTTTTTTTAAATAGAAATATTAAATTCGTTATAACCGTGTTGTATGAAAATATTACTGTATTAAGTGAAAGAAATCAGTATCTGAAAAATGTAGGGAAAACTTAGTGCCTTTGAGAAGAGTAATGAAATTATACCCACATTTACTTCCTTGCTATTTTTCTTGTAGTCATGCCGCGTGAATGTTTAAGATTTTCATTTACATCCATAGAATCTCACAATAACATGAAAAATATTTTTTGCTAGTTGGGAGGTGCTCTATTTGGTTGCCCTCAGTTTAGGAACTCTTGAACAGATGATGTTAATGAAACAAAGCCAAAATCAACAATGAACTGTGCTTTATAATAAGTTACCATAAACTTATCATTGCCTTGATAAATGTCACATGTTTTAATAATCAGGAACTCTTTCACTGTGTTGATAGTATATTTTACAGATGTCCTCAGATAGATACATGACATAATTTTTATATATTGTGTGTATGTAATTCCCGTGGCTTCCACACTGATTTTGAACCTTAGAATTCTTTGATACGAGTTCTCTTGTCCTTTCTAAGGATGTCCTTTTCAAGGTTCTTTGCAGAGCAGTTCAGTTCTGCCATTAAGCTTTTTCCCTATAGATTCCCTGTCCTTTTAGGTGAGGGTTCCATTTTGATGTATATCAAATCCTAGCATGGCAGATGATTCATCATCTGAGTGATTTCTATGGAGAGATGGCTGTAGCCAAAAGGCAAACATGCCTTGAGACCTCTGAAGACCTGTGAGTGGCACAAAAGGGAAGATGCTGCAGTGATAGATGCTGTCTGTATTTTTAACCTCCACATACATTTTCCCTTCACAAAACCAGTGTTCTTTTAAGGAATAACATTTCTAGTCCTGATGTCATCTGAGGAAATACAGTAGATACTAGTAATTATTGCATGTAATTAAATCTCAACCTCATTTTTAGTTGTCACAGTACTGCCAGTTGGAGAGAATTCAACATACTTGGTTACTGATCTAGAATGATGAGGAACTGGAAAAAATTATGTTGAAATGGAACCTTTTTTTTGAGATTTCAAACTGTTTTCACTTTGGTTCTTTTCCCCACTTGAACAATAAAAACAGTAAAAACTACAAAAAGTAAAAAACCAAAACAAAACACCAAACCCAACCGAAGACTCTACTAAAAGTAAAAACTGGAGATTTCAAGTAAGTTCTAAAATTGTTCTTCCAGGTTGCCAACAAGTGATGGCAGTGCATCCAAAGGAAAACAGCAAACTAGTGAACCCGTACATATTTTAAAGAGATCTTTTGCCAGAACTGTCTCAGTGGTGAGTACTATCAAGAATCTTCCATGGTTCCTGCAAGTTCATACATGGTTAGGAAACTGAAAGATGTAGATGTGGAAATAGTGATGGTTTTGTGCTTGCTTTCTCAAGCAGAAGTTAGGTACACTGATAAGAATATTTAATTTTTTTATTTTTTCTGAAGATTTCATTTTGGTGTTCAACACCAAATGCTTTTATTTTGCTTTCTGAGGTACAACTTTGTGAAATTACTGATCACATACAATAATAATAGTAGAAACAAAACTTCTTAAATCCTCAGATCTTTTGTGAACTACCATGTGCTTTGTTTAGCTTTCAAGTGCATGGTCCTGCAGATCATAACTGTTTAAAAACAAATTGAAGACAGCCCTGATAATACTTTATGATAAGAACGTATTATGTCAAAAGTCATGTTGGACTCTTCTATACATAAAGGAATTAAAGCTTATTGAAAAATCTCCATTACATTTGTTCTTAAATAACTGAGATGCTTCCACACATCATATTCTAATATAGCTTATAGATAGATTTTTATTATGGTATTGCAGTGAAGTTTCCCCTGCATTTGCTTTTTAATTCTCAAGCACATTAGGATTTGTGTGTTGTATCGTAGATGTGTTTAGGCATAAATGTGTTTTCATAGTAAACATCGATATAGATGCTATTTGCCTTTTGTCTAACGCTGATGCAGAACTGTCATTTCTTGTTTTTCAACACTAAATCTGTCTTTGGTATCTGTCCTTCATCCCCTGAAATAGGAATGCTTTGAATCTTTACTGAGCATTCTTCACTGGAGTTGGACAACGCTGGTGCTGGGAGTTGAAGAACTTCGTGGGCTGAAGGGTTTCCAATACACTGCTACTCTTCTGGATTTAGAAAGGCTGCGTTTTGTGGGCACTTGCTGCCTGAGATTGCTGAGGGTCTACACCTGTGAAATATACCCAATATCAGGTATTCCTCTCAGTTCACTTATTTCATATTTATTAGCAAATTATGTACAGGATATTTATGGTTTCATCTAAGTATTCATGTAAGATATGATATAAAATAGATCTGCTCTCACAGATGGTTTTATTGGAGCAATTAAAAGACTTGTTGTCAGAAACAGGAAATTTTCAATTGTCTGCATAACTAAGTATCCTAGTACCAGTACCACATGTTTACACCATAACCTGTGTTAATTTCCTGTTTGACTTATCAGTTGAGCTCTTTTGGACTCTGTGTCTTTTTTCCATTTCTGTACATGATGCTTGCTGTGGCTGTGAGCACAGTGTGAATTTGAAAGATTATATGTGTTTTTCATGCCTGTACTTGAACAATGCTCATTAAAACGCAGTGTATATTATAAAAGATCAGAAAAGTAGGAGTTTTTAATGCTCAGGTTTCTTTGATAAAGTTTAACACCCTTTCACTGTTTTATTTTTGGAATTGACTTCTCTGAATGTAGATTAAACAATGTTGCTGAATTCCCCATTTCTCTATTTGCATGTAAAATGTGCATTCTGACATGAAAATATTTCATTATTGTACATATAATGCTTCTGTTTATGTAATCTTCTAGCTACAGCTAAGGCAGTTGTAGAAGAAACCAGCAAACTAGCAGATTGCATTGGAAAGACTAGGACCTTGCTGAGAAAAATTTTATCTGAAGGAGTTGACCATTGCATGGTGAAGCTGGACAATGATCCACAAGGATATCTTAGTCAGCCTCTCAGTCTGTTAGAGGCTGTTCTTCAGGAATGCCATAATACATTTACAGCTTGCTTCCATTCATTCTATCCAACACCAGCTCTCCAGTGGGCATGTCTTTGTGACTTGCTGAACTGTTTGGACCAGGTACATTAAAATAGCACAAGTAAATGTAACAGCTTAGCTTGTCCTTTTGCTCAAATTGAAGCCAAGTAATAATTAAAACTGGTACTAATTTTTTGCATTTTTCCTGATTTGCAGCTTGAATTCTTTTGTGTTTTGGATTCTTTTTTTAATGGTTGGGTATTGGATTTGTTTCTGGTTTTGTTTGTTTGGGCTGTTCTCTAAATGTAGTTCAGTAAGATCCTAGGAACTTTGTCTTCTTTAGCTTCTAGTATTCTCTGTGGGACAGTAAAGAAAAATTGTGATGCTGGTAACTGTCAGTACCTGCTTTTTTAGTGTTGAGGCTGTGCTTTTATATGTGCTTACTCTTACTGCATGTTGCCTAAGAGCAGCCATGTACTATTTTTTATCACTCATACTTGAATAATTCCTCATTATTAAGCACTACTGCAGTGTTCTGATCCAGCCAAGTACATGAGAAGCAGCTGGAAATACTGTTCTATAATCAACAACTTTCTTCTTTTGCTTATTGTGAATGAGCATCCCACATCTAAACAGTGTATTTGGTTGCTTGCATTGTTTGTGGTGAGGTGTAAACAGTTTCTGCTTTGTGTAAAGATTCATTTAGCATATACAATTTCAAGGAATAATCTGTTCTTTAATGTATTACTCTAATTAAGTTGTTTAATTATAATTGTTAATTATGAGAAAAGCCTTGTCTTCAAAGGATTCCGTAACTTTAAAAGTAATATTAGACAGGTTTATTTTAAAATATTCCAACCAAGAAATTTTAATTACTCCAGTTTTAAAGACCTGAATTCAAGCTTATGGGGGAAGGTAATGTAAAATCCATAGAAAAGCTTTCTCTAAATTATTTTGTTAATTACAATAAAGCCGGAAAGTTCCTTTCAAAGTAGTTTTTCTATTGTTTCAGTGCAGTGGTGCCATTCAGCTAATTTCTTTTTCTGTCTTTAGGATATCCAGGAAGCAAACTTCAAGACCTCCAGCAGTCGGCTCCTTGCAGCTGTCATGTCTGCTCTGTGCCACACTTCCGTGAAGCTGACCTCCATCTTTCCCATTGCCTACGATGGAGAGGCCTTGCTGCGCTCCATGGTCAAACAAGTCAGCACTGAGAACGACTCTGCCCTGGCCCATCGCTTTCCTCTTCTGGTTGCACACATGGAAAAGCTTAGTCAGGTTAAGATGTATTCTAAAAATTTAATGATTTTTTCTACTTCGCAACAAAAAACTCTTACGTATCTACACGTTTTTGCTCAATAAAAATGTATATGAGTTTACCTAAGTGTTTTCTTTCTAAAAGGCTTAGTTCAGAAACTTATTATTTTTTACAATTTTCAATTTCTTGTCTGAGCTACTCCAACTCTTTCTTCTTTGGAGAATGTCTAAGCACAATGGTTCTTATCTTGGAATATTAAATTGGAAGAAATATCCTTTGGAGTAGTATTCTGTTGCATAGTTTTTTCTGCAGCAGTTTTTCAGTTTTTTCATGTGATCACAATGTAGACATGTAGATAGATTCGGTATTTTGAAGAAGAGTCAACACAACCTTCGTAAGAAAAAGTCATGTCCCAAACTGGAGTTTTTAAGGGAGCCAATAAAGGAATCCTAGTTCATACTGTTCTAGCAAAGGTTATTAAACAATTTGCTAATCAAGGGCTCTTCAATACTGTATTGTTGCAGTTCTGGTATTTTAGAATTGATTTACGGAAGTGAGAAGTAAGATAAAAGGTAAAGAATGAAATAAAAGGTAATAATCATGAAAATGGGACTACTAAATAGTGTTCTTCAACTTGGATGACAAAAGGGGTATGAAATTATGAATTATGCAAGAAAGGTAAATAAAGGATAGTTGTAGAAACTACCATTACCAGAAATTTAGAGCAAAAGATAAGGTCAGAAGTTTTCTACTCTTCATAAAATACACAGTTAAGCTGGGGGACATACTCCTGTAGGCCGTTATTGTGCTAAAAGATTTCATGGACTTGAAAAGCACCTGTACCAATTAATGGAGGAAAAAACCACCAGGCACTACTAAATGCAAAGATAATGTTTGTGTCTTGGATACAGCAGCCTCCTAACTGTAAAAGATGGAAACGTGTTCTGTACAGGTTTGCTTTGCCTGATTATCTTCCATATTTTTTCACTACTTGGATTTTTTTTTTTTTTTGGCATACAAAGAGGTGAGAAAGATAAACCTTGGATTTTCATCTGTTGAGCTGATTTTATTTTTCTTGTCGAAAGCAGTGGATGTCACTGCTAGGCAGAAGACACAATAGGTGCCTAAGCCTAGATTTGTTTCATAGTCTTCATTCAGCAAAGAAAAACTGTGTTTATAATCATCCCACCACTTACTTCTTTGTCTTACTTCTTTGCATAGAAGATTCTTTTTGCTAACACCAAAACAATAAAGCTTCCAAGTTTCTTGTTTAGACAGTGCAGAAGAAAATTACATGAATAGGTTCAAAGGTAGCTATATATCCACTGTGTTTTAATGTATGCTTTTAAAGCCCATAGGTTTTATGGCTATATAGTATATAAAGAAGAGACCTCTCCTGGGAAGGTCATCTGTATCTGGTGTCTTTCCACTGCAGTAAAAGACTTGTCACCACCTCATACAGGAAATTAAGGACATCAATCTGTTCTTTTGACAAAGGAATACATACTATGATAGCTTTGAGAATTTTTTTCCACCTTCTAGAAAGATAAGAAATGTCATTTCTTATCTTCATGAAATCACAGATATTTCAATTACCTAATACTGTAAAAGTTCTTGTTTTGGTTTTTTAATAACCATTGTTATTATTTGTCGTTTGTTTTTGTTCACACTGCAGAGTGAAGAAAATGTTTCAGGGATGACAAGCTTTCGGGAAGTGCTGGAAAAGATGTTGGTCATTGTTGTTTTACCAGTACGGAACAGCCTTAGAAGAGAAAATGAACTTTTCTCTTCACATCTAGTTTCCAATACCTGTGGGTTGCTTGCTAGTATTGTGAGTGAGCTTACAGCATCAGCATTAGGATCTGAGGTAAAGTTGCTCTGCAATAATTTTCAGAAGTCTTCGAAGACAAACATACTACAAATGTGATAGAGGCTGGATGGGTATTTTATAGGTGTGCAGATCTTTTAGAGATTCTGGAATTCTCTGTTTTGAGTACTGCAGATGTTTGGCATAGATTTAAAAGCATATATTTACTGTATTAGAGAAATACTGTTGGTAATTAGCTACTTGATTAGTGCTGAAGAATACTGCAGATTGTTTTTAAAAAGGCACATTTTTGAGTACTTTGCTTTTTGCCTGCATATTTTCGTAGATATACAATTCTTTCAGGAGGCTATAACTTCATTAAGTGACAGAAAAGTATTTTTCAGTGTTGATAGCACTGTCTCTGTGCTATGAACAGGCTTTTCTCACAGAAAGAATCAAGTTTTTGATAACATCTTGATTCAAGGTGTTTTTACCATGATGTAACAATTGTTTCTGCCCTCTCTTAATCTTGACTGTACCTAAGGCAGAAATACCTTACCTTTACCTAAGGCAAAAATACCTAATCTTTCCTTTAGTACAGCTAATCTGTTTTTTTTGCTAATTCATCCATAAAGTATATATTTAAATATTTTAAAAAACCGAGTTGGATTTCTGATTATTCCTAGATAATTTCTAATTATCAGAAATACTTTATTTTTTATTTTTAGTCAATATTAACCAGAAAGCTAAATAGTGGCATCTTCTGTGGTTTGAGAGTTGACTTTTAAAATTTACCCAGTTGAAAAATCTGATAATTCACTTTGCTTTATTAAAAGTTGTCTACAATTTAGCAGTGAATATTTTCTTACAATTGTATTTAACTTTCTACAGGTTGATGGGCTGAATTCTCTCCATTCTGTCAAATCCACTCCGAACAGATTTACTAAAACAAGTCAGGGAAGAAGCTGGAATACTGGGAATGGATCCCCTGATGCCATATGTTTCTCTGTTGACAAACCTGGTGTAGTTGTAGTAGGATTTTCTGTTTATGGTGGAGGAGGAATTCACGAGTATGAGTTGGAGGTATTAGTTGATGATGTAAGTACTCCTTTTGGGAAAACAATTTGAAGAAAAGTAACCTCAGAGGTTTTTAAAAGTATCTTTTACAATGTCATGTTTTCATACTCATATTCAGTCTAGGCTACCAGTAAAACAGTGCACTGGTAGTAGGCTTTTTTGCTTGTGGTGAAGATTTTTGTGTTACCACAAGCTTTATATCATATCTAGTAGGGTCCTTATCTTGGTTATTGTCATGAACTCTTCCTTTATTACAAGTAATATTTGAAGTATTGGGGGCTTTTCACTTTCTGGAGCTAAATATAAATTAGTGCCAGTTACCTCTTTGTAAACCATGAATAAAATTAAGAAATGAAGTTATAACCAAAAATTGAAGAAAAGGATAATAGCCTACCAACATGGTCAGACCTACAGATGTTCCATGTTCTGTTGATGTACTCTCTTAGAAGCAGCATAAAACTGTGTTGTGGCTTCTTGTAATGAAGCAAAACTGCTGTTCTTTTACACACAAGTTGTTCACTATAACTGATGATTCTGATCTCTTCCAAAGGACAAGCATAGGTTACTATGGGAAATTAACCTCTCTGCTCAGTAATTTCCTCTTTAGAGGAAAGACTTTACTGTTGACTCTGAACAGGTTTTTCATGTTTTTGTTTGTAATGCCATGTGTAAAAATTTATGCAATGAAACATAAGTTGCATAATTGCATGTGTCATGTATTTACATTATAAATGTATTAAAATGACTATGTTTCTTTGAATCAGAGTGATCATACTGGAGATGCAACTCACTCTCATAGATGGACATCATTAGAATTGGTTAAAGGAACTTACACCACAGATGATTCTCCTAGTGACATAGCTGAAATCAGACTTGACAAAGTTGTTCCACTGAAGGTAAATAAAATAAAAGCACATCTGTAGGTTTCATACAACTTCTTTAGATAACAAAATTGAAATTGTCAGTGTAAATTGTTTGGGTTTTTGGATGCACATTCACAAATTGATCTTGACATGTGTTTCATAAAGTCTTGGTTTCAACCTATAAATTAAAAGCTCCAAATCCAGTCAGCTAGAAGAAAGTAGATCCCCGTTTTTATAATTGTGTAAGACAGATTGTAGATGCTTAGTAATTTTAGAGTATTTTTGAAAGTGCAACTTTTTTAATGCAACTTAATATTTAATTTTCTTGGATACCTGCTTGCTCTTAAAGTAATTAGTAGTAATTTGTTATGGTCTATAGTTTGGGAACATGGAACAGCTCTGATTTTTGTTAAATGCTGGATCTTCTTTATTTAATTTCATTTGTAGAGTGCTTTGAAGGAGTTTTCGGACTCTCCAGTATTAACGTAAAATAATAACTTTCATATACCATGAAGCCATTAGATATTTGTTTCATATTGCAACCTATTTTTGGTCTCCTTTCTAAGGAAAATGTGAAGTATGCAGTTCGTTTGAGGAATTACGGAAGCCGGACTGCCAATGGAGATGGTGGAATGACCACGGTTCAGTGTCCAGATGGTGTAACCTTTACATTCAGTACATGTAGTCTGAGCAGTAATGGCACCAACCAAACACGAGGACAAATCCCACAGATCCTTTATTACAGGTTTGTGTGTTGTAATGATTCCTTTCTAAGGAAAGTGAATGAAGCCATCACAGTGCTATTATACCACATCTGTTTTTAAGAGGTGTTAGAAATAAATCCATCCACAGTGTGTTTGTGATGCCTCTTCCAGTCTTGTTTTAGGTTCTGTTTTTTTTTTTATTTGAAAAATAATGTGATGATTGACTTCTTATGAGGTCCATTGTTTATTACCTTAAAGCGCTAAATATGAGGAACTCAGATACACTATTTCAATTTCTGTTTCTTCTATACCGTAGTAGATAGCTGAGAAATTACTCACTAGCATGTTTATCTCTCCAATTTATTCAGTTCTTCAGTTTCCAAAAATAATTGCATCATGTAGTGAAGCAAGGTGTATTTATATAGGAACTCCTCTCTTACTTAGAGATGAAAGGTGTAAAAAGAGAAATTGCAATTGCCTCAAGAAATTCAGCTGAAACATCTGACGGTCCTGCAGGGGAGCTTTACTTCAGCCTTTCAGGATGACAGTAGGAATTCACTTGTGATAATGCTTTTGCAGAAAGCATTGCTTTTGTGTTTGAGGTGCTTACTCTGATTTGTATAAGGACAGGATTTTCAAACTGGCAGTACAAGGCTGATTAACAGAAGATGGAAGGAATAAAATGATCCATGAATAGTATTTTAGTTTTATCTTTGGTTGTGTGAGAAGTACCTACATAATAAAAGATGTAGAAGATATGAAAAAGTAATACTACACCAACTGATATATTTTAGACTAACAAGCTCATGAACATGTGGCTCTTAAGAAGGTTTTAAAGAAAGTAAAATATGAAGAAATAAAGTGGCCAGCAAAATTATAGTAATGGTATATTTGAAGATATAGGATAGTTCTAAACTACCTTAAAACATGAGATTGTGCTCGAAGATCCAGCTTGTCAGTAAAAACAGTAACTGCTTAATAAAGAACGGAATTGCAGTGGTGCAGATCATGATGCTTTAATTGATTTAGTATCCTAGAAACTTGGACTTCATTATGAAGTATTATAATTGGAAAGTGTCATTATGTAAGAAGGATGAAAGAAAGACATGGAAAACATCTATTTTTCACTCCTAGATTGTCTGCTTTTATACAGGCAGAAGAGAAAATTAAAGAGAAATAACAATTTCTTTGATTTCAGAAAATCAAAGGACATAATTTCAGTAATGGAAACTTCAAGACATTCTAACGATAATAAATTAACATACAAAAAATCCCCGCACCAAAGCCCTGTCTTCAGATCAGAGCAGTCTCAATTTTTTTTGTTTCAGCTGATAAAATTCAAAGAGGCTTTCGAAAGCCTAGTGGTACAAGTTGGAACTGTTGCAGAATAAATTGTGTTGAAAAAAATTGCAGCTGCTGTGCTGTAATCACAATGTCTTTGTAGTTTGCATGGACAAGATAAATTTATCTATTGCATTATTATAGTTATAATATAATATAATCCTAAAGTTAAGTTAGGACTTACTGTGAAGACTCACTGTTTGATATATAATGATTTGACGTTTTGATTTGCTTACAGCAAAGAAACAAATGTTCAGTCATCTATTATAGAGTTGCTTGTAAAAGTCACACTACATTTTGTTTGGAGGATGCTGAGATATCAATAGAAATGTTTCTTAGGCATATGCAAAAAAAGCCCACATACAGAAGTTAACACACTTCTGGTAAGGGCAGAAAAGTTTTGGAGGGGAGGGATTTGTTGGAAAAGTACTCAGTTGAATTGCACCTATGTCAGTAGCCAAAAAATTCAAATGAAAAAGGCTTGAGGCTGACAGCAAAGCTACAATTCTAGGACACTTTGAAAAAGCAATATTTTTGTAAGAGTGATTGATTCACATGACAGAGAAGGAGAGATATCCTTGTTCACTGAACTGCTCAAAGTAAAATTTCTTAACGTTCTGAGGTGCTAGTCCTCAAATAATACAGTGGACAAACATAAGATATCCAAAAGAGAATGGTAGATTTTGTTTTACACATTGACTTCAGTGATTTTATTTCTCTATGCCAAGGCTTAATCACTATCATATTGAAAGCTTGAATTAGTTTGTAATTGTCATTTGATAGCTTTGAAAAAGTAAACCAAACCTTATTGAAATGGTTTCTTGCATGATGTTGTTTAGGAAAGCCTAATTTGACATACAGAGTGGATTTAAAATAAAGAACTGATAATTAAGGGTAAGCCCAAGACTGTATTTCAAAGCTGTAATTAATCTTTGAAATAAGAAGGGAGAATCTTTGTCTCTTACGAAAATGTAGAAATATCCATTAACAAAGTTTTACTTGTTTCTGTGAAGCATTTACCATTGCTCTGTTTTTACCAAGACAGCTAACTAGCTTTGGAAGAGCATAGCAATTAATTCTGTGGTTTAAAAGGCATCTAGAGAAAAGAAACATTGCAGAAAAATGCTTTTTATACTTTTTGCCAAACAAAGTTCTTGCAAAGGACTAACAGTGAGATATTTTCTCCAAAACATCCTCCATGGTTTCTTTGGTTTTTTATTGCTTTATCAAAAATGGTTTTGCTTATTCTATGCCAAAAATTAGTCAGTAGTTTTCTTTAAAGTAATTTTGTATTTGTGAACTTACTTTAACTTAATCCACTATCCAGGAGTGAGTATGATGGTGATCTGCAGTCACAGCTGTTGAACAAAGCTAATGAAGAGGACAAAAACTGTAGCAGGGCTCTTTCTGTCGTGAGTGCTGTTGTACGAGCAGCCAAAGACTTGTTGCACAGAGCTCTTGCTGTAGATGGTAAGGCTTGAGAAAATTTCACTTCACTTTTCAAAACTTTCTACTTTGCTAGCCAGCCATAGTACAATATCACCTGAATACAAGAGCTGTGATGTTTCTCGTTTGCTTTCCAAAGAATATTTTTCTAACCTTTTATCCTGTAGGTATCAAACTGTGAGTAACTTTTATGCCATTGAGTTATGCTTGTGATAGCATAGTCAGATACTTTGGATAAATTTGCTCATCAGTTTAGCAAGTATCATATTAAAGCTGGTAAGATTCTTTATTTCCTAAAGATGTTTTACGGGCAGGTTAGTTGCAAATTTCCTCAGTGTTTTGCACAAAGGTTGTAGTCAGTAGGACTGGTTAATGTAATTAATGTATAAGCACTTTAACATCCCTTTGTGAGAAATGTACATATCAGCCATTGTAGCCATATTGTCCGGAATATTACATAGTGCTATAAAACTAGTTTTGAAGGTCTGGGACGACTGTTGTGCTAACTTTTATACTGTAGAAAATATTAACACGGCTTCACAAAATGGAAAAGAATGCAACAAAAAAGACAGTGTCAGATTTTAGTTACCTCATTTCTTCATGGAACTGAGATTTGAAACAACCAAGTGTTTTGCTGTAGAAGTGTTCATCTACTTAGAAAATGTAGTGAAGATTACAGGGAACATAATATTAAAATAAATATTAGTATGGTTATAGAGTATAACTGGATTTTGGCTTTAGTATGGTATTTACTTTCTGTGAACTTGTGCTTACCATTTGTTAATGTACAAGGTTTTAGTAGAAGCTATTTTAGGGAAAGGATGTCACAGTTACATACAGATTCTTGTTTCAGCTTCGGCGAGTCTCCAAGAGGAGATTAATGTACTGGTGCTTTTTTTGTTAGGATTGTGTAGATGATATTCTGAGAATGTTCAAACAACCACTGAAGAGAAATGGAAGTATTAGAGTATTGTTTTCACCAAGTTATAAGACTTTGTAATAACACATGTGATGTTATGTTACAGGTTGCTGTTGAGGTCTTTGGCCTGGTACAACAGCTGCTTCCTTCTGTGGCTGTTCTGAATCAGAAATACGCCCCACCAGCTTTTAACCCAAATCAGTCTACAGACAGCACCACTGGAAACCAGCCAGAGCAAGGGCTTTCAGCTTGTACTACCTCCAATCACTATGCTGTTGTAGAAAGTGAGCACCCCTACAAACCTGCCTCTGTTACACACTATAAGGTGAGCACCATTTCTAAGTGTACATGCTGCTTCTTAAAAGCTTTACACGAGTTTTCTTGAGTCAGAATTTGCTATTGAAAAATTGTTGCCATGGATGATAACTAATATTGTCTGATATAGAAGACATTATTATATTATTGCTGTACTGCTTTTTGGGCAAAACTCTACATCAAGTGTAGTGGAAAATAGTGATGTTTTAACCCCCTAATTCAGGTATCTGCTCTAAATCCCTAAATTTGCACAGTCTTAGATTTTTCTGCTGTCATACAGAGCTTCTTTGCTCTAACTGTAGACTTTGTAGAAGTTCAAAGTCTTTACATATAGAGTATATAATCACATATCAGATTTTCTTACCTAATGCTTAAACAATGTTTTGTAAGTATACATAAAGTCAGTTCTAGTCAGATTGACATCCAGAAGTAGCAAACCTATAATCAAGAGCCTGAACAGGACTTATTATTCTGCTATTCCAGTGCTTGTCCTGTCAGACAGCAAGACATCCAGTGCAGAAAATGTAGCTACCATGTGATCATCTTCATGCAATAATGCTTACATTTGTCCTAAAAGTTTATGGAGCATGTGTAGAGCCTTGGGTTTAGTAATTACTGCATTTGAATTTCTGTAGCTGTATGCTATTTTACTGCAAGCCACATTCACTAGTGGGATTCAGCTGCTCTGTACTTTTCTGGGATTGCACAAAATAGGTATTCATTATGTTCGTTGAAGTTTGAGTTTGAAAAAGGTATCTGAGACTTCAATGTGCTCAGTAGTCGGTGGTTGTTTTCTTAATGAACCTGTGCAGGATTCTTAAAAGCAATCACAAGTGGTGCCATTGCAAATATTTAAACAGAATATTAAGTTATAACACAGAATTCTAATTGAGTAAAGTGCAAAGCATTTCAGGTGTACATAAATTTCAAGGAATAAATTAGGTTAATGTTAATTAAAAGAATAGCAAAACAATTCTGCAGAATTACTTAATTAAATCACTTGTTTAGACTAAATCTGAGTTAAGGCCAAATGGAAATGAAGAAGTAAATGTAAAAAAAAAACCCAAGAACCCCAAAAACATAATTAACCTATTGCTTTGTTTTAGGTGACTTTTCCTGAATGTGTCAGGTGGATAACAATAGAGTTTGACACTCAGTGTGGCACTGCTCAGTCAGAGGATGTTCTTCGTTTACTAATTCCTGTCAGAGTTGCACAGAGCCTGGGATTTGGACCAAAGCATACCTCTGTTCATGAGAACCTTAATTCATGGATAGAACTGAAAAAGTTCTCTGGATCTTCAGGATGGCCTACCATGGTGTTGGTATTGCCAGGTAATACATAGATACTGATGTAATTACTAGTAATGTGTGTTACTACATTAATAAAGGGACTTTGATTTTTCTGCAGAATTGTCTTGGCAGACAAAATTAAAGAAGTGTCTTTATCCCAGCTGGCAAATTAATTATGTCTATAGTGGGCTTCTTGCTTGAAGTATTGATCTGCTTGTTTTTCCCGTGGTTTTAATTCACATTTTAGATATAAAGGCTGGATTTCGTATATACTTACGTAAAAGAAACACACAAAAAGAGGAGGAATATATTATTCATTTAAATTATCCTTTCACTTCTCTAAGGGAATGAAGCACTTTTTTCTCTGGAGACTGCATCAGACTATGTGAAAGATGAAAAAGCTTGTTTTTATGGTTTCAAATGTTACGCAATTGGATATGAATTTAGTCCAGGAAGTGATGAGGTAAGGGAAAAAGTGAATAGTTATAATTGCTTTACGTAATAAATCAGCTAATAAATATCTTGAGGGTAAAAAAAATTTGTATCTCCACTTATGGCTAAGTGACATTAGCAAAATATTTTTAGATTAATATATAAAAGTAGTAACATTTTTTTGTTAAGGGCATTATTAATTTGGAATTCTTTAATCAGGATACTGTTGAAGTGGCTGTTGTATGATTTGTGGCACTCGGCAAAAACATAGTGTGTTTTTATCTGGTATGTCAGTGGGATATAAGATTTCCTGAAATTCTGGCCTACTCTTGCCTCAGAGATCCAAAGGTGTTGGGCTTCTTACTGTCACTGCCTATTGAATGACATGCTTGCATTATTTTCCAGTGCTCACTTACACCAGAACTCTAACTCCTTGGAAATGCTGTGTGCATTTAGGCTACCTCAGGTTTTACCCAGTGGTCTCCTCATTTTACCTTTAAGGACATGAGTCATTTCCACCACTGTTTATTGCAAAGGGAAGATCACATTTCTTCACATCCTTGACCCAATTCTTTCTTTTGGCTTACTTTAAGAGATTACTGAAAACACTTAATATGTTTTACACTACATCCAGAAAAATAAGTCTTCCCTTGTCCTGGGAGTCTTTGGCCCTGTTGCTTCATGTGGATTTTGCAAGGTCTGCATCTTGCTTATATTACAACCCTCACAGAAGATTTACCTCATCTTATTCCTGGATTTTGCTCAAGCTAAATCATGTCTTCAGATTTTCAGAATGTCAAGTTCTTTGGAATATCTTGACATATCAGATAAGAGCACATACCATAAGATTATCATCTATGGTGGTCACACTGGCTTTCAGCAGAATAAGATTTATAATTCCTACAGATGATCTAATTGGTCTGTGTTTCCTTAAGCAAAAGTTATTTCTATTCAAAAATACCCATGTAGATTCATATGTCATTCTTTTCCTTTAAAGCATTTACAAATAAAGCTGCTGGCATATTTTGAATGCTCAGTGCTAAAACATGCTAGCCAATAGCTTAAATCTGTCATCTAAAGAATAGTTGTAAGTAATTGTTTTCAGACATACCTTGTTATTCTAAAAATTTTTGTACTCTGTCCTATGGCACAGCAAAACATGGCAGTAGCTGTAGGACAAGAAACACATTGCTGAGAAGCTTCAAACTGCGACATAAAGTATTTCTTAATATAGAACATTGTCAGGAAAATGTAATTATTGTCCTATTTTCTGAGACACTAATTTTGTTTTAACTTTTTTTTTTTTTGTCATTTGAAGGGTATTATTCAGCTGGAGAAAGAACTGGCAAATTTAGGAGGATCATGTGCAGCAGCTTTGATGAAGAAAGATTTAGCGCTTCCTATTGGTAAGAGCATACTTCATTTTTTCATCATTATCCATGTTTTCTTAATTAAGAGTACATTCAAATTGTAATGTTGCTTTTAATTAGAGATGATCTGACTTAAACAGCAGTGTAAAATTGGTTTATGTATTTTTGTATTATTACATTCTTAATTGTATCAATTCTGGTAGTAGTTTATTTCTGAGGGTAATTTTTAGATGTCTTTATTTCTTTGAATTTTAAAAATTGCCTTGGAACTTGATTTTCTTATTCCTCTTTCTTCTGACTAGAAGAATTGCCTGACATGTTTTTAAAAGAGAGTAGGAATATGGTAAACTTATTTGTTTCACTCCTCTGTTAAAAGACTGTTTGGCAATTCTGGTCATCCAGGAATCAGACTTCAGAGTTGCATTTGTGAGAAAGAAATACTGTGTAATAGTATGTATTTGAGCTTTGTGTTTTAGGAAGGATCATAATTTATGAAATTATGCGGAGTTACAAAGGTAAGTTCTTAAAAGGGAGCAGCTGTTGCGTACTTAGAGATACTACTTCCCATAAACCACCTTGACTTCTCAAAGTCTTTCTGAAAGTATCTAGTCACATCCAAAGACTTGCCATACATAGCGCCTTGGAAATAAAAAGATAAGCACCAAATTTTTGTTCTGTGTAACTTTCGTTGTTCATATGTGTGTGCACTGAACTACACAATACTGCATGTTTGCTATGTTATTTGAAAATATTTTAGCTGCTGATTGAACAGTATGATACATCATTATGCAGACTTGAAATTTGTAATATAAAAGGCTTCATGAAACAGAATTGAATCTCATATTCTGTAACATGTAGATGATATAACTGTTACATTATTCCAGCAGGTAGTGAGATTGAAGAAGATCTTGAGATACTTGAAGAGGCTGCCTTACAGGTATGCTGCAGCTTTTTATCCATTGCAATGCACTTAAGCACAAAATTGCATTGAAACTGAGTGCTACAGAAGAAAATAATTTGTAAGGCTTCTATCATAGAATGGAATCCAGCTTATTATTTAACAGTTTAAGAAAATCATACAGAATTTTACTATTTAAATGAAATCATTTTTTATAATGAATCTGCTTGGAAAAAAATACATAGGACATTAGATGACCAAGTAGTTAAAAATATCTGTTTGGCTGAAATTGCAGTATTTGGCAAGTTTTAAATGTTACCAAAATCAGTCTTCTGCATGTCTTTGTAATTAGAGTAATAGAATCACTTTTTCAGCTAAGCAGTGATGTTAATCAAGTCCCAAATAATAGGATTGCAGTTGTTCTGCTTTGCTGATGGACTTTTGTTGAGTACAGTGGGAGTAAATGCTGAATCTCCTTCAACTCCAGGTCATTTAACGTATTTTGGCATAAAGTACTGTTTAATAGACTGAGATGGCTTTTTTTAAAGCTTTTATCAGGGTGAAGTTTATTCTTTTTGAATGGTTTTAAATACTCAAAATGTTTTTACCAACTGTGTCACGTTATGGGGAAAATGTGAACATGTTACTGAAAAGCTTTTCTATGTCTTTCTTTTCACCCCCAACCTCTGCCAAAAAAACCAAAAAGGTGTGCAAAGCTCATTCAGGCATTCTTGGAAAAGGCTTGGCACTATCTCACTCACCAACCATTTTGGAAGCTCTCGAAGGAAGTCTTCCCCTGCAGGTACAAAGCAACGAGCAGTCGTTTCTGGAAGATTTCATTGCTTGTGTGCCAGGATCAAGTGGTGGACGACTTGCAAGGTAAAACTGCACTGTTGCTTATCCTTTTAACTGGCTATAGAACTGTCATAGTTATTTTAAGTATTAGTTGAATAAAACTGTTTGGCTCTGTTGTTTCGATTAATACATTAGTTAAAAGCATGTAGGCATTCAGATACTGTGTCTTTTCTTAGCTCTGTGTCACATTTGTACAGAGTAAGAATTTGTCTTTTGGGGGCTGTAAGAGATCTTAATGTTAGGCGGCTTTCTTTGCTTTAGGTGGCTGCAGCCAGATTCATATGCTGATCCTCAAAAAACATCATTGATTTTGAATAAGGATGACATCCGATGTGGTTGGCCAACTGTTATTACAGTACAAACAAAAGACCAGTATGGGGAAGTTGTTCATGTTCCTAATATGAAGGTAATTATTGTAACCTTGGTGTTCTGCTGAATCTTGCTGTCTTTTAGTATTTATTGTAGGTATTCCACAGAATACTCTTGTATGCAACAGAAAGTGGCATTCATAAATTCATTGTAATCAGACTTTCTTACCTCTAAATCCACAAACCTGCCACATTCTGTATTATGCCACCACCATTTCATGAAATTCATAACTTGCCTGAAATGAATTACACATGTGTGGTTGCATAAAAAATCAGTCATAAGTGAGGTTGGATGGTGATGATGTATTAAAGTGACAAGAATCACTTTTTTAATTTGTAAGCCAGGAAAGAGTGTTATAAACCATAGACTTTGGGATGGGAAAAAATAATCAGAAGCACACTGATGGACCACGTTATAGTTACTTTATTTAGACTAGAACAATACTCTTGCCTTTTCTGTTTCTCGTACTTGGAAGTTCCTGTAGTCCTTGCAGTTAATAAGGATAACTGGCAGGGACTGGTGTTCCTGTGTTTGCCTTCAGCCTTGTCAGTTAACCACTGTTTTTCAGTACTGGAAAGGAGATGTTCTTCACAGCCTCAGGTAGAGTTAGAAGAATTTTGTGCATTTTGGGGTAAAACCTATGTGGAATGTATAAAAGTGGGCTGTTTGATTTGAAGTAGTAAAGCAATGCAAACAAAACAAACACAAAATGGTTTTCATGTAGTTCTAATAAATTAGGTTACTTCTCTGTTTTAAAGCCCACTGCTACTGTGGAGTAGTTGGTTTTAATCAAGCCCAAGCGTAGATTAAATACTTTTTACAAAGGCATGATTCCTGTGAGAAAAGCTCTCAAATCTGTTCTTTGTATATGATGTAATAATTGAGTTTTCTTACAGTGAGCTGTAAATGTAATAATGAACAGCAGTTCTACAACAGTAACACAAGAATCAGCTTAGTCACAAACACTGCTTGAGTGAAACTTGTGTGATTACTGACTTATATTAATGACAGAACAAGTGGAAGACTCTCAGTAGTGATTTTATCCTATCAGTCAGGAAAAGGATATGTCAAAATATGACGAAAAATTATTGCTGGTTTTATTATTTAATTACTGTTCACAAATGTATTAAAGTAACAAAAACCTTACCTGCATTAATGGAGATCTGTGCTACCTCTGGGGGAAAAAGTCAGCTAAAACATGCATTGAAGAGCACAATATAAATGCGCAGTGCTGACTGTGAGGTGGCAGAGCTGGCCAGGATCCAGTCTGGCTGATGCAGGTCTTGGAAGGCTCTCCTCTTTTGTTGCGCTTTTCTGTTCTGGGAAAACTTCCCTAGGCATACCAGACTGTGTGCTGCCAGTCAGGGAGTGCAGAAGTGACACCAGCCTGTGCTGATGGTGGAGTCAGTTGGGTGCTTCTCCCCTGCCCATTGGCATCTTCCCAAGATGCGGTGCTTGGCTTTGCAGGTTAACGTAGATAACATTGGGTTTTGACACAGCTGGAGTTACAAGGAGGGCTCTAAGCACTTTGTCTCTGCACTGCATCAAATTCAAAAGAAATGTGTGTGTGTGTGTTCTCACTAAATCATATTCCCTCTTCCACATCTTATTACAGGTGGAAGTCAAAGCTATTCCTGTTTCTCAGAAAAAAACATCTTTGCAACAAGAACAAGTTAAGAAAGTGCAGCGGATACCAGGCAGTCCTGCAACAGCTGTTTCCCCTAGCAGTGATATGACCTTTGGAGGACTTCCTTCACCAAAGCTTGATTCCTCCTATGAGCCAATGATAGTAAAAGAAGCTCGGTATATTGCTATTACAATGATGAAAGTAAGTTGCTGCAATTTTGGCAATGTTACTATAGAATTCAGCATTCAAAGTGTGTAAAGGTATGCAGCAGAGAAGGAAAAATGTATGTTTACTTTTGGTCCCAAGATGCAAATATATTCAATGCAAATTGCTTTGATTAATATTAGTTCAGAAATAAACTAAATACATCAAAAGGGCCAATTGGTTAAACTCTAAAGCAGTTAGATTGGATTAGCATAAAAAGGAAAGTCGTCTTGGATTTTGATTAAACAGATTAACAAATTAATCTGAGTCATTCGGGAGAAATAAAAACAGATACTAAAATGGTGAAGGGAAAGTTAAACCAGTATTTTTATTTATATGGAGTTGGAGTATTGCAGTGAATGCATACTTTAAACTAGAACAGGTGAAATTGAAAAACAAGAAAAAATAAGAGCTCAGCATAGTAAAAAAAGGCATACAAATGACTTATATATCAATGCGTATATATTAAGCAGCATCTGATTAAATTAGCCATTTTAAAAGGATCAGCTGAGACACTTAGGAACAATTTTTAAAGAAGTGAAAACTGAGCAGCTAGTGTTGATTTGATTAAGTATGTTATAGCACATGCAGTAAATTTACATATGTGTACCATACTGACCCAGTTAAGAGATGTGACATGTTGTGTACAGCTAAGAGTTGCACAGGCTTAATGAGACAGGATTAGCCAGGAGGGTAGAGAAGGATAATACTTAGCGTAATCAGTATGGATTTGTTGTGGGGCCAGAACCAGCAAACTGGCACCTTTTAGAGGCAAAGGATAGTGCTGCAGTACCTGTGTGTAAATAGTGCAGCTGGGTACTGAACAGTGTCTTAACAGATCAATGAAAGAACTATTAAATCAATGTGTACAACAATTGATTTAAGAACTTGCTAAGTCGTGTGCATATCAAGGTGTGGTTTTGGCATTTTTATTTGGGCTGCTACAAATATCACTTCTTGGTTTGATGCTTCTTTTAAAAGTGGCTTGAGGGGATGCAGAAATACATTACTTATTCCAAGTTAGATGTTAAATGATATTTCTGATAGCCACTGTCTACAGGTATCTGCTGCTTCTTTTCCAGTGATAGGTGTCAAATCTGCTCACACAACTCTAAGGGTGGTATATCTTGTGATGCATGAGATGCTTTGGGGTAAATTACAGTGGTGCCAAGTGTAGGATGTTCAAAAACTCTTCTGTAGATGAGATTTAATGGAGTGAGGAATGCTTAATATCAGCTAGTTAATGTGCAGTCATTTTTAGTTGAAATAAGGCTAAGGGAAAATGAAAGTGGAAGGATTCATTTAAAATCCTCTTAGAAGATAATAACAGTATAAACCTTCATATAGATAAAAGTAAAAAGACACCAAGGTTAAATTCAAAAAGCATCTCTCTTGTTGAAACATGCTTGATTTTTGTATTTAGTGCTTTTCCAGAGAATCTTCCCAAGGTTCCTTTCAAGTTCAGTCCTTTCCATCCAGAACTTTTGGAATTCGAGGCATTGTCAATATTGTGTTCTGTTTCCCTGCCTGCATTATTAAGCACACTCATTTCAGTGTAAAATGCAGACATGCCCTGATACTTTCATTTTACATCAGCCTGCACGTTGTATCAGTACTTGATACAAATATCTAAATATGATTATAAAATCTCCCTTCATAAAAATACATATAATAAATTATTACATGTTTGGGGGACTGATACTCAAAACTTTAGTTTTGAATTAAAACTTTAGTTTTAATTGTATCTTTTTTTTAGTTAGTTAGATAACTAACTTATCCAAAATATCTTTATACAGGGACCCAAGATGGCTGATTTGCATATATGTTCAAAGGTTCTTATACTACCTTATGTTGGTTTTGGTTTAACAGGAATCTCATAACTCAGCAATTATTGCAGCCCAAAGAGATTCTTGGTGAGGGACTTTGTGCACTCCTAGGACTAGCTCTGTTTTCTTATCTTCACTTGGAGTTGAAAGAAAAAGGATGAAATTTCATTGATGAAGCCCCTGGGCTGGTTTGCAGGTTTTACCTGCAACTTATTTGCTTTCTTATCTTGACATGGTCTTCAGTGCACTGCCTGGATTCAGAAGGGTTTTTACAAGTCAGATTTGAAGAGTTTCAAAGACTTAAGGTTTTTGTTAGCAGTAGCAATCTTTCTTATCTAAATAATGACTGTTTAATCAGACAGTGAAAATACTCTTTCATGTGTGCACATATATTTCTGTGTTTTGAAATTTGTTTCTGATTCCCTCATCAATGCTTGTGGGGTGTGTAAAGTTAGATTGATGTATTCTTTAAGAAAATGCTCTGCTTTCTTTTATTCAAGACAGTGGTATAACTGTTGGTTTTGTGTTTGAATTTAATCTATATATAGGCATACGAAAATTATTCTTTTGAAGAACTACGTTTTGCTTCACCAACACCAAAGAGGTAAACATCAAATAATTTCTTTTGGATAGGGACTCATATTAACATGTCCTGACACTTCTGCTTACACCCAGACTCCCAGGTGTGACTGACAGGTAATCGTGTCTGAAGGTAGAAACACAGAAGTCAAGTATTGTTTCCTTATATGTGGCAATTTTATTTAAAATCTTTTTTTCTTAATTGTTCTAATGTTGTTTCCTTATTTGTGTTAGCTACTCTCTGAATGTGTTCTTTTATCATTTTCTATAAATAAATGTGGAGTAGTAATTTTTCATGGTAAATAATAGATTAGTACATTGGAAAGGGAAAAACTGTATTTAGATTATCTGCTAGAAAAAGAGTTGTTTCCAAACTAAACATGATAATAATCATTATATGTTTATGACATATTATTCCCAAAAAGACAGTAACTGTTCAGTGATTTTGTTTTGTTTATGCCTAGACCCAGTGAAAATATGCTGATCAGAGTCAATAATGATGGTACATACTGTGCAAACTGGACTCCTGGAGCTGTTGGTCTATATACCATTCATGTTACTATAGATGGCATTGAAATAGGTAATGAATTTTCAATATATTTAAACATAAATTTATATTATTTCCACTTTGTATACTAACACATTTGTCTTGATGCTCATAAGATTTAACATTACAGTTCATAGCAAAACTTAGTAGCCAAGTTTTCATTCAGAAGCCTTCTAGTTAAATCACTCTTTGTCAGAAGAGAAAACCCCACACACTGAAATAGGAATATATGTTGCAAATCATGTATTTATAACGTGGTTAGATTACCAGATTAACAGACTCTCTTATTCTCAGCTCTCAGTGTTGAAAGAAGAATGTCTTGTTTCAGCTGAGAGTGACAGAGAAGTATAGTTAAAGGGGGAAAAAAACCCAGCCCAACCCTGAAGAACCTAAGGAAAGGCGAAATTGTTCCTGATGATGCTGAAATACATACTGTCATTTGTTCTGGAAAATTGAGGAGGTGTGGTCTTAACTAAGACTGCCTAAACTCTTAATTATTTGTACTAATTTTTAAATGCTTTTTGTTTATTCCTTGCTGGGTATCTTTTCATTGTCTTGCCAGTCTTGGGCACTTTGCTATGATGTACTGTAGCATGTGGTGGAAAGAGAGCCCTTCCAAAAATACTCTGTATCTTGAATGCTCTCATGTCAGCCTTTTTGGTGATAGGTGAAGATGGCAGTAGAAACAGTGTGCTGCAGCCAGACCTACATCTGATAAGAGGGTTTGGGTGAGTTCACAGGCACCAGCAGTTCCTCTTTCCCAATATTGACCAAGGTGCTGGTCAGTTACCTTTAGTAAATACATAGTGATAGTAAATACGTGGTGATAAACGCAAGTACACATAATTCACATAGAAATGGAATGAGATTTGGTTTTATATGTTAACTACAGAAGATAAGATGTCTAAAGTATTATTATTAATGGTTATCTCTGTTCCTCAAACGGAGGAACATTTGCCTTCATAGGAGCCTCTGATGCACTCAGTTGTATTTTTTCCAGTGTGTCATCTCTGGAGCAAACTTTGCACTGCAATTTCAATCAACTACTCTTATACTTTTACACAGGTTCTACCATCCTCAAACATTGTGTAGGGCAAACTTTTAGAAATGATAAATATAGCTGTTAACCATCATTATTAAATAGGTATGAGTACTAATGAGTCTTAATACTTAGCTGTGCCATTTTTCTGCAATGGAACTTTGACTCAGTCATTATATTAGACTATGCCCTCTGAAGCTTTGATGTACCTATGCTTACCCATAATTCTGTCAACTTTTGACTGCTTAAGTACTGGTAACAGTTTCTCTTTGTTTCAAACCTTTTATGTTCTTGATGCTTGTAGATTGCTTCTGTTACTGCCATGCTTGTGTAAAAGGATGTTAGTGAAACCAACAGTTTTATTGCTATGTCTGGATGCTTCTTTTCAAGATGTTGTTTTTCAGAAGATCACTCTCTAAAATGAAACAAAACCACAAAAGAATCTAATATTGCTGTTTGCTTTTAGCAGTAATTGCTGAGGCAATTTCTTTGAAGGTTATTGCTCAGGGTTATGTTCATCTATTACTTAAATTTCTGTATCTTTCTTCACATGTATTTACATATATTTTTCTTCACAAACAAGAATGTCACTTTCCAGTGCCTTCATATTTTATAACAGCATTGGCAATTATATATGCCAAGTTTTACATTATAAGCCTTTTCTGGTTGTATAATGTGTTTTTTTCAGGCTCTTATATCTATGTCTCACGGGTAGCAATTAGCTTCTGTAGCAGTACAGCATTGCATAAGCTACTGCCTCTCCAGAAGCTTTCACTTGCACCTCTCAAACATTAGACTCTGTGTTGACCATACCTTGAAACATAACTCTACAGACAGTATTAGGATACAAAATTACCTGGTAGTGCTTTGTATGTACACTGTGACAGGTATCTAACAGCAGCATGAAACCACATCTCTGTAAATTTCCACATATGAAAATAGAAATGTTCAAAAATTAATGCCTTGCACCATGAAGCAACTGCAAGCGTTGATTTTGGCAGACAGATAAGTAAGTGGCTATTTTGTTTACTCTAAATTGTAGCACAGATAAACTGTAGTTACTATTTAACTGATATATTCCCTTCTATTTTTTTTTAAACTTAGTCTTTGTTTGCTTATAGATGCTGGACTAGAAGTGAAAGTAAAAGATCCTCCAAAAGGAATGATACCTCCTGGAACCCAACTTATCAAACCAAAAGCAGAGCCTCAGCCAAACAAGGTTTGGAGAACTGAAAAAAACCCCAAAACAGATAGTTATGTTTGGGTGGGACTTTTTTGTTGTTTAATGTATACTTTATCATATCATCATACTTTATCAGTGCTTCAGACTTAAGGATATTTGCAGATCACTTTAATATGCTGAATGGAATGAAATTAATATACTGGAGAAAATGAAATTAATTTCATTTTCTTTTTGTACGTGAATTCATAAAACTGATAGAAGCTCTACAGAAACCGCCTTTGCCTTGGCTTGTCACACACACATATCACAGCTATTGTTAAAGCCACAGACAAAATTTTACACTATTACTCGTTCTGTTGTACTACGAAGTTAATTGTGCACAAAATTTTACAAAAATTTTGTTTTGTCATGAGCATCTTTAGTCAATATAAAATCCATAACCAGTTTCTTTTAGTATATTTTCCTTCCTTGGAGAAAGGCATGATTGTTTTCTAAAGGTATTATTTCTGTAGCTTTTGACATGCCCATTTAACCTTCTCATTCCACCCCGAAGGACAAAAGTAGACACAATAAAGCAAGTAAGCTGAAATGGGTGGCAGTGGTTTAAGAAAAATGCCCACATGAGGGAGATACCTTGCACTTCCTCTTAGATGCAAGGAAGGGATACTAAATGAGGTGCTTTTTTTTTTTTTCTTTTGGTTTTTTGGGGGTTTTTTGTGGGAATAAAACTGTATTAAAGTTGTGGAATTTTGAAATACCACAAAGTTGTCTTTCCTGTCCTGCTGAAATTGGGAAAGTGGTTAAGAAATATATGATTATCTAAAAAGATCAGGTTACTGACAACTTCTTACCTATACAGTGCATCCTAATATTTTTTTCTAGACTTCAGGATAATCCAGAGACAGTAACTTTGTTGTATGGTTCCCCTGTCTCTAAAATGCATCCAGCATCTGCTTCTACTACTAACCAGATTTTTTTCCCTGAAGCTGTGCCTCAAATAAAAAATAATAAATGTACTTTTAGTTTCAATGCAACATTTACCCCTCTCTGGCTCTCTTTTTTCGTTTTTTTCTTCAAGAAGTTTCTTTTAGACTTTCTCCCTTCTCTTGGAAGGAAGACTACCTGGTTAGTTCATTATCTTAATTAGAACTCCCAATTCCTACTAAGAGAGATTTATCTCAAGCAAATTCATTATACCTCCACCCAAGTTAATCATCATATGTGTTGTTTTGCTGTCCCCATGTTGAGAGAATCTGTTTTGATATGAGATGAATTGCAGAACAGAAGTTTGGTTTTTCTTTTCAATTATTACAGTGGAAATTGGAGTGACTTGTTCATACATGATAACTCTTGTGTTGTCAAGGAACAGTCAAAGTACTTGACAGAAGTCAGTCCTCTGGAGTTCTGCGATGTTATGTAGTGTGTAATCTTCTCCTTGTGTTGTACTGTGTGCATGTCTCATTTCTTGTTCCAAGTTTTAGTCTCTTTGAAAAAGGAGCCATCTTTGTCCTGTACATAGTGTCTGTAGAGCCAGCTGAAAAGTTAAACTGGACCTTTCATGGTAAATCATTTAATCAGTCTTCTTTCTTCTGTGTCATAATAAATCTCATAACAAATCAGGATAATTCTTTTTGTATCAACATCAATATTGTAACTAATACAGCAGAGTACAATTACTGTGCTCCATGTTTCTGAAGCCAAGAATGTAGATTAGACATGCATCAGTCAGAGACAGTCCAGTGTACCAAATCATGTTTTGCTGACAAAAAGGGCATAGTTGAGCTCTAAATACTGTTTCATCATCTTTGTCAGCCTGAAATTTCAGATAGTTGTGACCAAAGGACACTAACAGTGCATTCTCAGTGGTGATCTGTTCTCAGCTAGAAACACCAAAATATTTTCATTGAGGCACTGGAACATTCCAGTTTTGTGGCCAAACCTGACTTAAATTGCAAGCTGAGAATGGGTACTGCAGTATGATTTTATATGTGTACTCTTCATTCTCTGTTATTTGAAGTCAGATGAAAAATCTGAAGGAGGCTATGATAGTGATCTGTATTCAGCCATAAGACCTGCTGCCTCCTAATACTCTGCAAAGCTTAAATTAACTAACTTGCAGGAATCTAGATTCCACATCCTATTGAGGAAAGCATTATTTTTTCAAGCTATGTAATGTAAATCAGGGTAGTTGTAATCAACTAGAAGGAAATGGTCCTAATTTAGCTGAATTTGAAGGTGTAAGACTGGTACCAGAATGATTGGTCCCTAACATATTTTAATGGTTTCTACCATCCTGACACAACAAGTAGCTAGCATTGATTGCAAAACAAAAAAACCACCAGAACCAAAAGCTCTGGGCTGGGGTTGGTTTTTCTCACCCCTTCATAGATCAACGCCCTTGTTATGGTTGCTTTATCCTGGACAGCACCCCTTTCTTGTGTGATGTGTGTTGTATGACATGTATCTCTTCACAGATTTGTCAAATAAAAAAGCACAGCAACACAGCTCTTGAAAACTACTGTGCACTGTAGGGATGATGTACATCCTAATTGCTAAGCCTTTCTGCCTTAGTTCTTTAGTTGGAATCCAGCTGGTGTATGCTCCATGGAAGAACTGCCTATGGAGGTGTTATGGAGTTACAAATCCACTGTGCTATTCAGAAATATTCCTAGCAAAGAGGTGCTGTATCAGAAGGAAGACACAGATGATAAAATTTTTCATCATGGTCCGAAATGAGCATAAGAGAATTCCTAATCTGTTTTTTATTGTATTGTCTGTCAGTGGATCTGATCCTTAAGTAATTTCTAGTTATAGGTTGAAGTTTTTTATTAACTAATTAGGTTAGCTGTTGCAAAAGGGAAGAAGGCTCTTTCCAGGCCTGTGCCTACTCAAAATCTGGAATGTGAGTTTTTCCTCTAAATTAAAGTTTTTAATCCAAGTTCTAGCAAACTGTCATAATGATTTTGTGAACGAATGTGATGCAAGGACCCCTAATTTGCAAGACTTTGTTTTTGGCTTGTCTGTGTTTTGAATGCTGTCAGCAGTGATTCAGCTTTATACTTTTACAAGGACCTTGAAAGTCTTAGCTTTGTCTGTTGCGAGAATCTGTCATACGAGTAAGAGGACTGTTAATAAGAAAAACCTTGCACATTTTGGAGTAATTTATGTATGAAATCCTTTACATGCTTCTGGTTTTGGGTTTTTTGTTGGTTTTGTATTTTGTTTTATAAATTATCTTCAGAATAAATATAATTTCTTAAATAATTTCTTTAGGGAAAAAAGGTTCATACACTTAGCTCTTACCTTTTGTTATGCATCACTGAGTTTGTTCCTTACACATCATTCTGTGCTTTATGTTGTTATAGATTAAATCCATATTTCCACTCATACTTCTATCACTTTTATCTGTGGAGTTCGAGAATAACCTTCCAAGAAAATGGTTTTATACCATATGGATGGAATATATGCATCTCTGCTTTTAAGAGACTAATAGGATGACTTACGTTTGTTCTCTATGGGACAGGTGGCCAATAATGTTTGAATGGTAAAAAATGTGTTAGTGAATAATAAGTAGGAGATGTTGGGGTGCTGTACTAAGTCCAGCTAATTCCAAGGAGCCTCTGCTCTAACCTTCCTGTGGGGGAAAAAAGAAACTATTGAAATAGCTATTTGAAAGATAAAGAAGTAGAAAGATAATTGTATTTTAAAATGGCTACTTAAACTCTTTAGGTAAGGAAAATATCCAAATTTTGGTTAAAAAGCTGACTAAAGAGAATACTACAGTAGCACAACTTAGAAATGGTAATCCCAGGCTGATCAGTTAAAATAAATAATAAATTTGAAAATGCAAATCTTCAGCAGTGAATGAAACGTGTGTGTTAAAAAAATCATAGGCTTGTACTGATTATTGTAGGGTATAACAGAAATATTTCCAAGTCATTGCATGCTTACATTATGGTTTTTTGGAACATTGTAATTTTTTTTTATTATAGTAGAAAAATGAAGTTATACACAGCAGCCATGGGAAACTAGCAACAAACTGTAACTCTTAAGATTGCTGTCTTGTCACTGGCATTTCAGAATCTGTTAAACCTATTTCTTTTTACTCTGAGAGCTCTGTTCCAATTTTTTTTCTTCCTTACTGTCTTTCTTTGCTTCTCTTAGGTTCGCAAATTTGTGGCCAAGGACAGTGCAGGGCTTCGTATCCGTAGCCACCCTTCCCTTCAGAGTGAGCAAATAGGCATAGTGAAAGTCAATGGATCCATCACTTTCATTGATGAGGTAATCCATAAGACATTTCTGTTGAAAATTGGGCTGAGATGTAAAGGTAATTCATGCAAATAATGGGTTTTTTCCGTGTTTAGATGCTGACATATACAGCTTAAGACCATAAATTGCAAAAATCTAAATTTACTAATTTAGTTTTTCAAGCTGTCATTTCCTTTAATTTACTTACTTCAAAACCTGTGTAACAAACATTTGAGACTGATGCAAGGAAAGAAAATTCCTGGAGTTCATCTTAAAATATTACCTCTTAAGATTTAGCTTTTCACTATTTACTATTTCAACTCCACACAAAAATGCAGATGCAGATGTCCTTTTCATTACATCTGTTACTTAAAGAGCTGAAAGATCACTACTAGTGTGTTGGACTGCTATGCATGTATTTTTCTTACAATATAACTTCATATGCAAGGAATATTTTTGCGATTTGCGAAGTCATACCAGCAATGGAAAAATGGGAAGTGGGGAATTTATAAAGCTTATTAAGGCTTGAGTTTCTTTCCTCTTTTATTTCAAAGCAATTCTTATTACTGCATGATCTGATTTAAATTTATCTTCATGCCTTGACTTATAAAAGGATATGCTTCCCCATTGCTTTGGAATTCTGATTTTGTCAGTATTCCTCTTCACCTCTGCTTATGTTGTATCAGCATTGTAAGGTTCGTTGCTTCTTTGCTGCTATTGTCTGCCTGAAGTCTGTTAATCCTTGCTAGCTACAGAACGGTTACAGGAGGGCATGGCTCGTTCTTGTTGCTTGTTTCCCATAGATCCACAATGATGATGGTGTTTGGCTGAGGCTGAATGATGAAACAATAAAGAAGTATGTTCCTAACATGAATGGTTACACTGAAGCCTGGTGTCTGTCTTTTAACCAACATCTTGGCAAGAGCCTTCTGGTACCTGTTGACGTAAGTAAAAGGTGCCTTTGAAAAATATCCAAAAGTACACTCTATCCTCATTACAAGACTTTCTTTAATTAAGGCTGCAAAAAGTCCTGAGGTAAACGATATTTTAATTATGAAATACAACCTTATATGTGTTTGCATTTTGGAGGGCTGCTGTGTAATGAGGGTGGAGTGTAGAAAGGTGTGAGGCTTTTTCTGTTGAAGCCTCTTCTCCTGGAAGAGAAACAGAAATGCAGGGACTGCTGTAGTAAAAGTAAAATAGTATTAGATTGTGGTCTGCACCAGGTGTTTCTTATGCTAGATAGCATTGTCTGTGAAGTAGTCCACTGGTGTCCTGATTTCAGAAGAGGCTTGCAGCCTACCGTGAATCAATGTAATTGCTGCTTTTTAACAGAACCAACCAACCAAAAGGTTCTTTAGGCTCTGGGTTTTGTGGATTTTTTTGTGAGTTTTATACCTGAATCCTTAAGTTATCACTTCATTAGCTATGCAGAGAATCCTAGAGCTTCAAGACAAACATTGAATTTATAATAGGAGTAAACAGAATTTGAATAATTGTATTGGTGATCATCATCAATACAGTTAAAGGTTACACCTTTTCTGGAATCCAATTACGGTTTTTTGAAAAATGTGAAAGACAGAAAAGGAAAAGCTATATTAGCTCAACCAATGTGTCTCAAAAGATTCATGAAAGTGCAGGTCTTTCTGGCTCATCTGTTTTCATGCATTGCCCTGAGTGGGCAGTACCTTGTTTTCTTCTGGGCAGAATGTGAGAATCAGATGTAATTGATACTGCTATTTATATTTTATTTGTCATCTTATCTGAGTAAGCTGCTGCGATTGAAGATAGTTGAGAAATATTTCATTAAATTAAATTAAAAATTAATTAATATTTCATTAAATTAAACACTGAGACCAGTAATATTATGCTGTTCATGTTTTTGGTTATAGAAGAACCGAGATATTCCCAGTTCCAGTGAAATTGGGCTATTTGCTAGTAGCTAAATCTGGAAATTCATAATGTCCTGTGGCTGTTCTACCAAACAGTGATACATGATGTAACAAGGTCTTCTTGTCTAAAAATTATTTGTTTATCTATTTCTATTTGTAGATTTCTTTCAATAGAATCCTTGTTTGGGAAATTATTTTAGTTTTTGATTTGGGAAGCAAATTATTTCTGTACTCAGAAATCAGTCACTCAAATATGCCTGTCTTCACAGTGTTTTTATAGTCTGTTGTAGAATGTATGAAAACGTGGAAAAATTAGGCTTTAAAATTTTGCCTGTATTTTTTGTCTTAGAAATTGGTTGCAGTTAGAAAATTCCTATATTATATTTCCATTAAATATTAATAGTTCTGTGCAGTAGTTGAATTTTACCAGTTCATCCATGGTAAAAGTGAATTTATCTTGACTAAGTAACTAACTTCAGTAAATACTGTATATCTAGATGGGTATTATAGTCTGGTAGATTTTTGTTAGTTGTGTGGTTTTTTGTGTTGGGTTTTTTTTTAGTTTAGCTATCTTCAATACCTTTTTAACTTGTTGAAGGGAATATTTTTGAGCTCAGCAGTTGTCTGTGATTAGCAAGAACTTACTGCTTGGCATATTTCATACAGCTCTCGTATACATGTGGTTCTAGGGAAGAGCATATGCTGTGCTCCTTGAGAGAAGCCTGGAAAGAAATGTCTGCCATGAATAACTGAACATTCAGTCTTAACAACAAAATTTTGAGAGCTCGAATTTCATGTGAATAAGGAGTTCAGGTGCAATCAAATGTGAAAAACAGCATTCAGTTTTCAAACATTTCGTTCTCTATGTGTAAAGTTCAGATGAAAGATTCTCTCTTGGTTTTGGGGGTTGTTAAACACTTATGAATTAGTTTTGTTACCATTTAGACTGTTATGAGCTTTAGAAATGCTTAATTTTCTTTTAGGTAGACAGTCACATGTCTTGACTGACACAAGTTAAAAGCCACGTGCTTTCTTAGCTTCTGCTCTGTAAGTGGCAGCCAACACAGCAAAAGGGTTATGAGACCAACTCTTACAACAATGCAGGCATGTGCAAGAAATGTGTTTTGAGCTACTGTCAGAAAGGTTTCCTTGCATGGCTCTAATTTTCATATTTTTAAGAGGACTTAGCATATCCTGAAACTATTCGATTTCATTATGAAAGTATATAAGTAGTAAGATTTGTTCATTTGATTCACAATAATAAGAGGAAAAAGGAAGAAAATAGTTCTCTAACATTTTATATTTTAAAGGTGACAAAAGATAAGGTTCAGAGGCTGACTTTTGAATGCCTTAAGTCTTTACAGCATGCTAGTCTAGCATATACTGCTTTCTTACTAGATCCTTCCTTTGCACAGATACTGCTTTCTTGGTAGGAAGATGACAAAAATAGTTCTCTAACATTTTATATTTTAAAGGTGACAAAAGATAAGGTTCAGAGGCTGACTTTTGAATGCCTTAAGTCTTTACAGCATGCTAGTCTAGCATATACTGCTTTCTTGGTAGGAAGTTTACAGTCTTGTTTATGATGATTACTAGGTTGAAAATATTTTGAATTATACATTTTTTTGGGATTTGTCCAAAAGACTGTTTGCAAGTTGTCAAATTTGATTTTTGCAGTTCTCTAGAGATGAATGACTTATGTCAAAAAAGATACTCAAGTAATAAATGCTAAAGTTTTGTTAGATTAAATTGTGATATAATTCATATCTGCTCAATCCTGTTGATTTGGGTAGCTGAATGACATGATGAGCAGAATGCAGTAGAAAAAATTGTGATTGTGTGAGATTTTTTGGAGCCAAGCTGTCCAACCAGTTTTGGCTTAAAAGGAAGGCTGGAGAAAGTCTTGTGTGATGGAAAATGCAAAGGGAAGATCAAATGCCTGAGCTAGGCCAGGTATTCCCTGTTCAAATAGATGCCACATGACTCCTACTAGACTCCATTTTCTGTTCAACTCTGGGTGGGCAGACCTGTCATCTCCAATTACATTACTTTCTCATGTTTAAATACACAGGCTTTTTATTATCAATCCCTTAAGTAAATAAAATTTCTCAGTACATTTTGGCAAATACGTGAATACTTTTTAACAAAGTTTTAGTTATTCTGTTTCTTCACTGTATTATGGAACAGTGAGCAGATGAAAAACGGTAGAGGTTCTCGGCAGTGTTAATTATGACCTGTTTTCATCTTGATATATATTTTGTATCTTCATTTTATGTATGTTTATTAGCATTAACTAGGTATTTTATGATAAAGCAGATACTGAATATTGTGGATCTCATAAATGCACTTTCTGTATTTTTATTAGAACTATTATAGTTGAAGATAAATTATCATAGGAAAGGAGAGATCATGGTAGTTACCAGTGTTTTATTGATTTGAGCTGTGGTCATTTACCTTCTTAGAATGTCTTCAGCTCTTCTGTTGTTCTTTCACAAGGAACTGCTTTACAGCCCCTGATCTGAAATTGTGCATCCAACCCATTGTAGATAATTATGAGATTGTGAATTTAATAGGTTGTGATTTTGAATAAGCTGTTTCCATCTCTGATAGTTATTTTTCCTTCTGTCTTATGGTATTCAAGTATCTGTTTTTGAAAAAATACTTGTAAAATTCCTGATGAGGACAGTTATGGTATTCAGGTATCTGTTTTTGAAAAAATACTTGTAAAATTCCTAATGAAGACAATTACTTATTGATGCTTACACATGGTGCTTAGTAGAAAGGTACATGTGATATAAAACAGTGCACACTAGGAAGAAATAGACATTCACCTTGGTCAGACTCTGCAACTTGTCTTTTAAAAAAATCACATTCTAAGTTCTCACTACTTCATTTTAAATTTAAAATTTTATAAGAAGGAATATTGTACTCCGATGTCCAGCTACAATATTACGTTCCCCAGCCACCACAGGCAATCAAGGATTGCAAAACTGCAAGTTTTTCAAGCCATTATTGCAATGGAAGAAATAATCAACATTAGTATGTAGGCTCCAGTGCTTAATCACAGAACCTCAGAAAGCTGAATGTTTTGTGGAAACACTGAAGGACATTGACAAAAAATTCTGCCGTTGTTTTAACCATGAGGGAAAGCAACTGAAGAGTAAGTCTATGTTGGATAAAATGTCAAGATGTCTGTTAAAGATAAGTCTTCGTTTTGAAAAATAATAGCTGAGGTTTTAAATACTTCCTAATGGATCAATGATTTTTCATGGCAGAACAAATTAATTTTTTTTTCATCTCTGAAACTTTGAGTTTATTGGAAAAAGTATTAATTTCTAAAATTAGTTTTAGATCTTGGAAGGTAAAGTCTTGAAGGAAAGTATTGAATAAATCTACAGATGATAGCATAAGGGCTAAATTCAAAGCTTCTATATAGTAATTTCTTTAGAACGAAAACTTAGCTCCCAAATAGATGCCTGATCTATTCACCTAAACTAGTGTGCGCTGGTATGATAGGCAGGAAGTTCTCAAGTTCACAGAGCAAAGGAGAGCTTCTAGTTTGATCTTCTTGGTGTTTCTAAGCCAGCATGGTCCCATTTCACTGCTGTTGGTTTCCCTTGTGTGTTTCACACATAGAGCTCTGTGATGGAGAAAAATAGATCTTTGTAATGATACCTAAATATTTTAGGTATGGATAGTCCAAGTTTCTCAGTGGAAGTCCATCGAAAAAAAAGAGATATGCTGCAAAGTAATAGAATCAGACAGTTAAAGTAGGTTGGATGCCTGTGAAGTACACTCATGAGGCACATGTAGGCTTTCTATAGTTGCCATAGTTTTATGTCAAGTTGATAAACCTTTATTTTGCTAATATTCATATCTGAGACCCTCCTCACCTTCCCCAGTGTCCCAGAGCAAATATCATTAGTTCATGGCTACCTCCTTCAGTTCTGGGTAAAGGTACTCAATTCTAAAGAAATGCTGGTGTTGTGACAATTTCCCTCTTCTTTGTCAAAATGGCAGATCATTTTTATGATTGAAACTTAATGTTTACAAGCAGCATATAGTAGATGTGATAAAAGTGTAGATTTGCTTACTTTTAACATGTTAGGGCTTTTTCAAGGAATACAGATGAAGCATGCCAAGGGTGTTTTGTACTTCTTTCTGCCTGAAAGGATTTACTGCCTTAGCTACTGTTAAATTTTAATGTGGCTGCTGAGCAGGGATTTCATTTGGTTCCCATATCAGGATGGGGTAGGAAATTAGATTTTGATACTTTGATTCATATAGATGAAATGGGTGTGTTGTCAAAGGGATTCCATCACAAATACCATAAATACAATTGTTACTGCTGCTACATGTATACTATTCTTTCACTTGGCAGAAACTATGAAAATTTCTTGGAAATGAATAGGAACTAGCTTATGGAGACAAAATGGCTTCTTTTTCATGTTTTCCAGTGATTAAAAAATGCTGTCCTCACTGTTTTGTAGGAGGAAAAATTAAGCAGAACAGCAGTGCTTATTTCTATAGTGTGGGCAATTGGTTATAAAATGTCTGATGTCTCTCTGGCAGCTATATTTGGGTTACAGTTATTCATAACAAACTAGTTAATGCATTGTATGTTTAACACAACTAATGGAATCTTAGCAATCGTTCTCCTTATAGCACTGAAATTTTTGGCTTCGGTAAAAAGTACAGTTTTGATGTGCAAACTGGTGAAATCATTCTGTGCAAGTGAACTCCTTTTAGCAACAGAGAGCTTAGCCCTTGCTGCATCTCTTTGGTTCTGACTGGGTGACTAAAATTCTGTGTACACTTGTCCTGCACTGGTTGAAATAATCTTTCAGAACAGGAGACCATCTCGCTAGAAAACTGGTTTGTAATGGGACCAGCTACCGTTTCTTTGTAACAGAAATATGAGATTTTTCTGTGTCTGAAGTCTCAAGTTTGTAAGAGATGTCTGGCTCTTAATTTCAGTAAATGGCATGACACACTACATCCATTTTGAGCTTTTGACATACTAAACTGTTTCTGTGTAATGGATGATTTGCCATGGTGAGCAATGGACTCAGGTGACTTGATGAGGAAAACAAAACTTTCCCCTTTTGAAAAACATTCTACCAGTAAATTTATTTGAGGAGAAAGTTTGTGTTATAGTACCTTGAGCTTCTTCCTCCAGTATTTCTTTGTTCCCATTTCTTTGTTGATATATGTCTCTTTTTTTCAAACTTTGTTGCTCAGAATGTCTTTAATGCTAGCCAAGGAGTAAGGGATTTGGACTTTTTTTCATGGACTTCCAAAGCTTTACCCCCTAAGGTGAGTTAAATTACAGGAACAGTCACACTGTATCTCGTGTTTTCAGAATGCACCTTATGACTCAACTTTATGCTAAATATTCTTTGAAGTCTGTTTTACTGTGACTTATTTTTATAGGAAATACCAGATTTGAATTCAGTGCTGTATCTGTGTCTCTTTCTTCTAAAATGAGACAAAAATACCCGGGCAGATTATTGGATTTCTATTAATTCATGAGTAGCACTCTCCTTTTTTAACAAACCAAATCAGAAATTCAGAGTGGTGGCCTAGTAACATAACAAAGCTTTTCATTTTTCCTTAGACCAGAATTTGCTGGTAATCTTTTTTTTCTGATGCTGGAGGCTCCACATAAAGTTGCAGCATCTAATAAGATGATATTTGTATGAGTAAAACCACCACACAGATATTTAATAAATACTCTGCAGATTCTTAATGGGTTTTTTTTATTCTTTAATTCTAGGAACATGACATGTTATGTACAGTTAAGGTGTTTAAATTGACTCTAGAACTGTGTGTCTGAATATCAGTTATATCAGTTCTGTAATGTTTTGAGATGGATTTTTTTATGAACTTTGTAATGAAGACGGTAATGTGGAGTACATTTTGGTTTAGAGATTTTAAAACTTGTTTGTCCACTGGTTCTTTTTCCCCAGAATAGCAGACTTTAATATGTCAAGATCTAAACTATGTTTAAATTGTCTTTTTTGTTTTTTCCTCAAACCAGTTTACCTCAGCTTGCATTAACTTTGATTGTAAGTGACATATTTACGTAATAGAATCATTTTTGTATAAAGGCTTCTTGAAAAAAACTGCTGTATTAGTCTGGACACAGTGTACAGGCTTCCATACAAAAAAAAAAAAAAAAGCTGAAAACATAATAATTAAAGAGATCAGAGGAAATTTGCATTCATTTAAAAGTAAATAATGTTACCAGAAGTTTGGTTTAAATCTGACCAAAAAAGTATTCTTCCTCACAACAGGAAGTGAACTCCTGGAAGGTATTTTTGTGGGAGATTGTCAAGGCAGAAAGTATCAGCATATTCAGAAGAAATTAAATTTCAAGAAATCAGATTGATAAATAGACAGTAAAGAAAATAGGGTGTACCCTGTAACGTCCATAATAAAAAGGTTTTAAATGCTATTGGTATATAAGGGACAGACCACTAGTAAAGATTTTTATGCTGCTTCTAAAAAGCATCCTCTGTTGGTGAACACAGAAGACTGAATGAGGTGAACCTCTGGGTTCATCCAGCAGGACATTATGTAGTTTGTAACATTTAGATGTTCCTTTAAAAGTACCTGTGACTTTCAGTATAATGGAACTTGCTCCTGCTTCTTACTTGCACTCTTCTGAAATAAATGCGCATTTGTTACTCCCATCCTCATGGTTTTTTGTACAAAAGCCTTTCAGTTAAGCTGTTGCTGGCTGAAAAATCTATGCTAATTTTTCTCTTCTTTTAGTAACTACCACTTTTTTTGCTAAGAAATTCAAAGTGTTTTCTTACTTCAGGTTTGGATATATATTTCATCAGTATATAGTATGAAATAATATTGAATTCCCTTTCCATAGCCCCGGACTTTAAGAAAAGTTCACAAATAGAGGAATGAGTGTGTATCCTGAGAAATGCCAGCAAGGATGAAGGTTTAGTGAAAGCAGTTAGATTAAGTAATTTATATCTGATGTTAGATATGAGCTATTATTTTTATAAATAATATTTTTATAAATGCTTACATTTTTACCACTTTTGCCTGAAGAGTAATGTCAGGAGTAATTCAATTAATATGCCATTTAGTAGTTAGTTGTTCAGCACTGCACACTAAAATTAGCAAGGTAACTAGGATCTCCTTTAGCTTTGAAATTTACCTCTTGTAGTCTTGAAGTAAGTATTTCTTATCGCAGTAGTTTAAAGGTGGTATTAATAGGTGTTATTCTGTTCTGTTTTGCCTTTTTTTTTTTTTAATTTCTCAGGAATCTAGGTCTAATGCTGATGATTTTTTCAAAGACCTAAATTCACACTGCCCACAGGAAGCAGTGATGCAAGAAGAAGACATGCCATTCCTTCGAGGTGGACCTGGAGTGTACAAGGTAGTGAAGACTGGCCCATCAGGTCACAACATCAGAAGCTGCCCTAACCTTAGAGGTATCCCAATTGGAATGTTAGTTCTGGGAAACAAAGTCAAGGCAGTGGGCGAGGTATGGATCCTTGTAGCTTCAGTTCATGTCTTCATAGATACCAGTATATAACAGTAGTAACCACAGCAAAAGAATCTGCTTCTGTCCAGGTTTGCTTTTCCCCTCCTCATGCTAAATACTGGCCTTTGAACTTGGTTTATGTTAGCAGTACTAATGCAGTCATGTCTCTTGCCTTTTTGCATTGATTGGAATAATGTTAAAATTGCACTGCAGTTACCTGTGCTTGCTTATGTATTTCTGTTACAGTATTCCTTACAAAATTGTTTCTTGATCTACTTTTGTTCTATTCTTCGAAAGAATTCTGTTTCATGATAAAATGTTTTCCTAGGACCTAACTATTTAACAAATTGCTGTTTCTCTCTACTGATTGTATTAATTTGTTTAGTTGCTGAACTATTGTTACTGTTCTGGGTTGTCCAGTTGTGGTGTTTTATGCTTAAGAAGGGCTTAAGGATGAAGTGTGTCATGCTATTTCCTAAATATAATATCAGGAACAAAATTAATACTCATAAAAACCTTTCATGTATATCTTGTTGCTATAATTCTCCTGTTGCCACCATCGATTAGAAGGTATATAAGTTTTTATTTAGGCTTATGTGGATTTTCTGTAGTTGTGGTGTGGGTGTTTTGCTTCTTCTGAACATAAATAGGTCTAAAATTTTTGGAATTACTCCTAAATGTAAATATGCCATAAATAGGTTTGGTACTTCAGTCTGCCTCAGTCTGTGGCCTTAATTTAAGAAACTTTTTTTTTAACATTTTCTTTGTAATAGAAAGATTGAAATTTAATGTGTTTTCCAGATACTATAAATAGTTGCTGAATCATACTACTGAATTATTTGAGAAGTCAATAAATTCTGCTTTTTTATGTGTGTGCATCAGGTGACTAATTCAGAAGGTACGTGGGTGCAAATGGATAAGAACAGCATGGTAGAGTTCTGTGAAAGTGATGAAGGCGAGGCATGGTCATTAGCTAGAGACAGAGGTGGAAACCAGTACCTTCGACATGAAGATGGCAAGTGGTTGTTTTCTTTTATTTTTTTAAATTAACTTCAAAAAAATAGACAATCTAAACAGGAGAAATAAAGAAGTATCTGAGTTTTGAGCAGGTATAACATTAGTTTGTGTATTTTCATTTGAGTTACGTTGCACAGTCAGACTTAAAAGTTGTTTATAAACATTCTTTAAATGATTTTTTTTTTTAACAGTCAAAATATTTCCATATTATTTCTTCTGTACAAGTTGTGGACAATAATTTTAACCATCATATTTCTTTTAGCTCTGGGGTTAATTTTTATGCATCTGATTTCCAGAAGGTGTCTTTATGAAAAGCTTTGACTGCAGCAGTTATATTCTGCTTGTATTTTTAGGTCACACTTTACTGTCAGCCTCTTATTTGTTCATTTTAACAGACTCTTTGCCATTTTTCTGGTTTTGATATTTGGTGCTGAAATTCATTTCACACATAGGTACTCTAACCATTATCATCACATTACTGTATTAGAACAAAGCAATTCCATGCTAAAACATAAGTATTTTCTGTAGACTGTTGCGACTTGACTTTCAGGTGTACAACCTTCTGCAAAGAAGGGAAATAGCCAAGAGTTTTTCATTAAATATATAAATGTTTACATAATACTTCAAACACTCCTGTAAAAGTCATAGCTTTTCTAATTTTAGTTATGTCTGATAATGTCAAGTTCTGAGGTGCTCGAAAAGCCCAAGTAGATTCCATAAACTGAATAATTGTGAATTGGAACAGTACCTTATTGTTGAAAGTACAGGTATTCAATATTAGGGTTGATAAATTCATTATTTTCTATTTTTATACAGGGTTGTTTGCTTTTCCATTAGAAAATAATTTATCTGAAATTAATACATTAATCAGTGTGCAAAAATTTCTATTGCAGAGTGCTTATTTTGAGAAACAACTTGACATTTAAATAACTTGACAGTATTTTTCATTTTTAAGTAGTCTTGTCATCTTCAGTATTTGACCTGTCATTTAATGTTGTGTTAAATTTCTCAAAGTATATATGTGCTCTAAGAAAGAATTCACAAATCAGGAAGACTTTAAACAGGACCCTTGTTTGAAGGTGTGTCTTCAAATTCTTGATCAAATTCTTGATACTTAGGCACTGTTACTGAAGGACGTCTTGGAATATAGAATTGCTCTCACAGAAAAACCAAAATGCAAGCTCCAGGCTTTGACGACAAAACTCTGTAGTGGGATCTCTGCAATACAGCTCATAGAAATACCATCTTAGAAATACCATCTTAGAAACTTTCTGATATGAATCCCGTGCCTCAGTATACCAGTTTTTAATCTTTTCTAGATGAGTCTCTTTTTACAGGTAGGGTGAAGATGGATGTCTCCTGTGCATCCAGCCAAAGCAGTTTAAGCAGCTATCAGTGCAATTCCTGAGATTTTTCAACCTGTTCTAGGTTCCTAGTCCACCTCAGTGCCATGTAAAATTTCATGCACTTAAGCCATATCTGAAAGCTTAAACTGATTGTTCTTATTTGCAATCAAACTATTTCAGAATAATTTATCATCAGTTTCAATGCTTTTGGTAGAGGGAAATAATAAGAATCTGCAGGATCTCTAGCTAGATTTGCAAATGTCCATTTTTTTATCCATGAATAACACCAGCTTTCACATTACATTCATATTTTCATTATTTAATAAAATTATAATTAAATTCCCATTATGAGTAGGGTTTCTGTCAGAGACAAGGCAGATGTCTGAAGAGCTAGTTCTGTAGCCAGGTATCCAGTAAAGTACAACAGCAAGATCTAGAGTAGCTCTGATTGAAAAAATTCTAGATCCTTTCTTTTATAAACTGACTTTAAATTTTCGGCTTTCCCTCATAATTTGTTTTTAACTTGAATAAGTTATGTAGAGTGTGTACTCTGAAATGCTTTTGTCCTGAAATGCAGTTTTTTAAAAATTGCTTTCTAAAGAGTTGTGTTTTTTTTATTTTATCCATATTAATTTAAGTACACTGACAAGAAAAAAAAAAAAAATCAAGATGCCAGCTCAAGCTTTTAAACCTGCATTTGGGATATTTCTTTTGAGTGCTTTCATATATATTGTCAGTTGGAATGGTGTTTTTGACCGCATAAAGTCAGTAATTTCTCTGTAAATCTAAATAGTCAAGTGGATTCTGTCTCATTTATTTTAATTCTGCTGTAGTTTTGAATATTATTAAATACTCCTTTGGGTTGGAGGTTGCTTTAGTGTCATACAGAAAGTAAAATTATAGTACTCATTTACAGATACAAATAAGTCTGTCAGGAAAAAATGTCTTGTGTTCCATGAACTATTGGGGGTAGGCACAATTAAATGTTTATTGGCTCTGAATTTGTCACTCTGAAAACCATCCTTTCTCCCCTTGCTTTGTCAAAGGGATTTTAGCAATTGCTGTCCAAAGAATAAGCACTGCTGAATAATGTTTCTGGAAAAAAACAAGTGTCAAATAATGGCATAGCTGGCAACAACTCAGTCAAACAAAAACAGTCTACATAGTATTAAGTCCTCTGTCTTAATATTTTTAGAGCATGAGTTTTGAAGAGCAGATGGGGCTTTTTTGAAGAAAATTTAGTCGAGAGGAAGAGTGCTATCAGTGAAAATAAATATCTCCCTTTTGCTTTGTGACTCATATTTCTAGTGTAAATCTGTTACTCAGAGGTCTAACTTCGAAGTGATGTGGTTTTTTTACAGAGCAAGTCCTTCTAGATCAAAATGTGCAGACTCCTCCCCCAAGTCCTTTTTCAATACAAGCTTTCAGTAAGGGGACAAGCTGTAGTAATGGACAAGGGTTTGATTATGGCCTTGGAAATAACAAAGGTATGTTTTTACACTCATATTTTTAATAGCTATATTTTATTAGTCATTTTTCTGCTTTTTGAGGCACCACAGGTCATCTCCAAAGCAATCGTATAATGAATTGCCAAGTGTTAAAACTGCTTTTTTCTCTGCTTTAGTTTCACTCAGTCTCAGTATTCTGTATGAAAGGGATCAACAAAGATTTGGAAGTTAGTTTTGGATTTCTGCAGTGGTAGGCACAAAACTGAAATGCTGAAATGAAAGATACATGTAAAACAAGATCAGAAAACTGTTTGATTTAGAAAGCACATGTTTTTAAAAGTCCAGAAACATTTGTCATCTGTCTTGACAATTTTTAAGTGCCTTTAATGGGTTGACAAGATAAAACATGCCATTTAAAATTTGTTGTGGAATTAAAAAAAGAAATTATAAAACTGAAGTTACCTTGCAATCACATACATACCAGTTAGAACTGCTGGAAAATAAATAAATTCTATTTTTTTTTTTTTTTACTGATAGAAAATAATTGTTTCTTTTAATCATGGTTTGTTTTGTTGGCAAGATGTAAACACATATGTAAAAGCCATCAAAATAAACTCAATCTGCATGACTTCTGTTCATTTCTTTGTTAGTTCTAGCAGATTTAATAATACAGAAGGGACTTTCCATGAGGTTCTTGAGAAACATTCCTGAAACATGGAGCTCTGTTATTGTATTCTTACACTGCTATAGTCTATGCCACTACAAATAGGGGCCTAAGGTGTGCTATGTGTTTTTTAGCACCAGCATATATTTCTTCATGGTATCCTAAATAAAATAACTTAAAACTTATTTTAAAGGAGAGAAGATTAGGAAAATAATTATTCCTAAATAGTCTATTCTGTTAATGTCACAACATCAAATAGTTCTATATCATTTCACAGTGGTTTACTGTGTACAGTGTGGTTCATACTTGTCTATGCATTGTTATAGGACACCCTCTTTTTTGGACAAAGGCTGGATAAGTTGAAGCATTTTCCTTTTGTTTTATAGAGCCTTTTAAATCTTCTTTTCCCAGTTCATCCATACTCATTTCAGAGTAGTGGTGGAATCACAAAAGTGGAAGTATCTAAGATGCGAGGCAGTATTACAGCTTGTCTCTCAATGTCAATTGTGTAATAGTGCAGAAATATTATCTGTTGATTTTTCTGCAAAAATGTATTAAGACAACAATTTTTTTTTCTGCGCTGTCCAAAGATAAAGTCTTTGAGATGAATATGCTATGTTAACAGGCATCTTGATTTCTGAAGACATTGTGATTCTCTTTACTACATCTTAAGCAGTTCAGAGGTGTTTATTTGGGATAATACAGTTACAAAACATTTGGAAGCTACTCCTGGCATTGCATTCCATACTATTTTGTATGCATTATTTTCTCAAGATACTCTCAAGTTGTGACACTTAGTGTGAATGAACAAGTCAGCTACATGACTTCATGCAGTCTGTGAACTGTATTTCCTTCTGAATTGCTCAAGAGTGGAGAGTTGTTGGCAACTATATTGAAAGAATAATGGTCTTACTTTCCCAAAAATAGAATTCTTCAGCTGTACCATTACTTTGTATGCAGTTTTTCTGTATTCTCAGGTCTAAGAAGCTCTGAGTTTTGTGAAAAATTAAAAATGGAAAGCACAGGAACAATCTCTTAGGAGAATTTCCAAAGGAAGCACTTCTTTTGGAGGGGCTTGTTTGTTAAAAGTACTTCTATACGAATGCCATGGTTTTGATGAAAATTCAGTCCCATCCAAGAGTGTTTCAAAATAACTGATCAAATCTAAAGATCCCCGTAATAGGTGTGTAGTTCTACAGTAGGTAATAGGGTTTCCTACTGTAAAACTGTTAATTTAAGGTTTACAGTATTACTTGCAAGAAAGAAGACTTGACTCCCCCAAGGAATCTGTTTGATTTAGCTGTCTTCTCTCTTCCAGCTTTCTGTGTTACAGGCAAGTTTTTAATATTCCACATGATTGGCCCTACCTACCTCCATATTTGATTGTTGTGGACAGATGACTTTCAACTTCTTCTCAGATATTCTTCCCTTTAAAATAATTACTCATTTTAGGAATTAGGCATGTTACATTTAAGAATAACAGTTTGTCAGACGTGTAAATCACAGAATGACTGGGGTTGGAAGGGACCTTAGAGATCACCTAGGTCCAAACCCCACCCTAGACCAGATTGTTCAGTCACTTCTAAGTTTTTAAGGTAGGAATGATTGCTGCTGAAAGTAGTTTTTAGGTATGCTACTTCCAAAACAGTGAAATAAAATGGATTCATTGATTCCTGTAGATGATTTTTTTAGAAGGACATTCCAGCGATTTTCTGGTATTTTTGTCTTCTTACTTTTTAAGGTAAAATATCAAGAAAATAAATTCAACTTAGAAGTTCTTAGGTAGTATTGGGTTTGATACATCTACTGGTCTTTCTCTAATTCTTTAAAAAGATATTTGATAATAATCTAAAAACGTAAATTCTGTGTGAGCTGCTAAAACTATATATATATATATATACACTATACTAGGTTTTCTACAATGCTGTCAAAGTCATAGGAATTTTCAGAATAAAGTGGCATTGTTAGGATTTGTCTGGTGATGGTTCACATCAAGAATTTGAGAGAATCTCAGGTGTCTCCTACTTCATATTACTAAGTATACTTCAAGTTACAACATGGTGTGGCCTTCTTTCTGAGGCGTCATGTATTTCTAATGCTCACATAGAGTTTTTTGAAAATTGGCATTCAGAAATTAAAACTCTTGATTTTAACATGCTAGCTTTGTTGAAGACCTTCGTTTGCCTCACAGCAAATGTAGGTAATTCTTCAGAAAACCAGTTCCAGTTCTTAAGTGGTACTCACGGATTTTTAAAATTACCTTCAATCTGACATCCAAAACCAACAGAATAGTTTTAAAAATATTTACAAAAATGAGCAAATATTTACTGAAGCATTGGCACAGAAATACATTTGCCGAAGCCTAATTACATGTTAGCTTTCCCTTCTCATCAGTTTTTCTAATGTTTTTTCTGCATGTACTGTTGCATGTGTGTATTACTGTAGATGCTAGGGATTTCTGGTTTTTTCTTTGGCTGCTCTTCATTTTTAAGCGAGGCAAATATAAATCTCTATTTTGAAATGTTTAAAATAATTGCAGTAAAATATCCATGAGCCTTAAAAACCAGTAATTTTATTGCCATGCATGGAGTGGGATTTTTCTGTTTAGCCACAACCAGAGTTGTATGTGGCTAAATGAGACTTATGAGCTTTATTATCATCATTTAAACTTTGAGTACCATTTTACTCTGCCTTTCTGGAGAATGACAGGTAACAGGTTGTAGTTTTGACTGTTTTGCCCACTACAGGTGACCAACTGAGTGCCATACTGAATTCCATTCAGTCACGGCCAAATCTCCCAGCTCCTTCCATCTTTGATCAAGCTGCAAAACCTCCCTCTTCCCTTGTCCACAGTCCATTTGTGTTCGGACAGCCCCTTTCCTTCCAGCAGCCTCAGCCACAGCTTCAGAGTAAGTTTGTCAGCCTTACCTGCCTCATCAGTCCGTTTCTGCAGCTTTGATGTTGCTGTTCTCAGTTGCTTACCAGCTACTAATCATCCCACAGTGCACCTTTCTGGTTTTGTTTTTTTAAGTTTTTCATGAATCAGAAGCATGTGAGCTAATGCTCCCAAAGAAGTATACTTGTTCAACTATAATTTTTATATTGACAGTATTTTGGGTTTGTATGTGTTTTTCGCCATAGACAAATCATGAAAGTGCATTTCCAATATTTTATGCAATTCTGGTTTATAAATAAGGTAAATATATCATATAGTACAAAATGTTGATAATTTTTTTAACATCAATAATGCACTGCAGTAAGTACACAGGTGTTAACTTTTTTTACTTCCTAAATTCCTGGTTTTGTTCTGTTTTGTTTCTGTCATTGCTTCTAACTTTAGCGATGCAGCTGGACAGTGGGAATAACTTGGCACTACTCATAAGAAATAATTTCTGTGGGGTGTTCATGGGATTGGCATGGTAATGAAAGTTTGCTTGTTGAGGTGAATACCAGCTAACCTGATTACTGACGGGAGGACAGGAAGCTGTTTTGATTAATGAAAACTAAAAGCTCAGCATTCATGATGGATAGCTGATACTGCACTAAATTCTCTCTTACATGCAGAACAGTTACAGCACAGGTCACAGGAATACTCCTTTATCCCTGTCTCCCACAAACTGTCTCTCTGAGGTGCCTTAGCTCTTCCTTGTTGACCCTGGCAGTCAGTTCAATCTCTGTGTATATGCAGTCCTGCATCTCTCCAGCTCAGCTTATTGAAGTGACAGTGAAGTCTTTCATGTGAGAGCTAGATTAAGGTTTCTAATTCACTTTTATGAGGATTGTCAGAAATCTTTTGACTGTGATCTTCTGTAGTTTTGCTGGGCTTACACCAACATCCTAATGCTTAACACCATTCCAGCAGAATATTCCAAACTCAGATAAAACAGCTGACTGCCAGTGACATCAGCACACCCTCGCTGAGAATTTGTCAAATATTTGTTCTTTCCCATCACTTTTAGGTTTTTTTTCTGTTGTTCAGCAAGGTAAAATCAGTTACTCAGCTTTGCATCAAAAATAACCCTAATTGTGTTATTTCACATTTCAGATTATATGTCTTTTAGCATTTAGACCTATATTGTATGAAAACAAAAGCATCATTTTTGATTGCCCAACAAGATCTTGCTTAATGGATTTCTCTGTCCAAGATGTGTAGATAAACTGTATTCAGTAAGGTACATCCATGTTTTGTGTTTTAATAAGGATCCAAATCAAATGGAAGCCTTTTGTTTGTCAGGTAGGGGAAGAACACTGGTGGTCTACCAAATAAAAAAATGATGAAACTAGAAAATTTTTTTGAACTTGTGTCTGATTTGGGATCTTATCTTAGTACAAGGTCTCAACCAATTTGGTGATTTGCCCTTCCAGAAGGGAGGAA